GGACCTGATCAACAGGAGGGAAATCATGCCTGGTACTGGAAACCTAGTTAACTACCCAGAGCTAGGAAAGTCATGGATCTTAGACACGAACCCCTAACTACTACTTTACTAACTACTTTCTAAATATTTGTTCTTATCCCCATAGATAAGTGGAGTCCTTACCCCTCATCAAGAAGACTTCTCTATGTAACAGACAGAGAGCACTACAGAAAACCACAGCCAATTGAAACGCAGAGTTGTGGGGTCCAGTTCCAAGAGATACGTCTACAGAATAACTCCCACAGCTAAGGCTCAGGGAACATTGTGTAAGAGGGTCAGAAAGAGCATAAGAGTCAGATCGGGGAGTTTGTTGTGGATTGTGTATTGTAGTAGTGTCGGAAGCTACACTCTTGGTCTCACAAACATGACTGCATACACAGGAGCTGAGCAAGGACAACATCAACAGTGTGGTACCTGGACAAGGGTGGGGTGGGGTAGCTCATCAAACCTCAACTCTACACAAAGAACCACAGGCAATTAAGGAATGCTGAGAACAGGAGAATAATGAGTCTTCTCCAGGAAGAGTCTACCAATTGGGTATCCAATACCAAGTGGTCAGCTCTGAAAACATATAAGTAACATCATACAAACTGAGCAGGTTGTATTTATGAATATATATGTGTGTATACATATATGCAGGTAACAATAATTACTGGTGGGGGGAGGCCATGAATGTGATAAGAGCAAGGAGGTGTAAATGGGAGGGGTCTGGAGGTAAGGAAGGGAAGGGGGAAATGATGTAGTTATATTTTAACTTTTAAAATAGGAGAAGTTAAAAATGGTTTGGAACAAGCAAACAAAAACAGATGAGAGATATGGAGACAACCTGAGGGTCTCTGTTGCAATTCTGCCCCAAGGGATGCATGCTTGCAAACATTTTGGGTTGCTATAACCCAGGTGGGAGGACAGCACTCGTGACAGCTAATTCCATTCAACATCCTGTTATGTGCATGGCAATTCCCCAAAGAGCTATGTGGCCCAGAGTGTCTCCGTGCTGAGACTAAGGAGCCCTGATCCGAAGTGACCATCGCTGCAGTGGCTGTAGCTGCTCCATGAATCCTGGGTAAATGATGGTGAGGAAATGGATGGCACTTAGAGGAAGAAAGTGTGGAAAACGGGCTGCGGTGCATTGCCATCTCCGTGACCAAGAACAGAATGGATGCGCGCATGTCACCTGAGCCATCCTGTGACTGTGGGATGTAGAGACGAAGCAAGAAGCACCGAATGACAGTTGCACACTATCAAATGAAAGCACAGGAAGCCAAGTAAAGTCTAAATGTCAGCTAAATAATGAAGAAGCTTTTTAGCATTTCCATAAAATCTTCGCATATGCTTGCACAGTACTAAAATATCATCCGTTATGGGAGACCATGTTTAACTGGTGCCCCGTGTGGCACCTGGCTGACCTAGGAAAGGTAGTGGGCCCCACTGGAATGGAGGAGAGAGGAAGGTTTCTGTGGCCTGTTTGAGCATATTCCTTTGTGAAAGGTGTACAGACAAATCAGAGATGAAAGGGACGAGTTTGATCAATGAAGAAAGACCCGGGTTGAAATGCAGGAAGTGGTAGAAGCCATAGCAGCATTTCCTGGAGATTCCGAGGCGTTTGCAGTGCTAGAGACACCCCAGGTATTCAGGATGCTGGGATGTCAGGTGTTGGGGGCCTGGGGATACTGAATATCAGGGATGTTGTGTGCTGAAATGGTGGATACTGGAGACACTGAGATGTTGGAGATGTTGAAAACTGAGAAAGGGTTGCTGAGATCCTGGAAATGTTGGGATGCTGGGGATATTTGGCATGCTGAACAAGTTTAGGTGTTAGGGTTTCAGGGAAGCTGGGGTGTTGGTTTGCTAGGATGTTGTGATGCTTCACTCTGTGTTTGCAAGGTAGGGGTACAGAGCCCTCCCATGGCCCACTAGGGAAGTGCAGGAACCCATCTGCCCAGGGAAGCAATGTCCTTTCTGTTCTGTGGTTGTTCTTTGAGAAAGGTGAAGATGGAAGCTAAGTTGTCATTTCCTCCTGCTCTGTGTTCCCCTGGTACTTCCTAAAGTCATCAAGCTCCTCCTCCTGGTGAGGAACCAGGCAGTAGAGCTTTGGTCTGAGGGGAGAGCCAAGCCTTTTGTACCTGTTCTCTGGCCAGTACCTAGAGCCTGGTCCCACACACATGCTCTGGTAATACCTGAGGGTAGGGGGACTATACCTTGGCTTCCTGGACCAGCAGAAGGTCATATGCATACTCTCATAGTCACACTCATGAACACTTACATCGCATGCTGTATACATTCACATACTTGTGATCATACACATTACTTGCTCAACATTCATATACAACTCACATATCTACAGTCACACATATCAACACAATCACATTCATGCACACATATAACTTGCAGTCATGTTCCCACACTCACATATACATGTGCACTCAGCACACACAGGAAAAGACTTGGAGGACCCACTGACTGGCTGAGCATCCCCTCCATGCCCATCATGACCTCCATAAGACCTCCTCTGATGCAGGCCATGGATCCTACCTCCACATCTCCTGATATCCTCTGATCAGACTGTCCCCACTGAATGTCACTCCAGCCCAATGTTCTGCCCACACTTCATGTTTGAATTCTCACATCATCATCAAAGCAGACTCAGTGTTTCTCGAAGTGAATACACAGCCATGAAAAGCTGCCATGGTCTGCTGACTGCAGTGAATAGAGGGCACACTCCCCACAGCTGTTCCTTCCTAGGGTGGGAGCTGCAGACCAGCAGCCCACTGACTTCTTCCAGGGGACATCCAGCCAGTGATAGGCTCCAGCCCACCAGCAGAGGCGTGTGCAGGAGGTGGTAAGCTAGGTAAACCTTAGGCAGTTTAGATGGGCTATGTCAGGATATAAAGAGCCAATGCTCTGGGTCAGGGTGCCATCTTTGTGTCTCCCTGGGAGAGCCACTTGTCCCTGTAGATCCTCCCTCCCCAACTTTGGAAACCCCTTAGGTGACGGTGGCACCACATTCTTCTGAGAGTGGCCAGTGTTACCTCCTGCCCTTTCTTGCCACTGCTAGGATTCCAGGTGCACTTTGGGTGGCCACCTTCTGGAGTTTTGCTCACCAGCTGGCATGGGCGGGAGTGTTTTTGTGTCTGTTCCCTTGGACGTATTGAGCTCTGGCAAAATACTGAACCTTCAAGGAGTCAGGGAGCCATAACCACGTTAGATGGCTATGTAGGGGCTCACTCCTTATAACTGGCGCTCAAAGTAGAGTGCCTTGCGACACTGCCATAGCCCATGGCCCCCATGCTAACTCAACACTGCCCAAGGTGAGCTAGTTTATGGGATACCCAGTGGTGTCTAGAGAGGGTGGGAATGTCCCCTCAGTAGAGGAAAACTCACATTTCACATCAGGAATGCTGGTGACTGTCCTCCTGTTAGATCCTCAGCACTGCCTGGGAGGGTGTTAAAGAGTTCCTGCTGTGGGAGAGTACCGGTGACACCTGGGCATCTGAGAGCCAGAGGGAAGTGTGAGGAACAACTTGAAGGAAAGCCTGCAAACCCCAGTCCCAGGTGGCCCCGCCTCAGAAGAGCCTGACACCAGGGTCTCTGCTGGCAGCCAGGAGTCCCTCTGTCTCCAGCACTTCTGCAGACAAAGGGCAGTGGGTGGCATCTGTAAGAAGGGGAAGTGAGTTTCAGGGATAATATAAAGAACCCCATAATCTCACACTCTTGGAGTCAATGGCTGACCTGAGTGGTCCATGGAAAAACAAAACATGTCTGGAGAGAAAAAAGATTTTGTGTCACATTCTTCTTATTTATAGCTACTGTATAACCAGGAAAATGAGTTTTAATATTTGATGTGCTTGGATTTGAAAACTGAGATCTTACTACATAAAGTATGGGCAATGCTTCCTTGGTGGGAGTAAATATCTTTGTATTTACTGCTGTATACACACTATGGAGACTCTTTATGAATCAACAAAGACCCACAACAGTGCTGTCTTAGGACTGGAGAGATAGTTAACTTAGAGGGACTTGAGGCTTCACCTCTAGGGTGGAACACTGCTCTGGGACCCTTGGGAAAATGTGACATTTAAGTTTCAAAATTATATCAGGCAAACCCAACTTTATTATACACCCACACACAGATGGTCCATGAGGTTTTCCCACCTCATGAAGGTGCAAAAGAGAGCCATATTCAATAGAACTCACACTTCAGTATTGAATTCCAATCTCCTCCCTGGCTGCCTATATGAAATACAAGCTCCAATGACACAGGGCAGTAGCTGGAACCATAACCCCGCCCCCCATAATCATGTATGTATCCTCCACTCTTCAGTGGCCACCCCCCAACAGACCTTCACCTCAGCATGCCCAAGTTCTAGAAAGTAAGAAAGTACCTCAGAGATGCCCCAGCTTCCCAGTGCAAAACCCCTGTGGTAGACATCTTGCTCCTTGACCTGCCCAGGGCCCAGGGGGAGCTCCAGGCCCATCCGCCTCCTCCCAGGTGGGGTTCCTGACTGGAGCTCTCGGGTTCTGGGCTTCCTTTGGTTCCTTCATGGAGGGAAAATGAACATAAACCAAGATCCCCCCAGCTACAAGACCAACCTCTGAGGTCTAGTGACCATGTCCTACGTGTGTCCACCACCATGAACATCACCACCAATCCTAGCTGACAGTAAGTCTGAATGTAACACCCCAGTCTCTCAGTGAGAAACCTTCACAGCTCACTGACACACACACACACACACACACACACACACACACACACACACCAGATCCTGCAGGGTTGGGCCCACTGTTCCACATTGCCAGAACTCACTATGGTATTGCTGCCTGCCAAGGGTCATTTTTTTTTAAACTTTTATTCTTCTCTCATACACTACATCCCTACTGCAGTTTCCCTTCCCCCTCTCCTCCCTGGCTCCCTCCCCCTTCTCCCCCAGATCAACTCCTCCTCTGTTTCCCTTATTGCTAATGCAGCGGCCCATTGTGTAACTGACCATCCTTAGCGAGGCTTTTGTTGGCTATTTGGGTCACTTCCACCCTCAGGCCATCATGAGTAAAGCAGCCACGAACACTCTCTACAGGACTTCAAAGGAGAGATGCATCCATCCCTTGGGGCAAGCACCTATGAGGAGAATTTCTGGGTCATGAGGCAAGTACATGCCTCAGTTTACTTGGAGCTAACAATTTTCCAGAGTTTACATTCCCATCAACTGTGTGGTATATGCAGCTCTTTGTCCTCACCAGGCTTCCATCTCATCAGGCTTCTTGATTTTAGCTGCACTGATGGGTTTGAATGCAGGAGACATCTCTTGGTTGGTTTTTTTGTTTGTTTGTTTTATTACTGGCAAAGTCAGCACTCATTCAGTGCTTTCTGGATAGTCTCGTATCTCACAATTGTCACGTGTCTGTCCAAGCCTTTAGCATCTTAAACTTGTCTATAATTTTTCTGTTGAACTCTTGGTCTTGTATCAGAGATTTTATTGTGAATATTTTCTCTCAACCTGTACTCTACCTTTTCATTTTCCTAGCAACCTCTTTCAAAGATCAGAAGGCTTTACTTTTGAGGACAAATTTATCTGTTTCTCCCTTTGTGATTTTTGTGTTTATGCCTACTAAGGTCTCACGGACTCATGTGATGACTCATAGCCCCAGCAGGTGGCGCTATTTTGAGAGGTGGCGCTTTGCTAGAGGAAGTAGGTCACTGGAGGCGTGGCCTTGGGGATGCGGCTCCTTACTTAGCTCTTGGGTACATTTGTCCTTCTGCACTGCACTCCGTTCTAAATGCTCATTTGGGCTTTTAGAGCCAGGTTTGTCTTTGTCTATGCGCCTGCTCACCTGATGCTCCAGGGATCTCCATCGCTGCCCACCCACTATGGCTTCTCAGCTTCCGAAGTGCAGCCTCATCTGCAGCCTGGAGCTCAGCCCCAGCTAGGACCTCCAAGACTACTGTGTCTTAGTGGGAGTCCTCTCCGAGAGTCATCCTCGCCCAAGGGCCCTAGAAGGCGTCTTTCCACCCTCCATGACCCCACGACTGCTCCAATTCCTTGGAATTGGAGCTTCTGGCCCAGACCGCAGCTACAGGCAGATCTGCCCAGTCTTCACTCCTCAGATCCCCAAAGGCTTAGTTAGATGTCACATGTAGACCTGCCACAGGTGGTACCTGGAGTTAGAAAGGGGGATTCTTTCCAGGCTGGTGGCTTCCTTGTCCTCTGGTACCCAACAGCCCTCCTTCCTGCTCCTCTAGACATCCTCTGTTAGATATTTGCGGACATGCGTCCAGCCCGCGCTCACCCAAAGCAGGGAGGTTCTGTGGAGCGCTCTTGTCTTTTCCCTGACTCAGCAAAGCGGGGACACTGAAGAATGAGTGGATGGATGAGAGGTGAGCGCAGCCTGGCGAGGAAACTGAGGAAAGCCCGGCGTTGGTACCAACTCGACACTCAAGAGTTCTTGACGTGGATTCGCTTGGTGTCCGCCAGTCTCGCCCCGCCCCCTTCTTGCCTCCTTTTCTGCTCCCTTCCCCTCTGTGCTACCTGCGTCACGCACCCCCTAAGTGTAGCCCCGCCCCGAGCTCCTGCGTCCTCAGTCTGGGTCCGTCTCTAGGCAACCGCTTACCGGTACAGCAGCGAAGCAGCTGTCTGACCGTGGGCCTCAGGCGCCATGGACCTGGTCATCACGCAGGAACTGGCCCGTGCCCAGAATCAACAAGGTGGGTCTCATCCTAGCTCTGCTGATGGGAACCCCCTCGCCCCAGTAGAGAGGCACAGAGGCCTCCCATGATGCGGTGGCTACAGTTGTTGAGCCTGGCCTAACTGTTGAGTGGGGAGGGCTGTGGGCAGCCTGGCCAGGAATTCAGACTCCTGTTTCTGTGCCAGAGGAAAGCTCTCCTGGGGACTGTGTCTCTCTGACGCACCCATACCGGGCCCCTCTGCTGATCCTCTGCCCCATAGACACAGCTGCCCTGCAACGAGCTTATGAGCTGATCAAGTCAGCAAACCTGGGAAAGTCGGAGTTCGACCCCTCAGAGAGCTTCAGCCCGGACCTGTTCGTGCTGTGTGCAGAGCAGGCACTCAAGGTGGAGCCCCAAGCCTGGCTGGCACTGGGACACAATGAACCTGCCCCCCCTCACATTTTTATGTATAAATGGCACAGAGGAGGGAGGGTAGGGCACTGATGAGTGTTGTGGGAATGGGAATGGCCAAGCTAGTCTCACCAGTGACCTGAAGCCCCTTTATTCCGGGCATCTTCCCTACTTTTCCTGGCTTCAATCTCCTACAGATGGGCGAGCCTGAAATGAGTGATGACTGCATCCAGATGTACTTCAAAGTGAAGGGGCCAGTCACTCAGTTTCTGGGTCGAGCACATTTGTGCAGGGCCCAGCTTTGTGCCCCACAATCAGAGGAAAACCTGGTGAGAACATCCCCCTTCTTTTTTTACCCCACCCCCAGGGATGGCAGTAAGGCAGGCCTTGAGAGTGGCTTTCAAGCAAGATGGAGTTGAGGAGCCAGATGACATGTCCTCCACAGTGATGCAGAATGTTCACAGTTCCTGTTTGTGCTTTTTCTCTCCACTCAGCACTTGCCAGTGCCTGGGATGAATCCATCTGACCTCCCACCTCTGCGTGGCAGTGCTATGGCCTGTCTGTCTTTTCTCTACCACAGCCCTCCCTGAGCTGAGCAGAGGGGGGAGCTGGGAGAGGCTGGCACCCATGGGCACAGCCAGCCGTGGTTTCTCAAGAGTCTCCTGCTGTACCCCAACTGTGCAGAAGCTGGGGTGCCAAACAGTTTGCATTTGGTGACAGAAGTGGAGATGAGTGGTGATGGTCACTTGGGCGGCAAAGGTGCCTTACCTGTGCATCCATTGTGCTGTTTTAGGAGGAATTTGAAAATTGTGTGACTCAGTACATGAAGGCTATAAACTTCGCAAAAGGAGAACCGAGGTAGGCATGCTGAGCTGTCTGCTTCTACTTGACTGCGTAAGACTTTGGTACCCAAAAGTACCAAGTGATCCTATTGATTTATACTGTCAACCATCCCTTCCCCATTTTGTTTTGTGTTTGGAGTTAGGACACAGGCTTGTCTTGTTACTTGGGAGAATCAGCCATGTTCATGCAGACTTCCCAGAAGCAGCATCCTTTGCTGTGCTCAGGACTTGTTGAGATTTGTAGATAGCTGTCAAAGTACTTTCTCTATGACCTCCTTCCCAACCCATCCCCCAGACCCCCTTGTTCCTGGCTTTTGGGGGTCAGTCTCTCTGAAGGGAGAAGGGCACACTCTGTGGTTCCTCCAGCTGGACTGTGGTCCTCTGCCCCTGCACCCTTTCCTGTCCCCTGCACCTCTTCCTGTCTCTGCAGCTGTGACTCTGTGACTCTCGCCCAGCTTTCTATCTAGCACTTGTTTTTTTGTCCACCCCAAACTCAGATTCAATTATTGAAAAGTTAAGTTGGCATACACCAGCATTGGCACACATGCAGTGGGACCCAACATTAAAAGGGGCTTCCATTCATTCTGCCCATGTCCACTGCTCATCTGTTGAAGGCCTTCTCAGGTCACACACTCATAGGTACAAGGGTCCAGGGTCTAGTCCCATAGACCTTCCCTACAGGGGTCAGGAGCCGACTCTGCACCAGAAAATTTAGCAGAGTGAATGTTTCCAAATACAGCCTTCAGCTCCTGGCCATGCTCCACTGCAAGGATCTTGGAAACAACTATAGATGGGCTGAGGGGTGACTGGGACTCACTGGTCTGGTTGCTGGCAACTTGGTTTCCCTTCCTCCTTCCTGGGTAATGAGCAACAATTGATAGGGGAATGTCTTCCTTTATGCGGTGAATGTGTGTTGCTCTGATTGGTTGATAAATAAAGCAAGGCAGCTTAGAAGCAGGCAGGAAATTCAAAGAGAGAGACAGGAAGAAGGCGGGGAGAGGGGAGTGAATGGTCCAAGGAGCAACATGTAATGGCACACAGGTAAAGCCACAGAACATGTGGCAATACGTAGATTGATAGTTATGGGCTAATTTAAGATATAACAGCTAGCTAGCAAAAAGCTGGAGCCGTGGCTATACAGTTTGTAGTTAATATAAGCCTCTGTGTATTTACGTGGGGGATGTGAATGGGAGAGATTTGTCCTGACCACTGGCAGGCCAGGACACAGGAAAACTTCTAGCTACAAACAATGGCCTGTCTGATGACCAATCAGTGGTAGAACATCAGGGCTGCCCACTCCAGACAGTGGCTTCACAGTAAGAAGGTCCTGCAGTTCCCCTATGTGACTCTCTCAGATGATGCCCTGCCACTCAGAGGGAGATGCCTGAAAAGAGTCTCTCCACACACCTTCAACATCTCCTCAAGGGTTTATGTCCAGACATGGAGTTTGTCCTTCAGTCCCTCACTTCCATTTGCAACACACTCTGTCTGGCCATCTTTTTTTTTTTTTTTTTTATTAATTTATTTTGCAATACAATTCAGTTCTACATATCAGCCACGGATTCCCTTGTTCTCCCCCCTCCCGTCCCCCTCACCTTCCCCCCAACCCCCCCCCCCCATTCCCATCTCCTCCAGGGCAAAGCCTTCCCCACAGACTGAGGTCAACCTGGTAGATTCAGTCCAGGTAGGTCTAGTCCCCTCTTCCCAGGCCGAGCCAAACAATCCTGCATAGGCCCCAGGTTTCAAACAGCCAACTCATGCAATGAGCACAAGATCTGGTCCCACTGCCTGGATGCCTCCCAAACAGATCAAGCCAATCAACTGTCTCACCCATTCAGAGGGCCTGATCCAGTGGGGACCCCTCAGCCATTGGTTCATAGTTCATGTGTTTCCATTCATTTGGCTATTTGTCCCTGTGCTTTATCCAACCTTGGTCTCAACAATTCTCGCTCATATAAACCCTCCTCATTCTCGCTAATTGGACTCCCAGAGATCCACCCAGGGCCTAGACATGGATCTCTGCATCCAGATCCCTCAGTAGTTGGATGAGGTTTCTAGCACAACAATTAGGGTGTTTGGCCATCCCATCACCAGAGTAGGTCAGTTCAGGCTGTCTCTCGACCATTGCCGGCAGTCTGTTGTGTGGGTATCTTTGTGGATTTCTGTGGGCCTCTCTAGCACTTTGCTTCTTCCTATTCTCATGTGGTCTTTATTTAGCATGGTCTCCTATTCCTTGTTCTCCCTCTCTGTTGTTGATCCAGCTGGGATCTAAAAATGTTTTTGTTTTTTTTTTTTTTTTTTGGTTTTTCGAGACAGGGTTTCTCTGTGTAGCTTTGCGCCTTTCCTGGAACTCACTTGGTAGCCCAGGCTGGCCTCGAACTCACAGAGATCCGCCTGGCTCTGCCTCCCGAGTGCTGGGATTAAAGGCGTGCGCCACCACCACCCCTGTCTGGCCATCTTTTGTCCACTTGGCTCCTGGCTGATTCTTGGACTTCTTCCTGGTTACAGTAGGATGCCACCTCCTCCAGGAAGCTTTCCATGCTCTTTCCCTCCTTGCTTATGACTGTATTTTCATAGGGCCTGGTTAGTTCATGGAATGACTAAATGAAAGGAACCTGCTCTAGACAGGTACCATGTCATCACCACTGTGAGACAGCCACTGCTCATGTGGAACAGGGCTGTCAGGGGATGACTCTGCATCCTGGTGCTGATGCAGAGGTGCCTGTATCTGATGGTGATGGGACACACCTCCACTTCCCTCCTGAATGGGTCCAGGCATCAGGATCCCCCAGCCCTGTGACTCTATAGCACTCTGACTTCCACTCCCTGCCTAGGTATTACTTCTTGGTGTTCAATGCTTCTGTTCTCTACTGGCACATGGTGCGACCATTCCTCAAGCCTGGATATCACCAGTATGTGATCCCCAGCCTCTCCCAAATCGTCAACGTGTTAAATCAGACAGAAGAGGAGGACAAGGAGTGGCAGGCAGAGCTGATGATGTGAGTGGGGGCGGTAGGCCAGTCCTAAGCTTATTATGACTCAGGCTATATGTACCTCTCTTTCTCTTCCAAGGGAGGAGCTGGGTTCCTGAACTGTCAGGGTGTTCTTTCTAGCAATTGATGGATATTGCAACAGGCCGTAGAGATGCATGAGGATTCAAAGCAAAGGAAATGTGGCACAGTCCCGGCCCACACTTTTAAAGCCTTAGTGCAGTGGGGTTTTGTTGCTGCTGCTGCTGTTTTGGTTTGGGTGTTGGTAAGCACTTTGGCAAATAGCTTTGCCAATATGAACATCACATCTGGGTTCCCAGGTGCCTGTGCGTGGGAGATCTGAGGTCACTGCCCTGAAGCCACAGACTATCAGCAAATGCCTGGTAACTGTGCCAGCTAGACAGAGAAGGGATCTTCCACAGGTTTTGTTAGATCTTGCTACAAGCAAGGGACCAGCTGATTTTGACAATGTAGATCCCAGCATCAAAGATGTCAGCTCAAGTCTAGAGCAGTCTGCAGGCTTAGGGTACCTGTTTGTGGCCATTTGGGAACCTCAAAGAGAAAATTGATGCAAATGAGATCTTCCTTCAAAGTGTCGTCTGGAAATGTTCTTGATAATTAAAATGGCAATAGTTCCCATGCTGTCTGCAGTAGCTTCTTCCAATCCTGGCGTTGCCGTGGATCCTGGCGAGTGTCAGGCGCTTCCCTGGGAAACCTTTGAAAGTTTGTGAAACATGGAGTTTGCAAAAGCCTGAGAATCTGGCTCCTAGAGGTTTGCAGCCGAAGACAGTCAAGCAGGCTAATGTGTGCTGTTTGCTGTTGTCCAGGGAACTTCTTGAATGCTACCTGCAAGCCGGAAGGGACGAGGATGCTGCCAAGTTCTGCACGACGGCCGCACCATTCGTCAAAGCCAACGTGCCGCACAAGTACCGGCACATGTTCTCAGTCATGGTAAGAGGAGACTTCCCAAGGCAAGGCAAGAGGCGGTGTTGTTCACGGTCATTGTGCAGAGACTATGCACAAAACCACAATGAGCCTATTTGTTGAAGAATATAAAAACATACACATATGAACAAAACAAGAAAAAATAATAAAAAAAGAAAAAGGGCAGTTCATCCTATATGAAAAAGCAAAGCCCTTTTATTACTATTGTTTAAATATTTCTTTTGTAACAGCATCAAATTTTTAGAAGATTAACAGAAAATTTGTGAAATATAAGTAATACTATAGCACCATGTCCCCAAAGTGTCTACAACCTGTAAATTTTGATGTATAAGAATCAGCTTAACGGGGTGGGGATTTAGCTCAGTGGTAGAGCGCTTGCCTAGCAAGCACAAGGCCCTGGGTTCAGTCCTCAGCTCCAAAAAAAAAAGAATCAGCTTAAATTATATATAAAATGTATAAAACTTAATTAGTGATCATTTGTCTTAATTACAAATATTAATTTTATAGGCGGAATAAAATAATATCTAGACACAAAATCTGAATGAATCTCTAATTCATCATTTGAATGCAAAGTAACATTTGGTTGCATTCTCGGACAGGTTCGTCATGAACTAATGGATGACCATCAGTTAAGGGAAGAGAAAAAGCATTCCACAAGTCTCTCCATCACTTACCACATCAATTCGCTAAAAGCGTAAGTAGTTTGGGAAGGTTGACCTTCTCAGGCTGAGATCAGGACACTGTCCCTTCCCTTGGGACACCCTTTGTCAGTGACAGGAAGTTTTAGGGCTTAGGGCTGGCTGTAGGAGCTACCCTAGAGGAGGTTGTACTAGGGTTTTGTGGAGAGGACCTAAAGTAACCCCCACTTACTATGTACATTACTGAGAAGCAAGGGGTAGTGAAGCCACCAACAGAGTAATCGGAGTCCCAGCAAGTAAAGAAAGTCCCCAACCAAGTCAGATGCTTCTCACAAGTCCTGCCAGATGAGACTTGAGGGAGACCATGAGGAGACAATGTGTGTTTCAGGCTAAGGAGAGTGAGATTACAATACGCTTGGTCCTGAGGAGAGTGAGGAGATTACAGCATGCTTGGTCCTGAGGAGAGTGAGGAGATGACAGTATGCTTGGTCCTGAGGAGAGTGAGGAGATGACAGTATGTTTGGTCCTGAGGTGAGTGTGGAGACCAGAGCTTGTTTGAAGCTGAGGGAGACTGCTTATTTCTGAGAGGTTTTGACCTCCTGGCAATAATGCAAAGCTACAAAGAGACTGCTAAGGACCAAAGTGCCCCAGGGCAGGGGTCCTAGACAGTGCTGGCTCAGCAGACAGGCCCTTGCATACTTTCCTGGAGTTTCCCTGCGGGGATATAAGAAAAGGAGTAATATTACCTGCAAAGAAAAAGATAAAGAGGCATGACAATTTGCCTGGGAAATTGGGCACGAAGAGAGAAGAAGGGACGTTTTAAGACCTCCATTCTGTGAGAAGCATGGGTTCATTGATTTAAGAGTTTCCTGGAGAATAATTTTTTAACAATATGACAGGATGATTTGACAACATAGTGTTTAAATCAATTCTAGGAAATTGGATAAAAATAATTTGCCAGAAGACATCAACCAAATTCTGAAAAAAGCCTATAAACATTTAAGTCATTACAGTCACCATCGCTTCCCTGACATCAGAGAAGAAAAGTAAGTGTAAACCTTCCTTTGTGTGCATACACATATACCTACATGGCCACCGCACAGTATTCAGAAAGTACCAGAAAATGTGAAAAAATACAAAAACATGCAAGCACCAGCCCCACACCAGGGGAAGATTTGGCGCTGCCCCTCCGGCATGACATTGTCCTGACGTTTACACTGTCTGTGTACCGCAGTTGTGGTGTGGACCTTCGTGTCTAAGCACAATCACTTTCAGCTCGCCACAGTGCCTCGAAACTTCTTAGCAGCTACACTTAGAAGAATGTATTGAGTCCTTCCCAGGAGCTCATCTTAATTCTGAGGTTTCTGGCATTTCTGAATACTGGTGGAGTTGGGAGGAGTTCTGGGCTGGCTCCTGGATGAAGAAGCAGGTGGTGCTGATGCAGAGGTAAGGATCTGGAATGTTCTTTCACAGCGGTGGCGGGAGTTTGTTCCTCGCCTCAGTGGTTATCTATCACACCCTCGTGAGCACTTCGCATTGGTTTGATGACGTAATTGCTCCCATGCGTTGGCTTTTGATTTCCAAGTCTCTGATCACTAGTGGGGTGCCGTGTTCACCTATGTTCGGGGCTTTCGGACTGCCTCCCCTGAGAATTTATCTTCTGAATTCTCAATGATTTTCTCACTAACTTCCGTTCTCTCCTAATGTAAGAAACCTTGGCTATGATAGTTGTTTTAGCCACGGGGCCTCTCCATACGATAGCCACTGTTACCAGAGGCAGAGCACCGCCTGGTCTCAGGGATCATTTGGCCACCGACGTGGGCTGAAGTGTGTCGATTTTGTATATAAGAGGCTGTACCATTGATGAGAGTGGTGTCAGCGTCAGACTGCAAACGTGATGCAGAAGCGGGCCTTTGTAGCTACGAGTCCAGATGTGTCATACCAAATAAAGGTGGCCTCCGACTCCCAGGACAGATGTCCTTTAAGAAAAGGGAAATGCAGGCACAGAGACACACATGGGAACAGAAGGTACCAACAATTACTGGCCATAACCTGGGGAAGTGAGGAGGGATCCTCTACTGAATCTTCAAATGGAATGTAGCTTGGGGGAACACTTTTTATTTGAAGTCTGGCCTGAGAACTGTGCGACAACCGTGTCTGCTGTTTTCTGCTACTTGGTCTATAGTGCTGTGCTGTGGGAGCCCAGAAAGCTGGCTGAGAGCGTGCGTTAGTTATCTGTGTCACAAGATAAAGCTTGACCCTGGGCACATTTGTCTCTCTCTGGTTGTGTCTGTGGGCAGGGTCCACTTACCAACAAGATGCCTCCCTCGGGTCTCTCTGGCAGCTAAGCAGGGAGAGAGCTTCCCTGCTCACATGGCTGCTGGCACCATTAGTTCTTATGGCCCATGGGGTAACTCCAGAGGGGATGGCCTGCCTGCCTTATCAGAACAGCCAGGGAAAGCACCAGTTGTCTACAGGCAGGGCTATGTGTGGTTCAGGGCTGGGGGAGACTCCGCTTGCACACAGGGGCTGTGTAGTGCTTGACACATACTCCTCAGGGGGAGGAGCATGCAGAGGGCCACACTTGGGGTCCTAAGGGCCCCAAAGTCTAAGTGAGAACCAGAGGCTCTCCACACCGGCTTTCAGACCCTCTTGTCAGGTTAATAACAGCTCTCTGAGAGGAGTGAGTGCTCATATACATTTGAATGTGTATGTATGCTTGCTCCTGGAAGGAAGGCCACATCTGTCATCAGATTCTCTAAGTTATTTTAACTGAAGTCAGACCCCAGCAGTCCTGTCCATGACATTACAAAGGCAGAGAGATACTGCGTCTGTTCCCCCAGAATGGCTGCCAGTCTCTGGAGATACTTAGTGGTCACCGCTGGGGATGTTGCTGGAGTCCAGTGGGAGGAAAGCAGGGATGCAGTGGCAGGCCAGGGGATGAGGAGATGCAGAAGGCCCAAGGTTGAGGTCAGGAAGCACTGGCCAGTCTCCTAAAGGACCATAGGCTAGCCTACGTCTCAAAAATGGGCGATTTCCTCTACCAATTTGTTGTTTTTCAAAGCTGTTTGTCCATCACAGGTTCCTGTACTTTAACATACATGTAAGTGTCACCCGCTGAGACTTGGTGATGGTGGCTGTATTGATGACATCCCATGTGCCAGTCACAGGGAGGACAAACCTGTGCTGTGTCTCTCCCCACATGACCTTCTTCTAAACTGTGTCCTCGACAGAGACAACTATGCAAGGGGTTTGTAACGAACCAGTGTTTCCCTGGCCTCATGGCACCTGGGCCATGGCCTGGAATCCTGGCTGGGGACTGCTGTATGATGTTTTGTTTGTGTTCTGACAAATAAAGTTTGCCTGGAGATCGGAGTGGGGAGGCCAGGCAGTGGTGGCTCACACCTTTAATCCCAGCACTCAGGAGAAAGGAAGCAGGAAGAGCGGGAGCTCAAGGCCACCCTGGGCTACATGAGATTGAACCAGTCTAAAAGAGAAACAGAGCCAGGCGGTGGTGGTGCACACCTTTAATCCAGCACTTGGGAGGATCATGCCTTTGATCCCAGCACGTGGGAGGATTATGCCTTTGATCCCAGCACTAGGGAGGAGGAGACAGGATTTTGTCCCCCATTCAGTCTGAGGATTCATAGAGATAGAATCTCCCCTATTCTGTCTGAGGTTTCGTAGAGATTAAGAGTCTCTAGTGGTGGCGGCTCTGCTTCTCTGATCTTCCAGCTTTCACCCTCCATATCTGACCCCCAGTTTTTATTTAATAAGACTAATTAGGACTGCACTTCAGGGGACAGTGTGTCCAGTGGGGACAGATACAGCGTTGTGGAGAGCTCTGGGTCCTGCAACAACTGGGAGGCGGGGCCAGCACAGCAGGTCTGTAACTTGTTCTGTCTTACTTCACTCCTAGCTCCTGCGACTGTCACACCACGGTCACGGTGGAGCAAGGCTGACGTCACCACCACACACGCCACACACGTCAACTTCTGCCCTACGCTGAGCCAGGGCCTGTTTGTTTCTTTATTTCCAGAATGCTTCTGCTCTTTGAGTTGGGCCGCCTGTCCCTGACCTTGAAAAATGAGCCCATTGCCTGCGACTGCCTCTCAGATCTGAAGAAAATTCAAACCAAAGTAAGTGACGTAAGGTTAACGCTGGGTGGTGGCCACAGAGGGTAGCTCAGAGGATGGTGAAAAGGGTTGGCGGGAAGGCCTTCTGTCCTCGGCGGGCGGCACGTCCCCTGCAGGAGCGTGCTGGCAGTGTCTCCTGGTCGGCACTCGGGTCTCGCGTCTTTCCTTTCACCTTTATCGCTGGCTCTGGCCTGTGTCGCCACCACTGTTCAGGGAAGGGCTGCGTAATGCTCACACTAGTAATGATCTGACCCCTGGACATTTAAATCATACTTAATTTTTGCTTATTTCTCAAAGGACCCCAATAGAAATTCTCTGCCTAAACCAATGCTTTAGCAATTAGGGATTCCTCAGTGACATGGATTGCCAAGAGCTGTTACTGTGAATTTTTTTTATGCTTATGACAATATCGCCATCCAGGGGAAGTTTAGGAGTACACACAGTGGTAGATGGTAACCCTCTTGTCTTCCGAAGCCGCATGAGGCATTTCCAGAGCGGAGAGTGCTTTTCCCAGGAGTGCTGCTGCTTTCAGGAGTGAGGTTAGATGATGGTTGTGCTGGACAACCTGGTCCCTGTCCCGACCACCGCTTCCTGCTGTCTTAGTTGAACACTTGCTGTCTGTTCGGTCTCGGTTGCCTGTAAGGGTGAGCCTCTGTGGCCTTCTGGTGTTGGTTAGCTGGAGTCACAGGGCCAGAGCAGACAAGCAGGAACAGTTCACACAGCCAAAGGCGAAATGGGTGCACATGGGGTGGCAATATAGGACTGCTTTCAATGGAAATAAGACTCCATCTGGACCTTCACTATCAGGTGAGGAGAAAGCGGCTGAGGCTGGGACACATGGAGTGTGGAAGTAGCATATGATAGGATTATGTTACAGCACTTAACCAAATTCTTTTGAGGTCCGTTTTCCTCTTCTAGGTGTCTTTGACACCGGCACCCAAACCCGGCCCTGCTCCCTCTTCACCAAGCAATAGCTTCCTTCTCTCCCTGAACCCTGGGTTTTGTCTTTAAGATAGCAATGCCAACAGACACATCTCACAATGACATCTGTTCTTGGTGAGCGGAGAAGTGTCGGGAGAGCCCCACCTTGCCAGGGAGACTTTCACAAGACCAAAGAGCTTTCAACTCCACCCCTAGAGCAGTGCCCAGCTGCAGGCCTCTCTTCTACTCTGCCACAGCTACTGCCCATCCACAAGCCTCTCTACTACCTGTTGAAGCAGCCCCCCTCCCATCTAACATTCCAAGGAGGCCATTGGGCTTCCTGGCTCTGCCTTTCCTAACTGAAGCTGTGGTCTGTGTGGTAGAACACCTTGGCCACTTGCTCTGGGTATCTTTAATTCAGGGGCAGGGAAGGATTGAGGGTTCTGTGCCTCTGATTCCATACACACACTCCCTTCTCCTCACTGGTCTGTTCCAGGCCTCCATCTCAATGTGTCCAAGGTGGGTCATTCTCATTCATGCATGCCTGAGAGAGATAAATTTATATTTCTAGTTAAGGATTCTGTAGGTAGGCAACAGTACATCAGTGTCAGTAAGAGTACATCGGTTCCAGCATTTTATATCATGTTTTCTGCTTGTTGTTTTTATTTCCTGTGAAAAACACTTCTGTTCTTTATCTATGAGAAAGGATGTCTCAATCTGGCGAACAACATCTGTCATTTGTTGTGTTCCTTGGTACGAGTTCAGGGAAGACCAGACGTTCTTCACCAGTGAAGTCTCCTGGGTCTTCCTGAGAAGTATGCTTCACTGTGTGTTCATTGTCCATCTTCTCTGCTGGGATGCAGCCCTCTTGAGAATGGGGCACATCTGGCGCTCTCCCTACTACACCTCTACTTTCTGGTATAGAAGCTGGTGCCTAAGAGGTACTCAGGAAATTTCTCCATCTTGCTAAAGATGGCAAGCTTTCAGGCCTGTAGCCCCTTGTATGACCTGCAGGAACCTATGGCCGAAAGTCAAAGAACCAGGCCACTTTCAAGGTCAGTATGGAGACACACCCCAGGAGGAAGAAGCATGGAGCCCACACATCTGGTACTTTGGCAAAACGAAAGCAAAAACACAATTCTACGTGACTGTCCAGAAACAAGCGAGCCTTTTGCGGCATAAAGTGGTGCAGGAAGACAGTGATGGAGTTTACCTTGCGGTCCAAAGAGCAGAGACACAGGGACATTGTCCTCAAGTCAGAAGCACCTGAAAACCAAACAACATACAAGAAACCACAACCTTCAAGGCACTGGACAGCAGATAATGAAGGAAAGTCCTATGCCATTTAACCACATGTAAGGGACCTCAGGAGAAGCCTATGGCATTGACCTGTTGGTGGTGGGGACACAGAACAGAGGAGCAGGAGTGACGGGCACACAGGAAAGCTGCCCTTGACCCCTTAGCTGAATGCTGATGAGCTCGTTCACACTAGGGCAGCAGTTTACCTGGAGAAGTAAGACAGCAGAGCTCTGCAGACAACCTGGGTGTAGCTCCTGTCCTCTTCAACCAGAGAACCAAACTCTGGATTCTCAAGTTGAGTGCTCTGGAGTATAGTGAAAAGCCATCCCCACTTTACTGTGCTCTGATTGTGTATAACAAAGCTTAAGAACAGGAATAAAGAATCGAACTATGAGGGGACGAATGTAGGTGTGAACTCACAATGACTGTGACTGCACAAGATCAAGCCAGCCAAAAGTCCCCATGTAGATGATGGAGGGGGTCACAAAGTCCCACCCTAGCTGGGGAATTATTGTCAGTTGATATCTGTTGGGGAGAGAGTCAGTTTTCTTCAGGGATGCAGTCCCTAAGGGGTTAACTCATTGTCCAGTAGAATGCCCTGCACCCATGCACAGTCTAAAGAACTAACTAGACTCACTGTGTTAAAAAAGAGAGAACAAGAAGTTGGGAGGGAATATTAATGAGAGGGATATGGAAAGGTTTGGAGGCAGATCAAAATACATTATACACATTGTGAAGTTCTCAAACATTAAAGGAATCTCCATTTTCCAACAAAGTAGAATGGACAATCTGTAGTGCCTGCCGAAAAATTACCAGACATGGAAAGAGAGCAAAAAAAATGATTCATGAAAAAAAATGAGAGAGAAAAGCAATCAAAATCAACCAATAAATGATATAAATAACCGTATAGGTTGACACAAGTGCTATTAACTCTATTATAATTCATTCCAGACTTTTTAAAAGGTTGAAAAAAAGATTGAACATTCATGTAAAATAGAAACAAAATGCATGAAACACCCAAGCTTAATTTGAACTTGTAGAGTTGAAAACCGTACTGGCTCCGATGTAACAACATTGGACAGACTCCAGAGCAGGTTAGACACCAGATGAAACGCAGAGAAGAAGCACTGTGAGGAAATTCAGAGTGTCTGCAAGCCTGAAGCAGCTTCCAGTGGACCAACAGAGATGCTAAGAATCTCTGAGGACAACAGAGAAGAGAAGGATACCAGAAGACATAATGACCCAAATGCTACAGTTAGCAACCTTGGAGAAGGAGGAGCAAGGGATGTTAGAAAGTAGTTAGGAGTGGCAGCATACTGCTTGCTGGAGACAATAAAAGCAAAAGATAAGGATGGTCATTAAGATTCTAAAGTCTAGTTGGCCTAAAATCTGCATCCTGAGACCATATCTTTTAAAACAAAAAGGTTTTCTTTGACCTCCTCCTCTTCCCATGAGCATAAAGGAAACTCTGGGGGAGAAAAAAAATGGTGCTTGATGGAGAACTAGATCTGCATAGGACAGTAATTGTGGCAAAGATAACCAGGGTATACTGTGGGGATGTTGGTAAGTAGAACGAGAGGTGAGACTCCACAGCAGAATGGTAGGAAAGATGTGATGTGTGCACCGGTGTGAAATCGCTAATGTGAAGTTACCATGGTAAGAAGACTGCAGGAGGCACAGTCTGATAAACAGATGACACCTGCCATATGTCCCATGAGAGTAGCTCCAAAGTAGTAGTAGTAGTAGGATATGGAGCTAGTGAACTCTCAAAGTAGACAGAAGAACTGAGGATATAGCCCAACTGGTAGAGTGTTTACCTATTAGATATGAACCCTAGATTCCATCCCTAGTACCGAGGGAGAGAAAGAGGAAGAAGGGAAAGGAGGAGGAGAGAAAACTGAAGAAACAATAGAATAAGAAAAATATGGGGCAGATAGAAACAAATGGTGAAATGATGTAATTAATCTGATCTATTATGCTGTAATCACAATAAATGTAAATGGCCTAGTCATCACAATTAAAAGACATGCTGTCCCAACGAGAAAAGGCCAGGTCTTAAACTCACACTGCCTGTGAGAAACCCACATTCAGCGTGAAATGTTTGAGATCTAAAGCTACAGGGTGGTGAAGCATGCAGCCGTGCTCACACTGACAAATGGCAGCTGCTGACACTAGAGAGGGAGAAGCTGGAGGCCGCATTTCTGCTGTTCGGTGTCTGATTTTAGCATTGCTAGTTGTAGAGAGGTCACTTCACAAGGTGAATGGGCTCAGCTAGTAGGGAAAGGATGCCAGTTGTCAGGGGCACCTACCACAGCACTTTAAAATGAAGGAATTAAGTTGTTATAACTGGGGACAAACAAAGTCCAAAAGCAAAGCCAGACATTTCGAGGTGACACTCTGAGTGATGGATAGGATGGGAGATATAAAGACTGGGGCTGGAGAGGTGGCCAGGTTCCATTCCCAACACTCACATGGTGGCTCACAACCAGCTATAACTCTTCTGACTTGCGTACCAGGCATGCACATGGAGTGCAGACATACGTTCAGGCAAAACATTCATATACATGAAATGAAAATAAATTTAATTTTTTTAAATTGTTTGTAAAAATATAAAAGGCTAAGATAAGGCAATCTATTTGTTTTGTGACAGCTATAAATCATACCCCATTCTACCCTGACCTGCCCCCCCCAGCACCAGAATGCACCATCTTCTTGGGTCACAAATTATTTGCCACAATAGGTTATATTCTAGACTTAAAAATACATAAATTTTAAAGACGTTCAATTCTTATGAAGTGTTGACTGACTAGTATGGAATTACATTTGAAGTCACATTTCTACATAGCTCATGAGTCCAATAAAACTTCAAAATGGAATTAGAAGGTATTTTGAGCTGAGTAAAAATGTAAAAAACACTTATCAAAGTTTGTGAGTTATAAAGAGGTCATTTTTTTAAAAATATGTAGCACGTGTGCATGCATGTGGAGACCAGAGGTTGATGTTGGGTATCATTCTCCTTATTTTTTGAGACAGAACCTCTCACTGAACCTGGAGCTTTCTGTTTCGGCTAGACTGGCTGGCTAAGGAGACGCAGTACCTGCCTGTCTGCCCTGCCCAATCAGGGGTTACATGCAAGTGCTGCTGTGATGGCCTTTTACATGGGTGCTGGGGATCTGAACTCAGGTCCTTGTGCTTGCACAGCAGACACTTTCCCCATTGGCCATCTAAGCCCTGTGGGGTGTTTCTTAAAGCAGAGAGACTGCATTTGGCCAAGTTAACAAGGCCTGCATCCATTGAGAACACTTGCACGCAACATTCATCTTTGTAATAGCAGAAAATGGGTAGGAGCCAAGGTGGCCATTAACAGGCAGATGAACGAGTTGTGGTGTTCTGATGGAGAAGGAACAGAGCCAAGCTGTTGGTAAAGATGTGGCCGGGTAGATGAAGCTCTAAATTACTGTGGGACTTGGAGCAAGAGTCAGGGGACACCATGTGATTCCTTCACTTGTTCTAAGAAAGTGGAGATGTTTGGAAAGTAAATGAGATGCTTGGGTGGCCAGTGGGCAGGGGCACAGGCACAGGAAATGGGTGGGTCAGTGTTGTGTCTTCAGCTGGTGAGGCTTTCCTGGGTTTGTATAGGCATAAGTCAAAGCTTACCAAATTGTACACCTCAAATATTTGTAGCTGACTATATGACCTTTATGCTCTAAGAAAGCTTTTTAAAAAGAGACTAACAGGAAAATCAGTAAATTAAAATTGCTGTTGGGACCCAGAGATGAGTTTCATCCATTCAGAAGCCTCCTCCAGCTCCAGAAGCCTGAGCCTTGGGCACAGAGATCATGTGTTCTCTGAAAATACTTTGTCATCAACTGTGTAACTGTGTAACTCTGAAAAACTCAGAAATTCTGACTGTGCCCTCCCCATAAACTGCCTCTTTAAACCTCAGATTTCCAGCTGTGGAGTTTCAAGACCCTGATGAGGTCCTTGAACAAGGGTCACTCAAAGAGCCCTTCACTGGCCATAGTGATGGCAGGGACAGGGCTTTTGTATGCCCTCCCACAAGGGCAGGGTACCTCATACCAAAACCAGGAGCTTTTGCTGCTTGATGCCAGGACCCCAGGCAGGAATGCAATAAAACACAGTTGCTAAATTTCATAGAGGTTGGAAGCTAGTTTCATTATTTAAAAATTTAAGCCAGGGTCTTAAACAAACCACCCCACCCCAACATCACAGAATATTGCCGTTGAGCTTCCAAAACTTGATGGTAAGACTCTATTGCTGAAGACACCACATACTTTAGTCACAGAATGTAGAGAAGTCAAGCTGGTATGTGGAAGCTTCATCCCTACCGTCTAGCTTTCAGAGTACTGGTTCTAAACACACTACCGAGGGAGAAAAGTTGTCATTAGTCTTACTAGTTGCGAGTCACGTGACCTACAGTAACAAAAGGCCAAACATGATACGCCCACTGGTACAATAGCGGCGCATATGTTAGGGGAGAAACCAACCACTTTCTGATCAGGTTTAAGGCCACTCCACATGGTAGAACTCATGCCTGGCACCCTTGATGTGGCCAAGAATCCAAGGCCAGGCAGGTTGTAGGCTCTAGGGGAGAACCTGCCGTTATTATTCTGCTGAATAGATATATCAATAGACTGACTCCTAAAGTCCTATCATAGTCACAGATAAGTGCATCACTCAATCTTGTGAGAGAAGTTTCTTATAATAGAAGATTAACACAGAGTTCCACAACTGGTCAACTTGCAGAGAATAAGAAATTGCAGAGTGCTCAGCCCTAAATGGGACATCTGTATCATACCCCACCTCCCGAAGCTCAGAATTATTGCAGAAGTGTGGGTGGGAAGAGTGTAAGAGCCAGACACGTGAATGACAACCGGGAAACAGTGTCTCCTGGGATGTTGCCCATGTGGACTGACTGTATCTGTGACAAGATAAAGTCACACACACAAATCTCAGCATGCAGTGAAGTCAGAAAGTCCCACAACTAGCTGAGAAACTATTGGCAACTGATGACTGCTCAGAGAAGGAGGGGCCATTTTTTTTAGGAGGGGCCATTTTCATCAGGGATGTCACCCCGGGGAAGCTGCCCATACTCTGCTGGATGGCTCTGTACCAGTGCACATGCTGACAGCAATAGATGGAATCTGTAATTTTTTTTTTAAGTCAACACATGAAATTTGGAGGGAATAGAGGTGGTAAAGATTAGAGCTAGAGGGGAGTGAGTGGGAGTGAGTTTGATCAAAACATATGATATGCACATATGTAATTCTCAGTAAAAAGAGAAGAATTTAAACCAGAGGCTGATGAGATGACTCAATGTGTAGAGGTACTTGCCCCCAAACCTAAGGACCTGAGTTTGATCCTTAGAATCCACATTGCGAAAGGAGAGAGCTAATATTCTTGCAAGTTGCCCTCTGATTCCCATATTTAAACACATATTTACATGATTTTTTTTTAATTTAGGTCAGGTGTGGTGGCTTACTTCTATAATCCCAACACTCAGGAAACTGAGGCAGGACTGGTGTGAGTTCAAAGCCTTCCTGAGCTATAGAGTGAGTTCCAGGGAAGTCTTGGCTATAATGGGAGACCCTGCATTTAAAAAAAAAAAAAGAGAGAGAGAGAGAGAGAGAGAAATGAAAAAATAAAGGAAAATGCAAGGTCCTCTAAAATCAGTGAGGTTTTTTTATTCCCCCTGTTAAAAGGTTTCAGAAAGTCTCTCTCCCTTTGTATCTTTTGACACACGTTCCATTTTTCTCCTGTGACTTGGCACTGTTCTCTGATTGTCCATTTCCTGGTGTCTGTTTCTTCTGGGAATTCAAGGCATTTCAAGGTCTTTAAGGCTGATGAATGTGCGTGATTGCTGTCATTTATGTCTTTGTGCTCAAAGTTCCAATCTGCATCTGCAGGATCCTGGCATGCTGCTAGAAATTGAAGGCCTGGAGTGTGAATTAGAAGCTTTGAGACTGGAGAGCAAACTTAAAATATACCTTCGAGGAGCCGTGGAGGTAAAGCCTTAAGCCTAAGTCAGAGTTCCCCTGGACCCAGGATCACGGGGGTCAGGCTAGCTTTGAGAGCACTGGTACATGGCCCTGAGGTGCCTGGGGGCAGGAAGCCGGAAGCCACGGGGGATGTGGCTGAGAATAGAATGGGTGTGGGGTTTGATGAAGGCTCAGAGCATGGTGAGTGTGTTCCATGGATTCTGAGATTCCAACCTGGAGCATTCTTGCTGGAAAGGACACACAACACAAACCAGAGGTGAATCTTCTTGGGTAGTGAATAAAAGATGCAGGTCCTGATGAGTACACTCCAATAAGAAACAAACGAACTCTGACGCCATTTGGGGTCAAGAAACACAATGAACCAGAGCTGTATCTAAGCCTTTTGGCTGAATGTCTCATAAAGTGCCCACCACAGAATAGGTCTGTGGCATTCTCAGAGGGATTGGGGCCCTGGTCTGATGACCTGGAGATATCGTATGCCTGACCCCCTAATCTGCCATTTACCCAGTTGCCATCCCCAGCACTGGCTTTTCCAGATGGTGACCATAACAAGTTTCCCATCCTAGTCTCACAACCCTCAGCCAGCCACCCAACATGCCCCCTACAGAACCAGCTGGACATCATTAAGAGACTGGACATCACGCTGCAGCGGGCCATCCGTTTGGGTGACCCCAAGACCATCCATGTGCTGTGTACCACCCAGTGGAACACCTGCCTGCCCCTCCTGCAGCGCAACCTGAGGTGCTACCTCCGAAAGCCACTGACCACCATCGCCGAGATTCTGGAAAAGGTTGATAGGTGGGCACCATTTCTCCTGTGTTATCCCCAGGGGCTCTTAGTCGGGGGAGGACCGGGGTAGGGATTTTTAGTATTACAGACAGAGTCCAGGGTGTGTGCACCCTGTTCTCAGCATCATCTGTGGGGGCGCCCAGGTACAAGAGGCCGGCTTCACTTGTTCAGCTGATGCTTTTCAGTCACCCAGGCAACCTAGATCAAGACTCCTCATGGTGTAAACAGTCCTCAAGCTATCTGCCTGTCAGTGTATGGTGGTGGTGATTATCTGGAGAGAGACTTGTAAGTGTATCCTCAGTAGCCATTATGGGCATGTTGTGGACAGGCTATCATCATAATCCAAAGACTCCTTCTAAGTGCACCTCCCTTTGCTCACACCATACTGCAGGGTCCCTGTCATCCCACATCCTCACAGTTTTATGTATCCCTAGACTTCAGCTGTACTGTGGATGTGTACTCATATTCAACAGTAGATGCTTTTTATTTCCTTGTGTGAGCAAGTGTCTTTCCTGTGCTGTTGACATTCAACTGTCTGTTTTGGTGACCTGCCTGCGCAGACCTTGTATCTCTGCCAGTTTAACATCAAGGTCATGCTGGCTTTATACGATGACTTGTGAGGTGCCATTCTAAAATCTCTTTCCAGAGGAGCCAATACAACTACTTGTCATATTTCCCCTAATCAACAGTGAAATCATCCAGGCCCAGGGTGTGCTTGTCTGGTTGTCTATATCCTGGGAAGGCCTTCAGTCTGAGACAGTTTATTGTGTCCCCCAATATATCGTGCACCCTAATAAACTTATCTTGTGTTAGAGAACAGAACAGCCACTAGACAGACATAGAGGCCAGAAAATGGTGGCACACACACCTTTAATTCTATCACTAGGGAGGCAGAGATCCATCTGGATCCCTGTGACTTCAAGGCCACACTGGAAACAGAGCCAGGCATGGTGGTACACACCAGACTTGAGATCTCGTCTTGCTTGAGAAAGACACACACATGCCTTTAATCCCAGGAGGTGATGGCAGGAAGCATAAAAGTCTATAAGGTGTGAGGACCAGGAACTAGAGGCTTTTAAGCTTTTAGACTTTTAGCAGCAGTTTCAGCTGAGATCCATTCGGATGAGGACACAGAGGCTTCCAGTGTGAGGAAACAGGATCAGCTGATGATTGGCGAGGTGAGGTTAGCTGTAGCTTGTTCTGTCTCTCTGATCTTTCAGAATTTACCCCAATAGCTAGCACTGAGTTTTTTGTTTGTTTGTTTGTTTTTATTAATAAGACCATTTAAGATTCATCTTACAGACAGTCTCTAAGTCTGGACCGAAATGAGTAAGCCCTTCCCCAGAGCACTGTGTCACCATGCATGGGTGGTCACATGGCTCATGCTCTGCATCTTGGCTTCTGTTACTTGAAAAGATCCCAGGGAGGGGACCATTGCATGTCCTAGCCAGGGTGTGATGCCAGCACCCTCCCTCTGCTCTGGCAGATGCACTCTCCATTAAATCTGTGTGCATGCCTAGCCTGGCATTCTGTGTCGTTTGATGCGGACTCCAACATGCCGGCTCCCCGTGCCCATTGTGGCACAGCTTGTCTACCAGACACTGCTTTGAGGTGAGCAGCCTCATCATACGCTCATCAGTATGCCTTTCCTCTCTTCATCCTGCCACTGCTCCATCCCCAGGAGCTCGCTGAATGTTCTAGAATTCCTTCTTCCCTCTGCTGGCTTCCTTGCTTTTATGTATCTCTAAGGAGATAGGCTCCTCCAAGGTCACGACTCCCTTTACCTAGCACAGCCTGTATAAGGCACTCAGTTCCCACCATCCCTCTCTCCACCCATGGAGATGCCAGCCTCGTGCAAACCATGGGGCCACTCCACAGCTAACCTGTGCCTGCTGCTGGCGTTCTTTTCATTCTGGGAAAACGTGGCCTCTGACGTTCACCTCATCATTGCTCTGTGGAAGAAGGAATCATCTCCTTCTTCCACAGAGCAGATTTCTCCAGCTGGAGGGCACCCATCCCAGAGCGCAGGGCATGACTGGTGTACACCCTCCGCCCTGCTGATCTGAACGAATCCCACACCCTCAGTTTCAGAAACTGTTGCTTGTTACTGGATGCAGGGTTGGTTCTTTAAACACCTTGCAGAGGGATTTTCTTCCCTCTCCATCATCTCTGATGGAAGGTCTAGTGCAGTATTGTTCTCTGTGTGTACTGTTTCCCTCCTGTTTTTAAGCCTGGCTCTTTAACCTTTCAGCATGTTGATTAGAATAGCCCCAGGAGCCCTTTAAAACTTTAATATAATTCAAGTATGTTAAATGACACTTTTATAAGATTTGGGGAGTTATGAGCTATTGTTTCTTTGAGTACATTCCAGAAATGGGATGCTGGCTTTACACCCGCAGAATGTGGGATGCTCCTCACAGTTCCTGGACACTGCTTGGTTTTTTAGTTCTTTTGATCTCCAGTCTTCTGATCAGGCCATTTCTGTTTCCAGGCTCACGATCTTCCTGGCTGTCCACTCTTCCATCATACAAGTCTAGAATGGTTCTTCTTTCCCTTACCACAGCTTTTGGGTCTCGTGTTTACTTGTTACCACTGTTTTCACTTTTTGTGAGCAGATTCGTGACATGTATATTGTGATATCTACTTTAAAAAACTTATCTGCAAAACCCAACAGCCAGCCTATCTGTGTCTTGGCCCTGCGTCCTGACCCTTCCATCTCCTGGCATTACTAACGACTAGTGATTCTATGTTAAGCATTGCAGGTGGTATCCTATGGAGTCTTTGCATTTTTGTTTGTTTAAGACAGGCTCCTACGTAGCTTGTAGACAGTGTGGCCCTGACTAGCCTTCAATTTGTTATATAAATCAGGTTGGCCTCCAGCTTGCAATGATCCTCCTGCCTCCTGCTTCCCAAGTACTATGAATGGACCACCATGATTGCTGCCGTTTTAAAAGAAGTGTTGTTTTAGTTTTTAAGGGCAGTTTAATGTTGGCTGATGGTCTTAAAATCACATTGGCTGGTCCACCTTGCTCGAATGTACCTCTGGGGGTCCAGATGTTTCCTACACCCATCCCAGAGAGAATTTACCTATGACACAGGCTTTCTTCAGGCTAAGCTTTGTGTTTTGGCTGGAGGAAGAGGAACAGAGATCCCTGCTGTTTAGCAAGTCCATGCTCTAACTGCTGCCTGCTGTGTCAGTGGCCACCTGCTCTGCCTCTCAGGAGCCATGGCTACTTCCTTCATGAGTCTCCTTCCAAGGGACCCTGATTTTATGCTATCCAGCATCAGTACCTAGAAACAGCTGTCCTCTTATTACATCGTTTTTCAGATGGTATGGGTGACTGAGTGACTTTATCATAGTTGGAAGCAGAAGCAGCTGGAGCCTTGGGCCAGCTATCTGGCTTATTTTCAGGCTGTGAACTCTGGTTTTACATCTGCTGATTGTGGTTTTCATTTCTGGTCCCCTGTGGGCTTCTCTTTATGAATGACTCCTGATGTCAGTTCCTGACACGTTTCACATGGGCCTCTCTTATTCCATCCACAGTAGGCTCCATGGTGCCCCAGATCCCTGCTCCTTTGGGTAGCAGAGCTCTAACACCCGTTACCACAGGGTCTCTCCACTTCTCTGCACAGCCTCATAGTATTTCTGTTACCCCTGTGGTCAGGAGAGTGTTACTATCACTTTTCTTTCTCCATCTTGGTAGAAAGTTAATGAACCTGTGGGTCCTAGAGCATCTCCATCCAGTAGTCGGTAGGTTGTTAGCTCTGTGTCCTGTGGTGCTGCTTGAGGTGGCCCCCCCATCACTACTGCATAAAGCTTTTACTTGGGTGCAGGGGCTTCTCCAAGCCTGGCTGAGCTCCAGCCAGAATGTGGCTAAGCCTCCTGGGCAGACGTCCAGTGTATCCATCAGAGTAAAGACAATGGACTGCAGCATTGACACCAAACATATTCCAGGGGACAGAGGAGCATCACAGTAGAGAGTGGGGTGGCAGTGATATCTGGGTGGTCATGGGAAGGCTGAGTTTGCCCTTGTGCTCATGTCACAGCAGGAAGCACCACACTAAACTTTTCTCTGTCTGCTTCTTCTCAGCCTGGGCCCAAGGCTCAGTGAGCATGTCTCCAGTGGCCTATAACAACCACTGCAGATTTTCTCTCCCTTTGTGAGGTTTCTAGACAAGACAGAAAGGAGGCTGGAGAGCAGGGCTCTGGGCAGCCATGTCATGCCATGCCTCTTGCTGGTGACTGGACAAAAGCCCCACAGGCACACTAGCAGCCCACCATGGCTTCCTCACACGTGCTGTTCTCTCTAGCCTCATGACCATGATGCGCTGCCAAGTCCACATGGAGTTGGCATATATTGAGCAGGATGAGGACCGGCTGGAGCCCGCCATGGAGCACCTGCAGAAGGCCATGCGCCTGGACAGCCTAGGCCTCTACCAGGACAAGATGAAGATAGCTTACAACCGGCTGCAGTTGTGTACCATGCTCTACCAGTCCCCTGACCGCCCCGAGGACAAGGCCACCATGGCCATTGAACAGGTACACACCCAACCCATTGTGGGGCCAGCCTTCAAATGAAGAGGCTAAGGGGGAACCCTGGGACAGAGAGAGCCTTAGGGACCATGCAGACCCAAGCATGAGGCCCAAGCTTAGCTCCCCAAGGTCTGTCTGGCATCCAGAAGGCCTGTGGGAGCTCTGTTGCCTGAGGGTGGAACCATAGGATACCTTGAGAGTCTCAGCTGTCCCAGGAGAGGGGCTACCTCAGACATCGTGCATATCATACTGTCCGCAGGCAAAGAAAGCCACCCTGAAAGACAGTGCCCGGAAGAAGCGTGCACTCCTGGTGAATGCAGGCCTGGCCCTCGCCCCTGACACCTTCCAGATCGTGCTGGACAGCGAAAATGAGGCCAAAGGTTAAGTGCTGCCCTTGACCTTGTGACACACCATATAAATCTCCGGAAGTACTAGAGAAGGATTGTGTCTACAGGTGGCTATTAGTAGCCGCGTACCACAGTCAGAACTTAACATCACTGTTCTAGATGCTGGACATCTGTGACGGGGATGTGATGGGCTGGTCTTTCTTGGTGCCATCTCCCATGGCCTGTAGATAGTCATCTTTGCTTTTTGTCTTCACTGGCTGTCATATACGTCTACCCCAATACCCTCTTTGTACAAGGAAAGGACTCAGCCATAGAGTGAACATAGGGCCTCCTGATGGTCTCTTCAACCTTATCACCTATTCAGACCCCATCTCTTGAAAACAAGGCTTTGTTTTGGAGTCCCAAGGGCAGAGCTTGGAAGCAGCCTGTCTGGGGACACAATTCAGCCCACAGTACCATCTGAGGACCAAAGATGGCAGCTCTGGGTGCTCTTTGTATCAACGCCGAGTAGATTTCACTTACCTGGGCCACTTACTTTGTCCCCAGGGTAGAAACAGGGTTGTGCTATACCCTAGTCGTGGCTGCCGAGCCCAGCTCTCAGGGACAACCAGCAACTCTGGCTAGATAGGCCGCGCCATTGTCGCTGGAGCCACAGGCAGGTCTTAGTCGGTGGGGGCACTCTCCGGAGCTCCCTCCAGCACAGCTCTGACAAAAAGTGTTAGAGGGATGTGAGCCTTGGAGATGACAGCTGAGTTGGCTGTAGTCCATGTTGTGGGCCCAAGACAAGGGGTGAGAAAGGGAGGGAGGAGTCCCGGCCCTGTGCTGGGATGAAGTCTCTGAAAATAAAGCCCTTCTGGCCCAGGAACTATCTTTCTGGCTCCGCTGTATCCTTGGGCCTTGTTGTGGCTCTGGTTCTGTTTTGACCCTCTGAGCAGCTGTAGGTCTGTTGACATGACATGGCTGGGCCCATCCCACTTGGTTGGTTCATTTCATTAGATAACCATACACATTTTCACCGGGAGACATAGAGCCAAGCTGGCACCTGTAGGAGATGCCGAGGACTTAGCAAGGCGGGGGACTCGGGGGAGGGTACCCCAGCAAGTCAATATCTATGTTATAGATGGCAGCACAGAGGATGCAGGAGATCACCTGAGAGGAGATGCTTTCCCCCCCTCTCCCCCTCCCCCCCGCCCCCCGCCAAAGCCCCAGTGTCCTATCTGGTGTCTCCTGAGCCTGGCTCTGCACTGGACAGCTGGTTCTCACTGTGAAGTTGAGCTCTGGGTGGGCGCTCATCTTAGATCTGGAAGAAGGGCAGTGGTTCAGAACCTTTACATCATAGCAGACATAACTGTTGAGCTTGGAAATGAATAGTGGGTGCTGCCTGAGAGCTCAGGATGTGGGGGACAGGACAGAGGCCTGGTGTTTCTGAGCTAATGTAGGCTGTCTCTGAGGGCTGGAAGCTGCACACACTCCATAATAGCTCAATGTCATTGCTGGTCCAAAAGCACTAAAGATGCCCTGGTGTTGGGGCCTCTTCATACACCTAGAATGAGCTCAGCTGTCAAAACCTCAGTGCAGACCTTGGTCCCATTTGCCTGGGTCAGTGGCGCTATCCAGCGCCCAACCCTGGCCCACCTCCTCAGCTTGGATGTTGCCTGCTTTCAGTTTCCACTGGGAAAACCAGGGGTCGCTTCACCTACCTCTGCGCCAAAGCTCGACATCACATCCTCAGTGTGGATAAGGCCGCTGGACACCTGCGGCGTCTGGGCAATGAGAACGACAAGGAGAGGTGAGCCAGGAAGGAGGGACAGAGGCACACCCACAGCGGTGCTGTCCAGGAGGGTCTGTCCGCTGAGACCTGCCTCTAGGCGCTGAATTCATGGCTACCTGGGACCCTGTGAGAGATGGCAAGCCATGGACATTCCAAGTGCAGCCTCTCTGCTGAGGGTGTGGCTTTTTCCTGTGCAACAACTGAGCTACATATTAGTGTGTGCTGGCCATGGCTTCCACAGGAGTCCCCAACCCAGGGAGACCCATCCACGCCGCATGCAGGGAAATGAATTCTGGGGGGTGGGCATTTATCATTGTTAAATGACTAGAAGAGTCACTGACCCTAGGGAGAGGTCAGCCAGAGAGCTGCACATGACCTTGGGGACAGCCCTAGCTCTGACTTCTGGGCCTTGACCCTATGAATTGCTCCAGCTACGACCCCTGAATTATGACCCCACTATCAAGGACTGTCTTTCCGTTCACACGCTCAGTCTGTTGCACTTCGGTGTCTCAAGCCAGTACTCTGCACCTGGATGCTGTAATGCTGTAGGGTGGCTCTCCCCGGAACAGTCCTCCAGGTGTTCCTAATCTCACCCGTGCTTCCTTTTTACCACCTGGATCCTGACGAGCAGGATTGCAATTTGGGCCGAGCTGGCCAAGGTTGCCTGGAAGCAAGACGTATGTGATGTCTGCCGCACAGCAACCCGCTTCTGCCTTCTGTATGACAATATCAAGTCAAAGAAGACCTCAAAGCTAAGACGAGGTGTGTCCCCTTGGCATGTGGGTGGGCTGGGCTTTAGGGCTTCATCCACTTCTGGTGCCTGTGGCAGGCACAGCACCTCCGAACCAGTCGATCCTACCAAGGGACATCAAGCAAAGGATGCAACCCAGAGCCAGTTGGCCACTTCCTGGCTTTATATTCACAAGGTCAACCACAAAGGCTTGAAAATATTGGCAACAAAACAAACATCTATGCTGAGCGTACACATGCTGGTTCCTGGCCATTAACCTTGACCATCGCCCTTTAACAGTGATCCACACAGTGCGTCGTACATTGCAAACGGTATCACCGTCCACTACAGCTGATACATAGTTCAAAGGAGGATTGTATAGGTTCCATGTGTACCTGACACCATTTTATAAAAAAGACTGTGCCTCAGTACCCCTGGGGGTCCCAGCAATACTGAGTGGCAGCTGTACTTAAAACTGACCGATAGTAACAGTGAGGGTTACAGAGTTATAGCAACCCAGGCTGTCCTTCTTGAAGGACTCGTCCCACAAAGAGCTGGGCAGAGATTTGGGCAACAGGTGGGTGGGGAAGGAACTGCTATGTTTTTGCTTGTTCAAAGAGAGCCTATCCTTCCCTGCTGCTCTTCCCTCAGGGAAGAAGAAAAAAGGTGTCGATGGCTCTGTGCATGACGGGGGGACATCTGAGGTGGTCCTGCAAAAGCGCATGTCCCCTGACCTGCTGAGGAAGATCGCGGAGGTGTCCTTCCTCAGCGCTGAGGTGCGTCATGAAGGTCTTGGCCATTGTAGCTGCCGGTGGTGATGTGGCCATTAACACACCAGAGAGACTTGTCATACGGGCTGGGCTCCCCTCGGCACACACATCCCTAAACAAAACTATACATACATAAGGGAGACAAAATTAATTCAGTTCTTGGAAGACTGCATGAGAAAAGTGTGAATTGAGATGCCTTGTGGTGTGTGTTGGTGTCAATTTTTTTTGTGGGAAATAATTTCTGCCTTCTGGGTGTGAAGTTGTATTTGGGGATTGAACTTGGAGATGACTTAGGAAGCTCTTGAAGGAGATGTGATCTCTGCCGTACGACTCTGCAGGCTCAGCAGAGACTTGGGCTGGGTCTTGGTTCCCCAGAACCAATAGGCCTGCTCCTTTACAGACGGGGTACCGAGACCCAAAGCTAACCACATGTATTTTGACCTAGCTGTACCCAAAGCCCTCGATGTGAGCTCTCAGCTCCCCACACCTGTGCCCATGTCAGAGGCAACCTTGGCCATCTGTTTCGCCCTCACAGTGGTACAGCATTTCCTTTGCTTTCACTCAGTGCGCACAAAGCAGAGGCTGGGGGCACTCAGCAGTTTATTCCATCAGAGTCCGGTGACACGGCGGCATGACCCAAAACAGCCCCTGTGCTCAGGTAGCAAACTGCCAGGCCGCAGTGCTGAGAGCGGACGTGCAAGGAGACCAGCGGCTGGGATTGACTAACTGGTCTGCCAGCTAGGGGCTGGCCCGACCCATGTCCTCCCACCCCACCTACCTGCCGGCTGGGCTTCGCAAAAGCCTTTGATGTTGCAGAGCAAGTTTGGGAGGCTTCAGAGAAACGAACAGTCGGCCAGCTGCCATGGGAGAACACGAAGACTGTTCTGCCTACCTGCCAGAGCGTGATGATGGATGTAGGCTGTGCTTCTGAAAGAAGCCCTCTCTCCTTGGGATGCACGAATTGGCAGGCTGTTGAGGCAGATGGGGTGTGGAGGTCCATCATGCACTCTTGATTCGTGTCTGACTTTTTCAAAAGAAGAGTGTTCTGTGTGTTCCCCCAGTGCGGTGGTCTGCCTTGCTGTGACTTCTATGACTGTAATTATTTCCTCACAGGCCACTGTCCACTTGCTGCGCTTGGAAGGTGTGGAACTGAATGACCGGGCCATCCCGCCTGAGGACTTGAGCCAACACCCAGCTGGCTATGTGCCTGAGCCACCAGATAGCAATCCAGAGTGGATCACATACAGGTGGGTTGGAGTCCCAGCCACCCTGTAGACCAGCAGTTCTCAACCTGTAGGTGGAAACCCCTCTGGGGTCACGTATCAGATAATCTGCATATCAGTTGTTTTTATACTACAGTTCGCAACAGTAGCAAAATCAGTTATGAAGTAACAATGAAATAATATTATGGTTAGAGGTCACCACAACATGAGGAACTGTGTTAAAGGGTCACGGCATTTGGAGAGTTGAGGACCGCTACTCTGGACCAAGGGTTGAAGAACTGCTTCATTTGCCCAGACCCAGTTGTGGATGAAGCAGGATATACATGTTAGAGCCTAGGCTGTTTGTAAGCCACGGCTAAGAGTGGCTTGGACAAATCAAACGACCGTAAAACAAAATAGAAGAAGTCGCATGAGGGGGGCAGCACCAGCAATCTCTCTAGATCCTGGGTCCCTGGCCTAGACAGACAGCCTGAAACGCCCTCCAGACCCAGGTGGAGATGACCCAGAGAGCCCTCACTCACTCCTGCAGTGGTGTTTGGGATGGGGAAGGCGGAGGCCGGATGTGGAGCTGACTGCTGCCCCGTGTGTTGTTTCAGAACCTGGATAGAAAGCCTGTCACAGTATGCCATGAGCAACTGGCTGCGTGCTGCAGAGATTGGGCAGGAGATAGGGGAATCCTGGATTGTGCAGAACGCCGTGGTCTATGTTTTGAATCACAACCGTCATCTCATCTTGGCCGGGAGGCAGAAGGAGCTGGTGGATTCTCTGTGTCACCTCCTCAACACCCTCAAGGCCACTGACTACAAAGGGTGGGTGCGGGCACCACACCTGTTTCTGTTTGGGAGTCATAGCTGTGGGCTCAGGCATGACCGTTGTGGGGGCAATGAGTTGAGAGACTAGTAGGCGTGGTTAAGACCTGTACTCTGAGGAGGCACTCAGCCTGCACTTGGATGACGCGGCCTCCATGACCCACGATTCTCACAGCAGCTTCACTGCCCTCTGCCGGCTCTGCTCCAACACTACTCTTTGATGGCTCTGCTCCAAGCCATTGCAGAGCTCAGCAGAGGCCCAGGCACTCTGTGAAGTAGCTCAGTGGTCATCCCACCTTGGGCTGGGGGTGGGGAGAGGGTGGGACTCCATGACTGTGTGTTTCTTTTTTTTTTTTTTTTTTTTGGTTTTTCGAGACAGGGTTTCTCTGTGTAGCTTTGCGCCTGTCCTGGAACTCACTTGGTAGCCCAGGCTGGCCTCGAACTCACAGAGATCCGCCTGCCTCTGCCTCCCGAGTGCTGGGATTAAAGGCGTGCGCCACCACCGCCCGGCTGACTGTGTGTTTCTTTTTTTTTTTTTTTTTTTTTTTTTTTTGGTTTTTCGAGACAGGGTTTCTCTGTGTAGCTTTGCGCCTTTCCTGGAACTCGCTTTGGAGACCAGGCTAGCCTCGAACTCACAGAGATCCGCCTGGCTCTGCCTCCCGAGTGCTGGGATTAAAGGCGTGCGCCACCACCACCCGGCGACTGTGTGTTTCTTATCCAGGTGAACAAGAACTTAGATTAACGTTTCCCCAGCAGACATTAGAAGTCTGAAAGCGTCATGTTAGGTTGGATTTGAGGCTTGCCTGGTCGACAAAGTGAGTTCCAGGCCAACCAGGGCAACATAGTGAGAACCTGTCAAGAAGGAAAGAAAAAAAGAAAGGAAGGGAGGGAGGGGACATGAGCTGGTGCTCCGGGGCACTCACCCACGGTCTATGTTAAACCTCAACCATCCTCTCACCTTGACTGGGAGGCGGAAGGAGCGGGTGTGGTGCTGTGAGGTTCTGCATGGGCCTAAGCTCTGCACTGCCCTGGCTTTCACAGTTCTCATGTTACACCCTCCAGGGACTCAGTTATGCTCGTCATGCTCTGTGATGCCCTGGCTCGAGGCCTGATCCTCAGCTGGATTCCCATCCAGACACCCGAAAAGTCGAAAAAGAGCATGCGCCCTAACTTTGTTCATGTTCCGCTCGAGTCATCGGCCTCACCTGAGATCAGAGCCGCACTGGAGGTACTCCATCTTGCAGTCCAGGGATGGGCCATCGGGTGGGCCATGGGCGAACTTGATGCCTGGGCATGGAGAGCCATGGGGAAGGCCAGAGGGAGGAGGGCTCAAGGACCCCTCTCAGATTTGCCTCATGATGAAGACACCCTTGTTTTAGGTCTGTGAGTTCGCACTGAACCTCACTAATGGGAACGTGCCGGAGGATGTCGTCCCCACCAGTGTGCGGCAGCATCTCATCTCCACCTGGGTGAAGACCAAGCAGCTACTGCAGCAGCAGATTGGACAGCGACTGGGCACTGATGAACAGGTGGGTGCTGAGGGCACCCTGGGGGGTTAGGACGCACAGACTGCCTTTCCCTGGTGTTCTCATTATGGTCTTAAATGTGGCCACAGTGGCTGGAAAGGGGGTGTTTCCACCTAGCAAAGCCTGAGGCTGTTCTCTCCCGTTACCAAAACTGCCGCTTTTGAGAGCCAAGGCAAAAGGTCTCCACTAGGTCTGAGCTCTGGACCTCTGGGGCTGCTGCCCGTTCTCACTGCCACTCATTGACAGAGTCGTCACTTTGACAGGGCACCAGTCTGCCCCAGCACAAATCCTACCGGAACAGGGTCTGGGAAGGAGACAGGAACAGCATGAACTTAAGAACTCCTGCCATGACCCTGACCCTGCAGCAAGTCCATCACTGCGCAGAGCTAGAGGGAGGGAGCAGGGGAGAGCCCAGGCAGGGATATTTATACTGGGCCAGACAGAAGGGGTTAATGGGCCATTCCCATACCAGTAACCTCCTTACCAGGGCTCAGCAGCCTTCTCCCTCTAGAAAGCTCTCCTTAGAGGTCAGACAATACTGTCTTCAAGGTTCAGGAATTTACAGACTTCATACCTTGTTGCCTAAGAAGATGGTGTAGGTAGTGTTGATTCTTACCAAAACAGCCTAAGACATCAACACTCCATATACTGTGGTCTGGCTGTCCCCTGACTCTGCACATTAGTTATCTCAAAAATGGTTCAGATAGCCACAGCTTTCCTTCCCTGGCTCCTGGGCAGCTGGGCACTCTAGGCCTTCTCTCTCTGCAGAGTACCAATGAGGACATCAATGCCGTCACCAGAGTCCTTGTTGCCCTTGAGATGTACTCATGCAATGGACTGGGCCTCATGGACTTCAGTCTTCCCCCGCTAGCCCAGGTGGGTTTCCCCAGGTATCCCAAGAGGTAAGTCAACAGCCCCCATCCGGGAAAGATGAAGAAACTGAGGCCTAGAGTCCTGCCCGAGGCAGTCAGAACTCAAACCCACATCCACACCACAGCTCCCTCTGCCTCCTGTTTGGCTTTTGTATGGAACAGTCCTTTGTACCAGTATGAGGAAGATGCTTCCCTGGGTGGCCTTCCTGTGTCCTACTTCATCTCAAGACCTCAGCACAGGCAGAGGCATAGAAGAGGACAAGCATGCCATGTGTGGTGGCAAAGTCGTGAGATAAGTGACAGATTTTACGCTTGCAGCCAGGCTTCACAGATTGGTGGTCTGTCGGGAACTGCATCTGCATAGAAATCCATGACTGCATACATCGCAGGATGGATGAAACTCGGCAAGCTGGCAGCATGGTCGTTGTTGAGGGCCACCGACGACTAGAAAGTCATTGTTACTAATGTGATGTCCTTCTCCCCTTCCTCACATGCTGGGAAGGTGATGAAAATGGCTTCTGAGTGCAGCTGGTCAGAACCCCTGGTGGAGCTGCAGACCCTGACCCGCCTCACCCACTTCGCCTATGTGGCTCACGACCACGAGATCACCATGGCATGTTCTCAGAACGCCACACAGATGGGCCTCAAGCACCTGAGGTCGTTTGGCAGGTAAGTGCCCTCCACGATGGCCTCCTAGAGGCATACAGTGACGTAAGCAGAGTGAGGAGTGTGTGCCCCGTGCCCCAGGGAAGGGGCCGGAGATGCAGGCCTGCTGTGCAAGGGACAGTTGGCAGGAATCTGACTGCCATGACCCTTCATCTGCTGGCTGTGTGCGCTACAGGACAGCACAATGAACAGCCCACGAAGCTGGGTATTAATGGGGACACAGAAGACACATAGGCCTGTTAGGAGGTCTGTGCAACAGCTATCTGTGTGTGATAGATAGGTAGGAGCTGATGGTTCTCTTAGGTGAGGCAGCTGTGATAGAATACCACAGCTGGGGAGGCCGAAGAAATGGGGATTTGTTGTTCATGGCATAGCAGCTGGATGTTCGGGTTCAGGGCATGGCAGTTGGTGTCTGGTGAATTGTCACTGCCTAGTTGAAAGATGGCCACTTCACAGGTGGAAGAGGAAAGACGCACTTTTATCTTCCTTTAGGGAGCAGGAGTCCATCCTGAGGCTCCAACCCCTACACTTCACTGCCTTCATCTTCCAACAGCCTTTCTACTAACGCCGCCGTCACCCGGGGAATCAGATGTCAGCATGGGACTTTCGGGAACATACGTGGTTCTCAGATCAACCTGGTGCAGACAGCTTTGTCCAAGTGATCTGGGGAGAAACAAGATGCATGAAATATAATCTCAATGCCCCTGGACAGGCCATCAGCTGGCTTGTTGTTGTCAGGTCTCCCATGGCAACTGCTGGAGATTGCCAGTCACCAGCTGCATTAGTCGCTTTTCTCGTTGCCGTGAACTGATGAGAAGCAGTCCACGGGAGGAAAGGGTTCTTCTGGTTCACGGTTTCTGGGTACAGTCCATTACGAAGGGAAGGCATGGCGGCAAGCTGCTGGAAGGCAGCTGAAGTGTGCAGCTGGGATCCCTCACCATGTGTTTTATTTGGCAGAACAGGAAGCAGGGAGCAGACAGGGAGTAAGGCCAGGCCACAAAAACCTCACGGCCTGTCCTCAATGACTGGCTTCCTCTAGTGAGGAAGTGCCACCTCTTAAAGGTCCCACAACCTCCCACGACAGTGCCTCCAGCTAGAAACCAGTGTTCAAACACATTAGCCAGCGAGGGACATTTCTTGTTCTACCTACACCACCAGTGAAGCACCAGAACACGTCCGTCTTCCTTCATGGTTTCTACAATGTTCCACTATGTTGATCTGTGATCAGAAAACTTAAGTCTTTCCTTCTCCCTGGATATGGGGCTGTTGTAAAAGGCAATATTGTAACAAATGGCCATGCAGCCAATATTTTCCTCAGGGCTTTTCTTTTGGGCTTCTTTCCTGAGTTCCATTATCCTGAAAGATAAAGTCATAACCCAGGGTTATGAAAGGTGGCTCCTTTGCCCAGCGGCCAGTGTGGTCAATGGTCACCAAATCCATAGAGTTCTTCCGCATGCCCATGTCTCCAGTCTTGGCCTGTGTCTACCAGCCTTGCTTTATGAGCCCTTGATGTGCTCCTGGTGTGTTGGCAGTATTTATGGGGCATGTAACATACGCCTCCTAGTTGGTCGGACCCATATGAGGACAAGGTCAAGCATGTGTCTTGTTCACAGTGACAGCTCCAAGGCTGTGTTCACACAACTGCTGAGAGTCTGAGAGTCAGCAGAACCCCATGACCTGCAATGTCTGTAACAGAAGCATTCACATGTCCAGACCCTGCTGTACACGCAGGGGCAAGGACAGAGCATTAGTATTGAGGAGTAGGGTGCTGTTCCTATGACAAACCTGATCATGTGGTTCAGGGGCCTTTAGAACTGCTTGTAGGAGGAATGTGCAAGAGTTCATAGCTGTAGGACTGAGAATGCCTAGAAATGCTATAAGCAGAACTTAATGGACTTTTGGTCAGAATGTAGAAGAATAGATGCTGACAGGGATGGACAGGGGAGCCCCAGCTCATGAGCTTTTCAAGACGAAGAAGGGCTCTGGGGGACCTGGCCGCATTCCTGTCCTATTCCGGCAGAGAATCTGGCTGCTTTCCCCCTGTGTCCTGATCATTTTAGTAAGGCTGAATTCAAAAGTAATGGAAAGTCCGTGATAGCACAATGACCAAGCTGTGGCATGGTTACTGGTCACTGTTCTTAGCCAGATCTACAGTGAGAAGGAGCAACAAGGTAAGAAAAGTGTGCAGTTTGGTGAGGAAAGGAGAGGCGGGCGGCAGGTTCCAAACTTGTAGATATGGTGGTCCGAGCAAAGCAGACGTGTTCTTAATGAGATTGGTGCCACTGGAGAGAAACCTGAAGTTCTGCACTGAGATCGCAGGAAAGGTGTCTCTGGAAATGCAAATTCACTTGAAAAGAGGAAGAAAGTGACACACAAAGTTTTCTCTGCTCAAAAACAGCTGCCTAGGGAAATATTTTCCCAGACTCAGCCAGGGTACAGAGACCACCACAGCTATGGTACAAGGGAACCTAACTACATCTCAGGCTAACATCCGAACTTGGCGATGTCCACGTGATGCCGATTTTGTAGGCAGGCAAAATGCAAGAGTGAGAGATTTACAGAGGCTTACGTCCAAGTTCTGGAACGCCATTAGGGCCACACCATGTGTGACAGAGTCGTGTCTCCTGAAGGGAAATGCTGAGGGGCCATCCCATGGAATGTGAAAGTGTTGCTTCAGTTGCAGTAGGGACCCTAGGATGTTGGAGTTGCCAGGATCACAGGAACCTATGGAGGAACGCTGTAGCACAGAGTGGAGCTAGCCTGAGAGAGAAGCTCCATGTATCGCAGGTGGCAGAATTGGAGGTTTGGGCCCCTTGGTGCTGCTGAGCCCGTATGATTCCGTTACGATGATAATTCCAGACGCTGAGTGTGAGCTGCAGGGTTCGGCGGTGCTCCGCTGAGTCTGTCTTTCTCTGTCTGTGTTTCTTTGGGAATGTTTGCTCTGTCTCATTGTCTACAGGAAGTTTGTAACCTTTAGATTGTATTTTATAGGGACTCGTAAGTGAGAGATTGCCCGAGTCTCAGAAGAGATTTGGGGCTTTTGAAGCATTGATCTGGTTAAAACTATGAGGACTTTGGAAGTTAGAATGGCTTCATTTTCCATCATGAGATGGCCATGAGACTGGGGGGCCAGTGATGCGCTAACACAAGGGGAATAGGAGATAGCTTTGTTCTGAGCCCCATGTGGGTGGCCATGGCCTGGGAACAGGGCTCCGGGTCAAATCGCTCTGAATGATATGTTCTTCCTTGAAAGCACTTGCACTGTGTTAGTCACAGAACAAAAGCAAATCCTTAATCAATGTATTGGCTGAACACACTGATGGGACATCAGGAAAGCAGGTTACAGCAAAGCAAGGAACTCTGTTCTCTGAAGACGTTCTTCATGTTTGGGTTGGCAGAATCCAGTGTCTTTTATATTAGTGCATTTCAAAGGTTCACCTAGAGTTGGGAGCATGCTAAGTCAAGTACTGAGATGGCAAATGAATGGCTATTAAGAATACTAAAGATAGCCCAGGATGATTTTGACTTTGGATCTGCCGCATTCCAAGTCTCTACAAGCATGATGTTCTAACCAGTCGGTCCTATAGAATCTTTAATGTTTTGCCCCCTTGGACAGGTAGGATATTATGGCTTAAAGTGATGTGTTTGGGTGTCAAGTTGACAATAGGTAGGATTGTCATGGTTAATTTATTTCAATTGCCAGCTTGATTGTATTAAGAGGCACCTAAAGCATTAATGAGGCAGACCTCCGGGGATGTCCTTGAGGGTATTCTCAAACAGATTTAACAGGAGAGGAAGACTCATTTTGAATGTGGGTGGCATCACTCCATGGGCTGGGGACACAGAACTACAGTGTAGGGCGGGGGAGGAAGCCAATGGTGCACCAGTATTCATCTCTCTCAGTCTTCCGGTTGTGGGTCAGATCCATGTGGCCAGCTGCCTCCTGCTCCTGCCTTCCCCGCCACTGCATGGATTATTCACATTAGTGATAAACTGAGTCACCAACTCTGAGGCATCAGTACCACATTAAAGGAAGAAAGAAAAGCACCTCCCCTTGGGGTCATTTAACCAAGAGCGAATCCAGATTTGAGTTCTCTGCTTCATGCTCCCTGTGTCTTCTGCCCTCTGTCTGTCTGGTGCACGAGTCTGAATCTGTGGCTGCCTGAAGACTGTGTCTGTCCCCCGGTATCCATCTGTTCTGTCTGGCTTCCCTCCGTCTTTATTGAACAGCACAGAGAGCGCCACCTTGGGAAAGAATAGGATGCTTTACAGAAATATTTAACAGAGTTTTACAAGGGATCAGGTGTTACGTGAATGTTAAAGGGTCTTTTAATAAAAATCCAGAGCCAGATATTGGGGTAAATAATGAAAGATCAGAGAAAATGAAGGAACAAGCCACCTCTTGCCTCTAGGGCTCCTCAGCCTGAAAAGCCTCTAACTGAAAGGGACGCTTCTGCCGAAACGCCTTTAGTTCCTGTCTCCTCACGCCTTATATACCTTTCTCCGCCCAGCCAGCAATCACTTCCTGAGATTAAAGGCCTGTGTGCTTCCCAGTACTAGGATTAAAGGTGTGTGCCACCACAGCCTGGCTCTGTTTTCTTTCCTAGACTGAATCAATCTCATGTAGTCCAGGGTGGCTTTGAACTCACAGAGATCCAGATGGATCCTTGCCTCGCAAGCACTAGGGAGGTGTGTGCCACCACTGCCTGGCCTCTATGTTTAATCTAGTAGCTTGTTCTATTCTCTGATCTTCAGGCAAATTTTATTAGGGTACACAATATATCACCACAATCAGGGCTCTGGTTCCAACTGGCTCAGACAACAGACATCATTGTTTATCAATTAATATCCACAAGTGGTGGTTTTCGGCCTTTATCATAGATTTTAGGGAGTGGCTTTCCACCTCTGTATTTGCTACTTTCAGCAAATGATACACATGCATTGTCTGGGTCAGGGACATGGAAAAGTACACAACTTAAGAATACAGTTATGGGCTGGGCGGTGGTGGCGCACGCCTTTAATCCCAGCACTCGGGAGGCAGAGCCAGGCGGATCTCTGTGAGTTCGAGGCCAGCCTGGGCTACCAAGTGAGTTCCAGGAAAAGGCGCAAAGCTACACAGAGAAACCCTGTCTCGAAAAACCAAAAAAAAAAAAAAAAAAAAAAAAAAAAAAGAATACAGTTATGCATTAACTTAGATTGGAAAAGTTGACTTCATGAAAAATCCAAGGCAAGTAAGGTTGATTGTTACATTGTTCTCTTAAAAGCAGGTTAAAAAAAAAAAAGCTTGAGCACACAGTGGGATAGCAGTCTTAAATCTTAAGTGACCTCACAGTGGTTAAGACTGCCTGTGAGGTCCAGCAAAAGTTCCAGTCTCTTAGAATGGAAGAGATATGTTCATAAGATTGTGTCGCCACACACCATGATGGACTATATCCCCTCAACTGTAAACCAAAATAAGCCCTTCCCTCCTTAAATTGTTCTTACCAGCAATTTGGTTACAGCTACAAGAAAAGCGACTAAAAACAATGTCTTCCAGTGCCCTGGCCTTAGCAGGCAGGACCTTTACCATTGGACCATCTCACCCACACTAACCCCCCTCTTACTTAGATCCAATAGTGAGTTGGAAGGGGAGGTTGGAGGGCAGAGTAGCTGAAGTCCACTTTCCATAGGCTCTTCGGGCAAGACTGGCAAGGCCCCAAGGTAGGGAGGGGCCAGGAACATGAGGTGGCTACAGATTAGAAGTCACACCCTGTGGGGTCAGGCAAGCGCTGGCAGACGGTGGTCATATTCAACCCCGTGCAAGATCCCTGTCAGTCACTCAGACATTATCCTTAGAAGAAGTAAACGAATTGGGCATCTTTGCAGAAAGGGTTGCGGTGCGCCGTTTGTGCTGCTGTGCACAGCCACTCCCTGCTTGGGCACAAGAGGAGAGCTCCACACAGCACCAGGCCAGACTAGCATACTCTCTTCCATCTGCGATCATAACTCAAATCCAATTTATAAAGGAAACCCCTGTAATAAATGAAGCGAAGATGCCCATGCATACAAACAGCAATAGGAAACCTAGAGGCGGTAATGTTCCTCACGCGGGCGGCTGAAGATCTTTTGTAGACCGATGTTGCCCCCTCCTGGTGACTGCTGTCACTGCACCCTGCTGGCTGCAAGGGCCAAAATTTCCAACTGTCACTCGCCAGGCTAGTGTCACATCCTTCTTTACACCAGCCTACCACCTAAGAAGACGGGTTTAATTACCACCCAGCCTCCATTTACCTTCAGACCACAATTCCCATCGTACAGCAGGTCCTGGCAGGCTAAGGGTCAGATGCACCTTCCTCCACTGGCTCCTTGGAACGTAGTTGGCTGTTTGCTCCAGCAAGCAGGTGCCTGTCTTCTAGAGCCCCGGGACCCAAAGGAAATGTTCCCAGAACAAGTATGTCACTCAAAGAATAAAATCTGTGCTGCTGAGCTGAGCAGCTGGAACATGCCCTCCCCTCTCACCTCACCCCACCCCACCCCCCACTCTGCATGTGCCCAGACCACAGCTGCACCAGGTTTGGGAACCAGGAGAGTGTCTGGGGAGCTACGGTGCTGCTCTGATATGGTGCTGCAGGCCGATGTGCCCCTCTGAGTGAAGAGAGCAGAGTGCCTGGGACAAGACTTTCTGCCCAGGAAACAGAGTCTAGCTGAAGACAGAACCCAACAGATAGTTCTACTGGCCCATGGATGGATGGAAACCCACCCCAAACAAGTGGCTAAGAGCCAGTTAAGGAGTCTGTCTCATGGTTCTGTGGGTTCACTGGACTCTGACAATTAGTTCTGGTTTGGGGTCACTCATAAGGGTACTAGAGTGCCCATCAGTTAGGCACCCACAGAGCTGGTTCCCACATCCCCAGAAGTTCTCTGTGGGTGGGCATCTCTAGGAACTGCCATGGGCCTTGCTGTGTAGTGTCTCTGTGAATGCAAGCACTGAGAGACCATCCCCTCAATGAATGTCCAAGATACCCAGGCCAGATGTGGGCATCTTAGTTCCCCAGCAAAGAAGGCCTCAGAAGGTGGAATCACTTGCCCTGTATCATCTATCAGTTGGGCGGGTCCCTAAGGCACAGGGTGGGGTGGTAATGCACCTCCATCTTTGGAAGCACTTGCAGGGCCGTGGGTGAAGAGACAGCATTCACAGTGAGTAGAGTCCAGCATGTACCACTTCCCACCTCTCCCCTAAACCACTCTGTGCCCTCTCCAGGACCGATGCCAAGCTGGCAGCAGAAATGCTGTGTACTGTGTCCTGCATCCAGGGCCGTAGCATCATGGAAAACTTGAAGGGTAGGAAGCAGCTACGGCTAGCAGCAGCCAAGGCCTTTATAGAGAGTGCCAGGTACGCAACTGGGGGATGTGCTGGCAATGTGGGTATGTGGGGGGGTGTGGCCAGAAACTGGTGTGGTGCCACAGTGATGCTGTGGGGGCATTCCTGAGTCCCAGGGAAGAAACTGGGTGGTACCAGTGAGCCTCTGGCTGCATCCTGACATGCAGCCAAGCTCACAGACACCAGGGCATCCAAGGGCAGTACTGGGAGAAGCCCAATGGAGCTGTGAGCTAAGTGGATGCCGAGGCTGTCTGGAGGGTCCCTAAGCATACAGGGGCCTAAGTAGCAAGGGGCAGGTAGACACAGCAAGGGCCAGGCCAGAAGTGCTGATCATTGCCCTGTGATATGGGCAGCACCTGGCCCAAACAGTTTGCCAAGGAGGAGGTATGGCAGGCTTACTCTTCCATGGTGCCTGCCATACAGTACCAAAGCTGTACCACCCTGATTGCACTCCTTCTCTACAAAGTCCAGAAACTTCGGGATTGGATGTACCTGGGGAAAGGTGTAGCCTGAGCAGGTTATATAGCTTTGGATGAGGCATGTCATTTCAGGTTTGGGGGCCTGGCAGACAGCAGTTCCCTGGTGATGATGGCCGCCCGACACTACTGGAACACATGGCTCCCGCTTCTGTCCTCACCAAGCAGCAGGAAAAAGGCCAAGGGATCCCTCCAGCGGATCATCAACATCATCAACAAGACAGACACCAAGAAGCAGGTGCCAGAGGGACACCGGCTAGGGTCCTAGGAGCCCTTACCCTCCGGTCCGGCCAGACTCACAGGAAAAGACAGCCTCACAGGGCTCCCACAGAGTTTGACTGCCTTGGGGGCTGCCTTGATTGGGATAGGGCCCCTGTGGGACATGACTCTCACTGAACACAGCCCCCATGGGACATGGCTTCCGTAGGATATGACCCCCAACAAGACATGAGCCACATTGGGCATGACCTCTACCAGAGAGCACCTTCACAGCTTCTCCTGCTGGGCAGCACAGCATTCTCCAGATCCCAGAGAGGATTGGTCGGAGGTTCCTGGCCAACCTCAGTGGTGGCCTCTAACCTCCTGTCTCCCGGTCCAGAATCCTCTCCCATTCCCTCTTCATTTTAAACAACTTTGAAACAGAAGGTTTCCCCTGTTCTCAGTTAATCTCTTCCCTCCCCGGTTTAGAGTTTTGTTTGTTCTTTTTCTGTTGTCTGGAAATGAAAGGCAGATTACTGATTTGAGATCTTTCTTCTGTATTGGCAGTGTTCACAGCTGTTAGCTGGCCTCTGGGCGTTGCTTTTACTATGTCCCAATGTTTATTTCTATTTTTTTATTCCACTGATTGAACGTCATTGGAAAAACTAGATTATGTTGAGGAAGTAGTCTGTGTGCTGTATATGTGTGTATAATGTGGGCTGTGTGAGATACGTGATGTGTGTGTGTGTGTGTGTGTGTGTGTGTGTGTGTGTGTGTGTGTGTGTGTGTGTTGTGCTGTGATGTGGTATGTGAATGGTATTATCGGGGACTAAGGGGGTCCAGCCCCTGGATAGTCCCCTCCCAGGGTCCAGGAAGAATCTACAACCAGCTGATAATTAATCTTTGATGAAAAGAAATGAATCTATGTACACGAAACTCCTTAGTTCATACACTTTATTATTCTGTCATAGTTCTCTCTCTACACAGCTTCTATTCTGCTCTCATGTCTAGCTCCATTCTTGCCTGATTTCTCTCTATATTTATCTACTGTCCCCTATAGGTTCTATCTTAATTCCTTCATCTAGTTCTGTCCCTTCTAGGTTCTCATCTATCTAGTTCTTTCCCCTATCAGCTCCTCTCCCGTCTCCTTCTCTCTCATCTGGCTCTTCCTCATCTTGTTCTTCCCCATCTGGCTCTTCCTCAGCTTCCATCTCATTCCTCTACTACTCTCTTCTAGCCCTTCAATCTAGTTCTTCCCCATCTCAGTTTGTTCCTCTCAAGTTCTTACCCATCTAGTTCTTCCATTCTCTTTTCTCTTCTCCCCTTGTGCCCTGGAAGTCCCCGTATATAAAAGGAGGGTCCGAGCTAAATTGTGTAAAGCTATTACTTAACGTCCACCTGACCTAGGCGGTGTCTCCTTGTGGAATTTACCTTAAGTCAGGAGACTTGTATGTGGGCTGTTATCACTGTTAGTCCACGGAAATTGGGCGACCACCTGGGCGGTGTCTCCTTGTGGAATTTACCTTAAGTCAGGAGACTCGCCTGTGGGTGGTTATCACTGTTAGTCCTCGGAAGTTGGGCGACCACCTGGGTGGTGTCTCCTTTAGTCCTTGAAAGTGGCTAGGGGAGATATCTGATTCCAGAGAAAACCTTTCCTGAGGCTGTTCTCCAAATGCCTGGAATGTGTATGTCCAGAGAGTGAGCAGTCCACACTGTTAGCCCTTCTTAGGGAAAAGTCAATTGGGAAAACTATGAAGGCACACATGATTTTCATAACAGAAGACAGCTGATATATAACAAGCCAAGTAACACCAAAAACTCCTTGGGATTTGGCTTCCTCTGGAGGAATTCCCTGATTCCTCCAGGTAGTGACTTTGCCATAACCAGCTGAGTTCTTATGATATATTCCTGCGGCCCACAGCATGGTATATGTTGTATGGTATGTAGTGTGTATTGTATGAAGCGTGGGTGGCATGGTGGAGTGTGTTTGTATGTATGGCATAGTGTTTGATGTGTACATATGGTGTGGTATATGTTAGATATAATATGTGTGTGTGTGTGTGTGTGCGCGCGCACACACACACAGTGTGTTGGTTACAATTTGGTATTGTGGTGTGGTATATGTATGATATCATATGTGTGTGGTTATGTAGTATTGTACTATGGTGTGTATGGAATGTGGTGTCGTGTATAGTATGAGAGTGTGTGGTATGGTGTGGTGTGCTGTGGAATTATGTATGTATGGTATGGAAGGTTTTGGTGTGTATAGTATATGCGTGATATGGTCTATGCGTGGTATGATGTGTGTATAATACGAAACACAGTGTGTTATGCATGTGTGGTATTGTATGCATGTGGCATGTATGGTGTATGTGCCTAACATTTTGTGACTTGATAGTTCTGAAATTTTGCTGCGACTTCTGTCTTTTGTTTGTTTTTACTGATACTAACGAGAAACAAGATGGAGGAACAATCAGTCCCCTCCAACATGTGCTGCTTGTTTGTTTCACTTCAGGAGACAGAGAAAACTCTGCTTCTGCACCAGTGGCCAACAGCTGATTTCCAGGGCGGAGGGACATCACCTGAAGGCCAGTTCCTTCCAGGTTGGTAGCTGTGGGCCAGTGGGAAAGAGAGTTCTGGAAATTAGAGTACTTCATGTTTTACATGCTGTGTCCTTACATGAGGCACTACACTCATGACTATGCCCACAAGTCCATTTGCTTCTCGCTTGATGTTTTCCCTTAAGAGCCTACGGAAGCCTGCTCTGCAGAGAGAGCACCCAGGGTCCTCCATCCTGCCAGTATGGAGAGCCTTCATAGTCTACCCTTGGCTGTGCTGATAAATGAGTCACCTCCTCCCCTTCTTCCTCCTCCTCTTCTTTTTGGTTTTTCTGTCTAGCCCTGGCTCTCTTGGACCTCTCTTCGTAGACCAGACTGTTCTCAAACTCACAGAGATCTGTCTGCCTCTGCCTCCCAAGTGCCAGAATTAAAGGTGTATGTCACCAACACCCAGCTTCATGTCATCTTAATTACATTTTCTACTATAAAACATTTGGAGATGCACTCCTCAGCAGAATGATGAAGGGAAACACTCTAACCATAGACCAGCAGAACTACGTTCAGTACCGTTTCAAGTTTTCGAAAAGGATGCATTTTCTTCTCATGGTAAGATTCTCTGTCACTGGGTGATGGTGCATGCCTTTAATCCCAGTCCTCAGGAGACAGAGGCAGGCAGATCTTTGAGGTTGAGGCCAGCCTGGTCTACAGAGTGAGTTCCAGGACAGTCAGGGCTATACAGAGAAACCCTAGCTGGAAACAAACAAAACAAAATAAAACAAAACAAAAATCAAGAGCCCTGTGTGTATTTGGCAGCTCTTCAGCACTGTGAGATAGAATAGTGGACCCTGCCTTGAGCATGTTAGAGTCTCCTCACAGGTAAAATTTATTTAAAATTAACAAAAGTATGGCCATGTGTAAACAATGTGTAAGCATGTGTAAACAAATAGCGTACTGAACCCCCAGAGTTTAGAACATTGACAAACATTTCAAGAAAAACAATACAGAAAACATAGTCTACAAAGCAGGGATGCCTCAGACTCCAGGGGGATGTGGGGACTAGTTGAGGCAGTTTGTTAACTATGGTGCCAGACAGAAGCTGGAAGTCAAACTACTATCACCCAGGAAACCATCAGAAGCTAGGTCAGGAATTCCATGGCTTTAAAATTTTCCATTCTGTTGCTGGAGGGATAGCTCAGCTGTCAAGAACACTTGATGTTCTTCCAGAGGACCCAGGTTCGATCCCCAGTACCCACCTGGTGGTTCACAACCATCTGTAACTCCAGGGCATCTGATGCCCTCTTCTGGCCTCCATGGGCACGGTCATACATGTGCAAGTGAAAACTCCATACATATAAACAAAACAAAACACCACCACAAACAACAAAAAACCAACCCTCTCATTCTGGGCCAGGTGTGGTGTCATATACCTTTAATTCCAGCACTTGGGAGATAGAAGCAGGCAAATTGCTGTGAGTTAGAAGCCAGCCTGGTCTCCATAGTGAGTTCTAGGCCAGCCAAAGCTACATAGTAAAACTTTCAAACAAGCAACAACAAAACCACCTTCTACTCCAGATACACAACACCAGGTATTGTTGAAGGTAGAATCAGGCAAACAGAAATTCTGTAGAAAGAGGCACATTTTCAAACAGACAAAAAAAAAATTTACAACTGGTAAGAAAGGCAGAAAATTAAGGAATAACAATGTGGGAAATCCTCATATCCAGTGTGTCAGCTGTAGGAGGTCAAAGACCCATCAACTATTAGTGCTAGTCAGATGGTGCTTTGACTCAGGGCTCGGCTCTCCCAGGCCTTGCTGCCTTTCCCCAGCATGCACTCTGAGCTTGGAACCAAGTCTCCATGTAAGGACAGTACTGAAAGGAAGTCCCCTGTCCCTGCTGCTGGATGGCTGGGAGGTTTGGCAAGCAGGGTCTCTGCCCTAAGTCTTTTCCCCATTGGTTGGTGAAGCATCAGATGGACAGGGGTATGTACATGGTATACTTCAATACACTCAACAAGGAACCAAGATGTGGAGTCTGGGCTATGTAGGATTAGGAATGAGCATGCACATAAGTATCCCTTCTGGTCCAGTGCAGCTGGCAGGTTCAGCGAACAAGCTCAAATAATAGAGGAACTATCAGGTCTCCAAGTACCCGAGGTTAGCCAGGTTTTCCAGCCTACTTTGGGTTAGGGGAAAGCTAGCAAAGCCACCAACCTCAGCAGTGCCTCATGGTGTCGTCTCTCAGCCAGCATGTGGCACGAACATGGGTGTGTTCAATCCTTGACCCAGCATCCCTATGCTAGAACACTCAGCGTGAGAACCATGACAAAAGGAGAAGGAGGACCCTGATGACCACGGCCAGCAAGACCCGCCGACACACTCAGTGCCAGGGTTGGCCCTGAGGATATGGGACAAATTTGGTGGCAAGGCCCGCAGCCTCCCCTGAATGTTACTGGGAACATGTAACATACAGAGGGAAGACAAGATTTCCATTTCCTCGTGGTCATGTTGTTTACTTTTAGATTAAAAGAAAAATATCAGGCTTTCTGAGAAGAGAGAGGTCGTGGGGACTCAGAAAAACCTGGGACCCTGGCCCTCAGACCCTGAGCTGGGCAACCAAGAGACTCCGTGATAGTTAGGGGGAAAGCCAGTAGAGGAGAGAAGTGGAGACCAGAGCGGGCACTTGGAGCTGGTTCCTTCAGACAGAGGAGTACCTGAGCCATGGCCGGCGGGCCTGGGGGGGTGGGGGGCGGAGCTGCAGGCAGGGGCCACACTGATCTACCCACAGCACTACAGGACAACGTCTAGGACAACGTCTAGCCTTCTGATACATACCTGCATATGACTGGAAGACTGTGACATGGGGTGTGAGGGAGTAGGGGTGTGTGGAGTCAGAGGTCAGAGGGCATCAAGTCCGTTGGCAGGGAGCTGGCTGCCCAGTCCCCTTGAGACTCCATCTCTTCTTTACCCCAGGGTCTGAGGATGACCTCACACTCCGCGCTGCACTCTATAGCCTGCTCTTCCACAGCCATGCTGACCAGAATGACTGGGAGATGGGCCTCAAGGTGCTGGATGAGGCCGTCCAAGTGCTGCCGAGAACAGCCCACCGCCTGTGAGGGCCCTTACCCTGAGCACCCCGGGATACCCTCTGTGCTCCTCAGCTGGGCTTCCCTGTGGTCCCTTTCCACTAAAGGGCTTCAGCTCCCCAGGAAGAACCAAATACATAGCACAAAACCCCAGCTACGTCCCTATCTGGTCCCATCCCTGCCAACAGGAACGTAGGCAGCAGTAGTTCTGTGCGTCCTGTGTATGCTTAATGTTTTAATATCTCAGCGGACCCATCCTTCCCTATTCTTTAGCTTGATTTTCAAACATATGGTCATTGTGAAGGCCAAACTTGGCCAGAACTTTACCATGGAAATCCAGAAGTTCAAGGATGAGAGCGAAGATTATTTGGCACACATGTGGTACCGTCTGGCTCAGAACTCGAGGAACATCTGTGGGGAGCTCACCTGTTATCAAAATGCTATCCAGGCGCTGCAGGTGTGTGTGGTGCTCATGTTGGCGATGGTGGGGTGGATCTGTCTCTTGGTGACAGAGATAATCATATGAAAAGCTTCAGAATTAGGGACTTCCTGGGTCAGCTCAGAGGAAGCCACTGTGTAGTAAGCCCTGGCTGAGGCTGGAGACTCCCTTCTGCTGATTCATCCCTTAGTCACCCATCTTGGAAAGGAGAGAGTAGGGGAGAGCCCTGAGGCAAATGCCTGGGCTCCCTGGATTGCTGAGCGAGCAGGGCTCTGCATGCAGCAGGCTGGGACAGGCAGATCTTGTCCCCACTACCAAAATGCCAAAACAGACATCGCATTCTGAGCACTTTAGTGGGAGGGCGCTCTGATTTCTGAGTCAATGACAGTGGTTCTCAGGAGTGAGGCCCACACGGGGCACCCTGGAGTCCTGAATGTGGGACCAATGGTGTCCTGGGCCTCAGAACTGAAAGGTCTGAACTGTGAGGAGCCACCTTGGAAGGCTGGTCTGTTTCCCAGGCACTAGCATATTCCTGTCGTGAGGTCCTGGGCGCTGCAAAGACCAGCTCTCAACAAGGGACCAAGGTCCGTCTCAGGGCATGGGTTGTGGCTGCAGAGGCCTGACACTAATGAATGTGTTTTGCTCCTGCCTGGAGACCAAGTAACTGGTCATCCTCAAGTTTCCCTGCTGGGTTTCAGAGTCAGGCAATATGTGGGCATCTCGATGAGGGCACTGGAAGGGCAGCCCCCTGAGAAGGGGAAGCGGCCAGGCTGGCCTCGAGGAAGAGCAGAGAGCTCAACACATTCAGCTGGACACCGAAGGTATAGCTGTCTTCCGTGACCTTGAGTCTCATCTTGGAAATTTGTTTTTATGTACTTATTATTTAAATGTACTTGTGCATAAAATATGTGTGTGGTGTGTGTATATGTGTATGTGTGCTCCTGTGTGCAAACGTGAGCATGCACATGCCATGGCACGCCTGTGGAGGTCAGAGGACAGCCTCATGTGCCAGTCCTCCCCCGTACCTTGTTTGAGGCAGGATCTGTGCTCTGCCGTGTGTACCAAGGTCGCTGACCCACAAGCTTCTGGGCCTTCTCCTGTCTTGGCCTCCCATCTTGCTGTAGGCTGGCTGGTATTATAGATGCACACTGTCATGTGTGGGTTCTGGGCACTCAGCCTCTGGTCCTTACATGTATACAACAAGCACTTTATCCACTGAGCCATTTCCCCAGCCCCTTGAATTCTCATTCTTTCTCTCTCTCTCTCTCTCTCTCTCTCTCTCTCTCTCTCTCTCTCTCTCTCTCTCTCTCTCTCTTTCCTTCACTTCTTCCCTCTCTCTTTCTTTTTCCTCTCTCCCTCCCTCCCTCCCTCCCTCCCTCCCTTCCTCCCTCCCTCCCTCCCTCCCTCCCTTCCTCCCTCCCTCCCTCCTATTGGTGAAATTATTAAGGCCACTCCACGTAATTAAAAGGAGATTTATTTAATGGTGTAACTTACAAGTTAAGGGATAGGTAGGTCGCGGGGTCTGGGGAAGGTGTATCGCAGTCCAGTAGTGTTCTCTGGAGCTCTGCTTGGCCCACCTTAACCGTCCAAGGTCCCGGAACCAAGTGAGAGCGCCTTGTAGATCCAGATCTCAGGTCTCCAGGCGCCTCCCTTGGCCCCGCCTTGTAGGCATGACAGTTGCCAAAGTCTCAATGGGGGTTGGAACTTCCAGATCAAAGCTGGAATGGCTACCCACTACACCCTCCCTCCCTCCCTCCCTCCTCCTCTTCCTTCCCTTCCCTCCTTCCTTCTTTCCTTTGGCACAATACAGTCTGTAGTTTATTCTCAAGGCTATCACCACAATCTGTTGTGGACTATTCCATCACCCTGCCCCAGTCCCACATGGTGTCTGTTAGCACTCACTCTCCTCTCCAACCCCTCCTGCAGCCAGGCATCACTGACCCAGGGTGCTGCTCCGGACTGTTCACAGAATGAAATCAGGCACACCATGTGGCTGTCATATCATGATCTCATCCTGTTACAGTCACACCGTATTGTATGACTGTCCTAACTCTTTGTTGTGACTAAGCAACACGCCATAGGTAGACATGCACTTGGCTCGTTAGCTGTTTGTCAGGCTCTTACACTGTTTCTCATGTCGCTAGTCTCCGGTGAGTTGGGCTTCCGTGAACTTGCATGCACAAGTGAACCTATGTTCTTGGTTCCCTTGAGAATGTACTTAGGAGTGGAATTGAGTCACATGGTGACTCCGTGTTTTGCTAAAGAAGAGCCACCAGGCTGTGCCCTCGTGGACTGAACTTTTTTCTTAGTATTGCTCGTAGCACAAAGTTTTTAATTGTGATGAGGTCGATGTCTATTTCATCTTCTGTCACTTATGTGTATGATATTATATCAGAGAGATCATTTTCCTCCAAAGTCCGGAAGGTGCATTCTTTGTTTTCTTCAGAGAACTCTGTGATTACAGACCTTCTATCCAGGGGGCCTGTCCATTCTTAGTTAGTTAGTGTATGGGAGGCAGGTCCAGCCTCATTCTTTAGCTGTAGACTCTCTACTCAGCCTTACACTATATGATGAGAGGATTATCCTTCCCTCCTTAGCCCCTCTATGAGGCACCCATGCTTCCCCAGGCTTGCACAGCTTCTGTCTAAGTCACGGCTCCCATGGCACATTCGGACTCCCTCTTACCTCCAGAAGATGCCTTCTCCCTCCTCCACTGGGATTCAGGTACCACTGGGCCACCTTAGGCCCTGTATCCTGCCAGAGGTTCACACCCCACCTGTCCCTCAGGATGCTGTAGCACTTTCTCCTCCCAGAAGCTTTGCTCCCACTTCCTCATGAGGCCTGTTCCCGCTGCCAACAGCATCCCTGTCCGGATTGCTATGCCCCACCTGGGACCATCCCTGCAGCACTTTTTTATGTTTGATTTTCTTGCTTTGAGCCTCATGCAGGGGTGAGCACGGACTAGCCTCTCATGGACACTCTTTTCACAGTGAATGAGAAAGTACAGGCAAGCACTCAGGAAAGCTAGAGTCAGCTCTAGAGGCGAGAGGGCCATGACTCTAGGTCCTGAAAAGTGTGGGGGTGATGCCTTGAGGCTGGGCCAAGGAAAAGGCCTGGAAAGGAAGGGAGTGTGCAGCAGGTCAGCACACTAAAGCTCGGGACTGTACATGGGCCAAGTGTGTGCCATGCCGCATCTTCGGCTGTAGTTTCCCTGACGCACCCTCCCACAGGCCCACACCGAGCCATGGAAGCTGTTGATAGTTTAGGCAAAAGCTGTGCATGCATGGGGCCCTCAATAGAGGCCCTAACCCAAGAACCACCCATTCAAGGCTTCAGATTAGCCAGACTGCCTTGCAGTGAGCCCTGCTCAGCATCTTCTGTGTTGTGATGGAGACTTGGAGTAGTGTGAGGAAATACCAGGGCCAGTGGGACAGGTAGGGCACACTTGCAAAGGATGCAGAAGACCTGGGGGACTTTACCAAATTCTTGTTTTTCTATCATACTTCTGTCCACAGCTGGAGCCCTCAGGGAACCTTGGTGGCAAGTCCCATCTTCCTGGAGGGGGACCCCATGGTAATTCTAGGGTGACATGAATCATCAAGTCTTTCGCTGCTATAGGTGGCTTCCCCGTGCTAACTAATGACACATTGACCTGATTAGTTCTTTTCTGTCTTGTCCCAAAGAAGCCAGAGAGCAACTGGCAGAAGGTAGATTACATCGTGGAGTTCAGTGAATGGCTGTATTACAAGCAGTTCCCTATGGAAGAGGTGGTTGCCCACCTTGAGTGGGCAATTGAGATTCTGCTATCCATGAAACCCACTGAAGATGCCCCTGAGCAAGAGCCAAAGGAAGGTGAGGATGATCATGCTGGCTTGTCCTGACCCACGCACTGTAGGCCCCATCTGGGCCCAGGACAACAGGACATAGTGAGACTGTTGCTGGGCCGCCATGCCCTGTGGGATAGACATGCTATATTGGTATAGCAGTTAGGAGTGGGGGAAAGATGCAGAGTGGGAAGGTCCCAGAACTTGTGTTAAGGAATAGCTGTAATCCTGTCCACTCAGCATTTAACCCATACAGCTGAATACAGAAGGTCAAACTAGCTAGGAACAAAACAGAGCAGGCCAGCCTATGGCCTATTCTGACCGGTGTAAAGGCTTCAGGACACCAGCTGGGCACCTGCATGGGTACCAAGCACAAGGCCAGCAGCTCTTGGCTTCCTGGAAAATGGATCTCCCAGAAAATGACTCCCAGACTCAGAGAGAGAAGTCTGGGTCACAGAAAAGGCTGAGTAGAAGGTATTTCTGCTGGAGAAACTCCAGTCTAGGGCAGGTAGCAGCACACTACAAGGTACCTGGGGACAGACAGGTTATTGGGTCACTATCACAGGTCAGGAGGGGAGATACCCCAGGGCCTGCAGGAGCCTAAACCTGTTCATGGCCCCAGACTCACTCCCACCATGATGTGCAGGTCAGGTCTCTCCTGCTCAGTTTCCTATAAAGAGTGCAGTGTCCTTGAATCTGGAGACAGTCTCCTTGGGCCAGTTTCGAAGTGTGAGGCAGTTGGAGGCCCTGGCCCGTGTGCACATCCTTCGGGCCTTGATGGTGTCCCCAAGCTCTTCTTCCTATGAAGATGACTGCTTCATGGCCTACAGCTTCCTCAGGCGCATCTGGCAGGTAAGGGCAGGCTGGAGATGTGATGCCAAACAGTGAAGGTCTCCACCAACCCCATCCTCCACCCCCGGGAGGAGACTCTGAAGGGCTTATTGCTGCCGATTCGCCCCTCTGTAAAGGCTTTTGAGAAGCACACAGACTTTTTTTCCTGCACCGTCCACCTCTTCCTCTGTGCAGAAAGATGCATCAGCATCTCTCTTGGCCCTGCCACACTCGTGTTTTTGAGGCTCCTTGAAGAGGGTGCTTCCCAAAACCACCCCAGCTCTGCTGTCCATCCACCACAAAAACTTGTAGGTCCGGGTCACTGATCAGACTTGCTCTGTGCTGTGGAGGCTCCGGGGTTTGACCCATGGCTGAGCAACAACACCCTCAGATCTAAGAGCTACCTCCAGCCAGGTGCAGAAATGGGAGATACAGGCCTTACTTTTCATGCTCCCCACTTATATTTCCTCCCCTCCCCCAGATTTCCTTGGTATCAGGAGGAGAACTAATTATAGAAAAAACTTTACAAGTAGTTAGTTCACAATTGTTACTGACAAAAAAGGAGAAGGAAAAGGAGAAGGACAAGGACAAGGAGAAAGACAAGGAGAAGAAGGAGAAGAAGAAGGACAAGGAAAAGGACAAGGAGAAAGAGAAGGAGAAGGAAAAGGACAAGGAGAAGGAGAAGAAGAAGGAGAAAGAGAAGGAAAAGGAGAAGGGGAAAGAGAAGGAGAAGGAAAAGGAGAAGGGGAAAGAGAAGGAGAAGGAGAAGGAGAAGATCAAGGACATGAAACAGGTGAGTGATCCACATAGTGTATCCTCACTTGAGGTGGATGGTAACAGTCATGGAGCCTGAACCCCAACTCCACTGTTGGGGGTCTTATAATCATCCCATGCCTCAGTTTCCCCTTCTGGAAGACATGCTGTCCCCACTCTGGGCCACAGCTTCCAAACACCGTGCCAGAGGTTAGCAGCTTGTCCTCTCCATATTGCGCCACAGGAGCATCCATTTCAGAGCTCCATGTTTTACAGTAAACCTTGCTTTCTCCCATTCACAGATTTCAACCCCAGCTTCCAACAAGCCACTTGATTATATTCCCACCAGCATAGAAGATTGGGCCTCCTACTCCTGCCCTGAGGATCTGTTGTCTGTGTTCAAGCAAGACAGGAGTGACACTACTGTTAACTCATCAAGTTTCCAGAAGCCGGTGAGTGGATCTGAGCAGCCAGCCAGAGCTTTGCCACAGGGCTGACAAACCTAACCTCTCTCCTTCAAAACCACAGCTAACATTTCTATTGCAGATATTTCCAAAGAGGGACCTTTGAGACAGGGTTTTCACAGAGAGTGTTAAAAAGGAGCAGCTTTCCACCTTTAGCTACAAAGCTCCCTCTCGTCTACACCCTCTTTCTTCCAAACATCTGTGAGAAGCCCTGTCGCGCTACATCCACACCCAAGTACACATACATAGTCTTGGTACTGCTTCTGCCTGCTGTCATATTTCCACAAACTAGGCAACTATGACCACAAGAATCACAGTATCAGCAGAATCACGTGGTCCCTCTGGATGCTTCACCCCACCCTATCTCTATCACCAAGCCCACATAATCTCTCCTTTCTAGCAAATCCAGCGCTTGTAGAGACCTCCAAGATTCTACACTCAGGGCTATACCTTGGACAGAGCCTCACCCTAGTCATAGAGTACAATCCCTTTAGATGTAAAGTCACACTCAGACGTTCTATGTATTAAGAGTCCATGCTCTTGAGGGTCCTTGGTCCAGCCACCTTCGGCTTGGTTGGGGGCTTCACAGGGATGGAATTGTTCAGCATATTCCTCTTGGTCAGTAGGTTGGTGGGGTTTGCCCATGCTGTTTGGGGATGACTATTTTAGTTCCTTTCAATGCCACAGTGTGTATGTACTGCAGTGAACAGGCCTTGGTGTGCCTGCCCACTCACCTGCTAATGGACATTGTGTTCATGGTTCTTACAAATGAAGCATCTGTGAACACTGGTGCCCACATTGCTGGACCACAGTGTGGGAAGCTTTCCAGTGATGATGAACATTGCTAGTTGGCAAATCGCATCCCAGGGATGCTATGCTGACTTTCATCCCTGTCCTTGTGGGGGAGTTCCTGCTGCCCACATCCTTGCCAGCCTGTGCTAGTGTGCATGTGATGGCATCTCCCATGGTTACAGTGATGCTGACTGCCCTGTCAGCCTGTCCTAGCCCTTCTTCTTCTGTGATGTGTCTGCCCAGCACACCGCCATAATTTAGCAAATTTTCTTTTTTTCTTATAGAATTGAAAAAATGCCACAGGCCTGTTCTGAGAGGGATACTCTGCCAGTCCTGTACACAGCAAGTCACAAGTGACTTGCCTTTCCTCCCATGATAGGGTCTTCTGTGTAGAAATATTAACCTTAGTGTTATGAAAATTAGGAATCTTTTCCTCTGTGACTGGTGCTTCCCTCAGTCCTTTTTTAAAGAACAACAACAACAACACTGTTTCCTTTTCTTAGGTCAAATATAGCATCCTCCAGTATTCTCCCCCGAGGTACAGATATTCTTCACTTGTATAGCCTAGTGTCAAATTTGGATCTAGTCTACCTTACATGATCTGTGTGTCCAGGGGCCAGGAACCAGCCAGCCTTGACACTAATCCTGGGCAATGGGCCAGGCCACGTCTCTGACACACATCTCCCTCCTGATCTTAGTTCTGTGCTTTTCTATGCCCTGTCCTCTATCCAGTTACCAGAAAATCATGTTCAGTATCTCATCTAATGTCTCCAGCACCCCATATACCAAGCCCAACACCATAAGAGGCACTAGCTCTTTTGTTCCTAGATACCCAGTTGTATACATACACCAAGGAATTCTGCATTTGGTAGTTCATTAGTTTTAATTAGAAAAGAACCAAATGGAATATGAAATTAATGAATTAATGGAGGTGTCTCTTGTGTGGATCTTTAACAATACTCTGGTGCTAACAACCAAAGCATTGCATATGACAAAGCAAAACCTGTAATAACAGATAGGAAAGAAGGCACCCCACAAACTTGTTTAACACTTGCTGAGTGCTGGGCACTGTGCCAGGCAAAACTGAGTGCATTAGCTAACATTCCTTGCTGTTGTGACCAAAATACCAAAGCAACTTGAAGGAGAAAGCATGTCTTTTGGCCCGCGGTTTGAGGGTACAGTCTATCCTGGTGAGGAAGTCCCAGCAGCAGGAACTTGAGGCAGCTCATCATAGTCCATCAGCATTCAGGAAGCAAAGAGTAATGATTGGTCATGCCAAGCTAGCCTCCTCCTTGTTCTGCAGTCCAGGGTCCTACTCCATGGAATGGCCCTGCCCACACTTAGTGTGGGTCTCCTCACCTCAATTAACCAAATCAAGATAACCCTCTACAAAAGAAATGCAGAGTCTCTAACCTGCTCCAGCTAATCCCTCACAGGCAGGCCAAGACTCATCTCCTGGGTGATTCTAATAACATCAAGTTGACAATCAGTGTTAACCGTCACTCTAGGGGACTAGTGTGCTACCCCTGCCTGTGACCACCCCTGTTTGCTATGTGTTTATGCAGACATACAGTTTGTATTACATAGACCACTTGGCCAAAGCCTTGCAAAAGATGTACCTTCACGAGCTCAGCATCCCGGTCCTGCAGCTGGCTGTACTGATTGCAGATGTGGTGGTGGAGAGCAAGAGCCTTGCGGACCTCTACCACCTGCGGTGGGTACCTCTCCTTTACCTGAAGTACTGAGAGCGACGGGTGGTCCAAAACAACATAAAAACAAACAGCGCCCTAGATATTCATTCTGTAGCTGGCTGTGTGAATAATAAATCCCTAAGACAGCCAGATAATGGAATGGTATCTTCATTGAAGAATTTTGCCTGATCCTTAGAGAATACCTTGTTTCAAGGAGATGCATACTGAGGTATTTAAGGATCAAGGGGTATTATACTTCCCACCAAGGGTCTAGAAGGAGAAATGGGGAGGGAGTGGAGAGGAGGGCATGGTGACGGGGCTCACTCGGGGAAGGAGGGACACACACAATGCTTGAGTAGGTTTGCTTTAAACAAAACCTCAGTTGAATTTCCTACTGGAGGCAACGGCAGGGTTTGGCAGAGCCCATCTGGGCACCTGACTATTAACCTCTGACTATGCCCCCAAATGCAGACGTAGTGAGTAAAATAACTGAGTGAATGACAGAGAAAATTGCCACCTGAAGTTTCATAGAATCACCTAGCACATTTAGCTTTAAAAAAAATTTGAAACACGAAAGTGCATTTTTTTTTTTGGTTTACCAACTCTGATTAAGTACCCCAAATCCAGCACCACTTCTTTTGGAGGTGACAGCACCCTATGTGATGGTGGCTCTTCCCTCCCTGCCTTTCCCCTCAGACTTTTGCAGGTGTGTTCCGACCTGAGGCTGCACTACGCAGCGGCTTATCATGAAGAGGTGATTGGACAGGCGTACATTGGGGACATGGAACAGGCCAGGTGTGTACAGTGCTTGCCCCTGCGTGTGGGTCTCCTCTTTCTAGCCATATGCAATCCAGTCTCTTAAGGACAGTGCTGAGGAAACCCTAGCTAGCCCTGGGCTGTGGCTCCTCTCAGTACCAGGCCCATTATGGCTACAGGCTCCTCAGTCTGGACTTGGAGGTCCTGGGGGCAATTTCTAGGTAGCTGTACCTGGGAGGGCAGTGCATAGAGAAATGTGTGAGTCTCCTCCACAGCTTTCATGACAGGTTTTGGGGACTGCTGAGCTGTGGGTGCTCAGCAGAAGAAAGAGATGAAGGGTCGGCAGGACAGGATGGGGAAAGACTGTCCTTCACCAGTCCCAGGCTCCTCCCAGGATGTGCCAGGAGTGATGGCGCTAAGTGATGGTTCTGGTTCTTTGGGTTACTCTACAGCATTTGTGGTTGGCTAATAGTAGGCTGTCCAATAGTTAAATTAGCCAATTACAGATTCTGTGGCAATCCTTTTCAGACTTAGAGACCATCTAAGAATATGTAAGAAGGTATACATAGTCATATTATCGTTAATGGTTGCAACATGGCTTCCCCCCCATATAAATTACATGATCATTGTTCAAATTTTAGAAAACAGGTAAGGAAGAGAATAAACATCACTACGGGCCCCATCCCTTGACAGTAATCCCTTCTGGGGCTTTGCCGTTGTACACCGGATCAGTTATGAAAATGTAATTCTGCTGCATACACTTTTTCACCCTGCAGCCTTTGGCAACAAATGTCTGTCTACAAAATCATTTCCATGCTGTTAGCACAGTCATTTATCTGTCCATCCCTGGACTGACTGGGAGAGTGTTTGCTGAGTCCTCCCTGCCCTCAGATGGGGTCCAGAAATGCAGCTGTCAAGCCTGGGAGAGATGCCTGCCTCTTCTTGCTCTTGGGTTCACGGGAGCACTCGCTGTGCAGTGTGGGAGGCACAGCAGGTGGGCTGCAGAGGAAGGAGGAGGACTGAGACCGACAGAACGGGCTGGTGCCCATGGTGATACCAGGGCTGGGGATACACAGAGGCCTCAGTTCCAAATGCATGCAGTTGGGGAGTCCGGGACAGTTGGATGAGCAAGACTTTTGGGGATCTGTGAAGTGACACCATTGGGGTGCAAGTGTTGGATGCCCTGACGGGAAGAACCCTTGTGTGACGTGGTCAGACTGGGTTGAATGCTGTGATGCACTGGCCCACCTCCCAATGGACAGCTCTGGATGTAGTGTGGTGGGTGACTCCTGTTTCGGGTAAGTGGCAAGGGAGAAGGGGCCACCCTGCTGCTCTGTAGGAAATCCTGAGCACTAAGTGGTTTTGTCTTTTTGGAGGGGCTCCAGAGGCAGGTCTGCTCTACAGACATTAAGCTTGAGAAGCTCATTAAACTACCCATCAGCTTGTCAGGCAGCTGCAGAGAGAACAGGTGGCTGGTGTGGTTGTGGGAACCAGACAGCTGCCCACCTGGAGACTGTTCCGGCTTTCGTAGACATGTGTTGTCTTAGTTGGGGTTTCTCTTGCTGTGAAGAGACACCATGACCATGGCCACTCTTATAAAGAAAACGTTTAATTGAGACGGCAGCTTACAGTTTCAGAGGCTTAGTCCATAATCATCATGGCAGGGAGCATGGTGGCGCGCAGGCAGACATGGTGCTGGAGAAATAGCTGAGTGTCCTACATCTTGCAGGCAACCAGAAGTCAACTACAGTCACACGGAGGGACGCCCCCACAGTGGCACATTTCTTCCAACAAGGCCACACCTCCTAATAGTGCCACTCCCTTTGGGGGCCATTTTCCTTCAAACTACTGCATATGTGAATCGTGGCCTCTCCTGGCTGTGCTAGCTTGTGTTTCTTTGACTGTAAATGAAACTGACCGTTGTCACCAGCCATTGCAGTTCTTCTGATGCATGGTGCTATTTCGCTTCAATTAGCTGCAGAAAAGAAATCACATTTAAAAAGGAGAAGAACAAGGAGCCTGTGATAGAAGACAGCCCGCTAACGCTGCCGGAGCAGCCGACTCCATCCCGCTCTATGGAGGTGAAGCCACTGATAGCTCAAGACAAGGTAGGCTGGCACTGCCATGGTGGGGTCCAGAACCCAGGGCTAACACTGACTTAGCCTGGCTTTGCCACAGTGGAATCTGAAACCCAGAGATGACATTGACTTGGTTGTCGTGTAGGGTTGCCCTAAGAGTCAGCAAGCCGCTGCTGATTTCTGGAGTGCCTACTGAACACGCGCCTAGGTATGGTTTCATGGGAAACTTGGAGAGACCTGACCAAGTTTGCCCTACCCTGGGGCCCCGAATTTCCTCAGGGAAGGCAAACATTATATGTAAAACAGATCACCTGGGGCCTGAGCAGCAACTTAAATCGTCAGCAGGCTAGAGATATAGTGTAGCTGCTTATCTAAAATGTTTAAGGCCCCGGGCTCAGGCAAGGGGAAGGAAAATAAGGGAGGCTCGCTGTGGAGCCGAGCACATCTAAGGGGGTCTTGGCTAGACTCTTGAAGCTCCTGCTGTCCTATCACCGACTGGCTGTCCCCTTCAGTCCATGTACAGGAGAAAAAGCCATCCCAAAGAACCTCAGTTCCTCAGAGGGCCAACTCTGTGAGCCTGTTAAAGTCAGCACTTGGGGCATGGTGGAAAGTGCCCAACACTTGGGGTTTGTTTGGGGACCTGAACTCATAAAAATTAGGGTCAAGGACTATGTAACCCATCCACAATGGGGCTAGGGGATGCTGACGGGTACACAGGAAAAAGAGAGAAAAGCACAGCTATGGACCAGGCAGTCCTGTAGGCCTCACAACTGCTTCCCAGCTAGGCTCACAGAGCAGGAAGCGAGCCTGCCAAGCCAGGCAGCTCAGCAGCGGCTGTAACCAGTTGTGGGAGAGCAGAAGGGGTAACTAAGGAGAGACAGGGGTCCCCAAAGCCTGGGGTGTTGGGAAGCCTTACTGGTCAGAGGTTGCAGTCTCTCCTGGCCCGGTAGTTCTCTCCAAGCTCAGAAGCATGAGGACCTCCCCATCCCCCCACCCCAGCGAGACTTCCTGCTCTCTACCTGCTCTTATTTGGAGAAGGTCTCTTGGTCCAGAAGCCTGACCTTATATGAAAGCTGTCCCCAAGCTTGGATGCCTGATTTGTCTCTAGTGTGACCTTTGGCATAGTTGCCTGCTAGAGCTCTCCCTCTGGTAATTAGACATCGTGCTAGGGGCTTTACAAGAGGACCGTGCTTCCACAGATGATAACTAAGGCTTGTTCTAGGAGCTTTATGATAGGAACATGCTGTTCAATGCAAGTGAGGTGATTCCTTAGCTACCATCCCCAATCCTGTATATTCCCTATACTCTGGAATAAAACTGAGCTGACTCACTAAAGCTGCCTCCCAGAGAGCTATCTCCAGTGATCCACAAGCCTTCCGACCCTGCTCACTGGCTTCTGCTCCCTCCCCCCTCACGGCTGATGATCCCTGAGGTGTATCAGAAGCTAGACAAGCAGAAGCCAAAGGCCTGAGGTTCTGAGTAGGGCACGCTGGGGACGCCCCTGTGGCAGTGCATCCTGCGGCACACTGGCTTCACAGAGTGTTTCTGCTTCTAAGCCGGAGCACATCACGGGACACAGACTGAGGGGGGGGGCGGGGGGAGTGTCTTAGGGCCATGGTGTCTCGCAGATTTTGAAGATAAATGGAGAGACTGGCAAGGGCCTGGATGGGACATCCTGCCCTCAGCTGTGGATGCTCAAAGGGGAGGTCCTGCTGGAGTTGGAGCTGTACCAACCGGCACGGCTGCTCTTGTCAGAGGCCCAGCAGACTTTCCAGGTAATACACCTTACCTATCTCCACTGTAGCCATCTCCACCGGGGCCTGAACTCTTCAGATGCGTTCTTACTCCTCATCTAAGGACTTCAGGGACACCTGGCTTCTCAGAGTCTCCACTGAGTCCCCCCAAAAGGCTTGAGTTAGCATCTTTCCACAGAGCACTGGCTTGGGAGCATTGGCTGTTCTTCTCTGAGGAGCTGCCTACTAGAGGAACTTGTGTCCACACCAGTGCCCATTCACTCCCTAGATTGGCCTTTTGGGTCTCAAGTCCCAAACTACACTTGGCAGGGCTTTTCTATTCTGGACTCTGTCCCCGGTGAACAGCTGACCTTGAACAGTCTGGATTGAAGAAGCTGTTTGTGTTGTCTGCTCTAATGATGCCATTCTCCCAAGTTACAATCCCCATAACTCCTCCAAATCCCTATGGACAGACTTAGAATTGCTTTCAGTTGGGAGATGAGGCCAAGAATTTGACACAACCAGCCTGTGGCTTGTTCTGAAGAATTCAAGGAAAAGATGAAGATTCAACAATGATGGAAAAATTCAGTGTCACCAGAAAGCTGTAAGCTCAGGCTTTGGTCCATACAGTGAGAGCAGGGGTGCGGGTACCAGAGAGGGAACAGGCATGTAAGTAGCAGGGTTAGGACAGATGTGCAGGTGCTGGGGTAGAGGAACAACTGTACAGATGTCAGGGTTAAGACAGATGTGCAGGTGCCAGAGATGAGGCAGATGTACGGGTATAAAGAAGAGGACAAGGGTGAAGGTACTGGAAAGGGAAGAGATGTGCAGGTATCAAAGAAGGGACAGGCAAGGAGACATCAGGGAAGGGAAAGATGTAGATGAACAAGGAGGGAGCAAGTATACGGTTGTAGTGAGCAGACAGATGTTCAAGTACCAGGGAAGGACTGTCCTAGTTAGGGTTTCTACTGCTTCAATGAAACACCATGACCAAAACACAATGACAAAAATGCAAGTTGGGAAGGAAAAGCTTCCTTTGACTTACACTTCCATATTGCTGTTCATCGTAGAAGGAAGTCAAGACAGGAGCTCACACATAGCAGGAACCTGGAGGCAGAAGCTGATGCAGAGACTGTGGAGGGGTGCTGCTTACTGGCTTGCTCCCCCATTGCTTGCTCAGTCTGCTTTCTTATAAAACTCAGGACCACCAGCCCAAGGATGCCAGTACCCACCACGGGCTGGGCCCTCCCCCATCAGTCAGTAATTAAGAAAATGTCTTACAGCCAGATCTTATGGAGGCATTTTCTCAATTGAGGTTCCCTCCTTTCAGATAATTCTAGTTTGTATGTCAAGTTGACATAAGACTAGCTGCACAGGACAGGTGTACCAACTTCAGAAAGGACATGTGCTGTGTTTGTATATCAGGGAGGGGACAAGTATGTACACAGAGTTGAGATAACCTGTCCCAGAAGTGACTGAGCTGACAGTTGTAGGCCTGTGAGCTGACAGGCAGGCTGTACTCTGTTTGCTCAGTACTCTGCCATCAACTGTGGTTGCCCTGGCAACCTACATCTGTACCTGGCTTCCTCCTCCTCCTCTTCACCTCTCCTGTAACTCACTGCATCCAGGCATAGATAACATGACTAATGTCCCAGCTCAGGGGCAGGGCTAATGTGGACGTTCAGCTCTGCTTCTTCTGGTACCTTCCCTTCTTTGTGGCATGCTCAGACTCTCCCCATCACCCCAGCTCCATCTGTTGTGGGGTTATGTCCTTTATCCTCATCACCTGAGGCTTACTTGTAATCTGTAGGGCATCTAAAGGGATGCCCAGTGCTGTGGGAGTCTGCTCCTTCCCTTGGTGTTTAACATAAATCGCATTATTTGCCCTGGCATTTGCTACATGGCTGCCCAGGATAGGTGAGGATGGATGCTGTGAGCTGCTGGGACCCTCTGGGCACCAAGTAATATCTACGTGTAGACTTGCCCTTGGGGCTCGACCCCAGGAAGTCCTCTGCAAAGAGAGAGATCAGTTCCAGCAAGAACCTGGGAGGACTAAGGGGCTGGCCTTGTACTGCCTAGACAGGTCACCACATACCCTCCTCCAAAGAACACCCTCTGGCCCACATTCAGGCCTGAATTTCCTCAGGCAGAACTATCACGAGTTGTCTGTTGATTACCTGACCCAGCTGACAGAACTACAGTGTGATAAGTCCATGTATGCTGTCTTAGTTAGGGCTTCTATTGCTGTAATGAGATACCATGACCAAACCAACTTGAGGAGGAAAGGGTTTATTTGGCTGATACTTCTATATCATTGTTCATCAAAGGAAGTCAGGACGGGAACTCAAAAAAGGCAGGAACATGGAGGCAAGAACTGCCGCAGAGGCCGCAGAGGGATGCCGCTTACTGGCTTGCTCAGCCTGCTTTCTTATAGAACCCTGGACCACCAGCCCAGGGGCGGCCCCATCCACAGTGAACTGGGCGCTCCCACATCAGTCACTAATTAAGAATAAATACATAGCCAGGTGTGGTGGTGCACATCTTTAATCCCAGCACTCAGGAGGCAGAGGCAGGCAGATCTCAGTGAGTTCAAGGCCAGCCTGAACTACAAAGGGAGTTCCAGGACAACTAGAGCTGTTATACAGAGAAATCCTGTCTCAAAAAACAAAAACAAAAGGAAAAGAAAAAAAAAGAGAAAGAAAATGTCCTACAGGCTTGCACACAGCCTCATCTTGTGGAGACATTTTCTCAGCTGAGGCTCCCTCCCATCAGATGCCTTTGGCTTGTGTTAAGTTGACATACAACTATCATACACGGCAAAGCTGATTCAGACAGTAGCCTCCATAGGGAAAAGGCTGCCAACCTCAGGCAGCAGGGCAGAAAGACGCTGCCAGTACAACCAAAATCCTGCACAGGCTGGCTCCTGTGGCTCCCAGGGCACACTTTCCACTCCTGAGGACTATCACTCCCAACTCGTGGCTATGCCAACCTGAGTGGAGCTGCCCATCTGTCTATCGAGTATTGTCTGTTCCTGTTTTTAGGAGCTAGGCAATATCTGCGCAGAAGCACAGTGCCTGTTGCTTCTAGCACAGTTGGCCAATAAGGAAAAGAACCATGGACAAGCTGTACTCATGATTGAGAGGGCCCAGCAGCTAGGCGGAGCTGAGGAGTTCTGGTACAATTCAACCTTGGCTCTGGCTGAAGCCATCTTATCCTCTGAAGATGATAGAAAAGAAGTCAAAGTGAGTTGGGGTGGCCAGTGGACAATGTGGGGTGCATGGAAGAGGGTATGTGCTGAGGTCTTGTCCCCAGGCCCTGCTGAGTGACATGGTGACATGCAACCATCACGTTTAGGTTTTCAAACTGTTTCGGAAACTCATAGAAACATTCAAGGTTCTCCAGAATGAAAGACCAAACCGAGTATCCCTACTGAAATACCTCATCATGGAGCTAGAGGCCAGGTAATGATGCCTAGTCTACTAAAAGCTGTGGCTACTTCCCTCACACATTCCCTTTCATGCTATATGTGCCTGCTCTACTCTGTGTGCCCCATGTGCCCTCAGGTTCCTCTGAGGAGCGGGCCTGCCTTCTACTATGTGACTCAGAGAAGTCATGGCTTCCTCCCAGACAGCCCAGATTTCCACCGTGTCTTTCCTATGGTTCCTGGAGCCTTTGGACTCTGCCCCTTTGTAGGGAGCTGTCAGAGGACCTCTCTTCTTCCATACATGCCAATACAGACTTCAAGTCACATCACAGGTCCTTTTCCAGGACTCCTCTGAGCTCATTGACCACAGATACAGGGATCCTTGCCTTGTTTCTGCACTGATTCCTCTCTGGAAAGTGCTGTGAGTGAGCACTGTATTCCACCAGCTGGTCCTGATGTGAGTCTGTAAGCAGTCTCATATCAGCACGGTTTTCTGTTTTCCAGGGGTGAATCTGGTGCCTAGGTGAGATTATTAGATTCTAACTACATTGATCCAGGGCCAGGGGTGCATGATGTCCATCTTGGCGGGAAAAGGCTCATTGGTATTTGATTCAGTGTCCCTGGGTAGACACTGGACAGAAAGAGGGTTGCTGTGGTCTTGGGCTTTTGAATATGGAGGGGAAACTTCAGTCCCCACCATCTTGAGAAGATTTCTGTCCAGCAGGTGTGTGACACTTCAAATCCAGCTTGCCTGCAACTCTGTTGACGGCGAACTTCTTGAGTACCCACTTTTGCTGATGGACCTAGAAAAGCACCTGTTGAAAGTTGAAGAAAACTTCATACGCAGTGGCTACAAGAAAAATTGTGTCGACTTAAAACTAGAGCACGCAAGGATAAAGAAGTAAGGACGTCACCACACACTCGATCGCCACAGACTCCACCCATGCCACTGGAGCTGTCTTCTGAACAGGGTCCACCTTTGAGCTCCCCCAGACAACCCCTGCTCCTCCCCAGCCTCAGACGTGACTAGAGCCAGCTCCCTCCCCAACTTCCTCCCTGCCAACCCACCACTGCAGTCCTGCAGGTTCCCCAGCAGCTGTTCCTACTGTCGCCACCGCTGTGCATTCTGATGGGCGTGTACCTCTCCTCCCACTGCAGTGCCCAGTGCTTCTCACAGTGTCTCTGCCTGCCCTGGGTACCCACAAGCCTTTTACACATGAACAAATCCTGTGTAGGTGTGACCCTGCCTTCAGGAGCCACGATCAGCCAACACCCACGTCACATCCGGTACCACAGGTGTGCTGCGGCACCATTGTGGGCCACCAGGAAGGCAGGGAAGTGAGTGACTGAGCCAGCAGGTGGAAATTGGTGTGTTGCCACATCCCTGTGTCACTGTTCAACATCTTGTTCTAAAATGTATGTAGAGGGCTGGGGAGATGGCTCAGTTGGTAAACCCCTTGCCTTGCAAACACAAGGACTTGAGTTCATTCCCCCAGAATCCATATAAAGAAGCCAAGAATGGCGGTGGACATTTGTAATGCCAGCTCTGGGGAGACAGAGACAAGTGGATCCTCGGGGATTGCTGGCTAGCAGTCTAGCCTACTTGGTGAATTCTAGGCCAGTGTGATACCCTGTCTCCAAAGAAAGGTGGACAGCACCTGAGGAACAATTCCAGGGTTGATCTTTGACCTCCACATGCACATACATGTACCTGCACACATAAATGAACATATCTACATGCACATTGAAAATAAATAACTAAAATGTACTGAAAATACCTTTATGTATAAAACATTTAACTGCAAAATTTTTAGGTACTGATATTGTATACCATAATTATGTAGAAATTATATATTATATATTACTCAGTGTAACATGTACTGGTATAATATATTAATTAGCTTTAACTTCTTTATTCTAAATTCCACTCTTATATTGCATAAAGGTTATGCGCTCAAAAGGAGAAAGATGGAGAAGAAAAAACTGCCTATTGGCTGGAAGTGTATAACTTGTCCCAGGAAGCTATAGATGAGGAAGAAGAACTATTTCACAGAATCCAGGGGATACTGTCCCTTCAAGATGTAAGTATGGAGTCTGCATGTCCCAGTCATTTCTGTGTACAGGACAGCACTGCCTGACAGATCCGATTTTAAAGCAAAACCAGCCAGGTGCAGTGGAGCATGCCTGAAATCCTGCTACTTCGGAAACTGAGGCAAGAGAATGGGGGAGTTCCAGGCCAACTTAGGCTACCCAGTGAGGCCCAGTCCTATAAACACACACACACACATACACATACACACACACACACACACACACACACACACACACACACACACACACACACAAAGACAGAGTCAGAGACAGAGACAGAGATGCGAGGGGAAGAGACCCCAGTATATATTTTCACAAAACACACATATAGGGCCTGGGTCCATAGTTTAGTCAAGAAAGTTGTATATATTCTCTGGGCCTCTGGATCTCTGCCTCCCCCACCTTCGACCTCAGCATCTTCTGCAAGATCCAGTCTAGAAGCTGGAAATGCGTATAGAAGAGAAACTCGCCTTCTACCCCTAGACCCTTCCAACCCATATTGCCAAAGAAGTAGACGTGATGGCTTGCACTTGTAATTGCAGTACTGAAGAGGAGATGGTGGATTCCTGGTCTCCCTGGCCAGGCATCCTGGTACACTTGGCGAGGTCCAAACCAGCAAGAAACTAGGTCTCAGAAAACCAGGTAGATGGTTCCTGAAGGACAATACCTGAGGCTGTCCACTGGCCTCCACATGAATGTCTGCACACATGCCCACACATTTGTACTGAGCATGCACACCTATACAAGCACACACATGCATATATATATATAACAAAGCACCTGATTTTTGCTAAGGTAGAGTAACAATAACCAGACTCATGCACCCATACAAAACAATTAAAAAAAGAAAACAGACAAACTACCCAAAACAAGGATTTTCCAAACCCCATACATCAACCATGCCAGTTAGTGATCCCTATGCTTAAGTCCCAGCTCACTGCAGCTACAGAGATGGAACTAGGTAGAGCCTAGGTGAAGACCTGAGTCAAGGTGATTAAATCCTGAGAGTCTAGGGAGAAGGAGGCAAAATAGAGCCCATGGAAGAAGAGCACTGCTCACAGATGTCTAGGGGATACCCCAAAACATCTCTCTAAAGAATGATCACCCAGGATGAAGTGCCCAAGGCTGAGAAAGAACCACCTGCAAGGGTTACAGGGAGTGCACTGGTGCTGATTAGGAGGTCCTGGGAATGGGGTGAGAGAGGTTCCAAGACCTCAAGATAGTGGGCAGAGAGCACAGAGGGCCTGACCTCAGAATTTAGCAGTAAGTAAGTAAGTGAACCCAACTATGTGGTGCCTACAAGAAAGCCATTATGAACACAAAGACAAATAGAAGAAAAGTAAAATACTGGGAGGAATATCCCTGACTAATACTGATCAAAAGACAGCTGGAACATTACCAGGAATGAGACTATTTATCTTGTAGTGTAAACTAACCAAGAAGAAAGTTAACCTAAACACTATGACCATAAGAGAGCTTTAAAATATATAAGAAAACATTGATCTTTTAAAAAAAATTGCTAAATCAATTAGAGCCAAAAATTTCATTGTCCTTCTCTTCAATTATTAGTAGAATAAGGAAACATGAAATCAGAAAAGAATGAAAAGATTAAAATATTGTCAACCAACATGACCCAATAGACATATTTTTAACGTTTCACTCAACAACAGTGGGATACACTCTTACACAGATGTGGACTGTCTTCCTACATAGGCTATTCTATGAACCATAAGATGAATCTCATTAAACGTGAATTATACAGAGGATTGTATGGAATTAAATTGAACATCAAAACCAGGAAGTAGGGGCTGGAGAGATGGCTCAGAGGTTGATAATGCTGACTGCTCTTCCAGAGGTTCTGAGTTCAATTCCCAGCAACCACATGGCAGCTCACAACCATCTAAAATGAGATCTGACACCCTCCTCTGACGTGTAGGCATACATGCAGACAGAACATTGCATACATACTAAATAAATAAATCTTTTTAAAAAACAGGAAATAGAGTATAGACACGGACTAGTGGCTTCTGGGGAGCAAGGACAGGAATAAGGATTTATTTGGGTTTCCTTGTAGAATGAGGGCAATGTTTGGGAACTGAACTAGCAATGATTGTGCAACACTGTGGAATCATTATGTGCTAATGAACTGCATACTTTAAGTTTTAGGTTTACTTTAGTGTTTTGCCTGTGAGTATATGTGTGCTCTACATGCATGCCTGATGCCCATAGAGGTCTGAAGAGGTGGTCAGATCCCTTGGAACTGGAGTTACAGATGGTTGTGCACTGCCACATGGGTGCTGAGAATCAAACCTGGGTCCTCTGCAAGAGTGGCAAGTGCTCTTAACCATTGAGTCATTTCTCCAGCCTTCATTCTTCAGATTTGTTGATTCCGTTATGTTGCTTTACCTCAAATTAAAACCAAAACAAAACAAAACATTGTGTCCAGGGAAAACCTCAAGTGTTTGGAATGTAAGTAGAATACAGCTAACAACTAACTCTAGGCCACAGAAGAAGCCAAAGATAAAATGTTTTGAAATGGAGGGAGGAGAGGACACCAAGGAGTTTAAGATGTCGTCAGTGCAGTACTTAGGGGGAATGTGGAGCACTAAACACCTGAGTAATAACGATAACATAAGGGTGATGGGCCAGAAGTCAATGAGCTCAGCCTTTACCTTAAAAATAAAGAGAAAACTGAATCCAAAACAAGTAGTAGAATAGGAATTAAAGATGGAGTAAAACATTCAGTGAAAGAGATTCACCCTCTCATCCAAAACAAATCAATGAAACAAAGATTTTCAAGACCTTGGATATCCAATGGTAGTCTCTGAGCTGAGGTTCAAGCTCACTGCAGCTTTTTAAAGGAGAAGGTCACAGCTGGGTGGTGGTGGCGCACACCTTTGTTCTCAGCACTTGGGAGGCAGAGGCAGACAGATCTCTGTGAGTTCAAGGCCAGCCTGGTCTACAAAGTGAGTTCTAGGACAGCCAGGGTACTTACACAGAGAAACCCTGTCTCAAAAAACAAACAAAAAATGGAGAAAGTCACTAAAGCCAAAGCTGGTTCTTTGGTATAGATCAGTTGGTAAACTGAGTCAGACTGATCAAACAGTCTATAAAGGATTTAAGTGCCAAATACCAGAAATGAGTGACCTAGCCCTGACTGCCTATATTCAAAGGATAGTGAGGAGACATGGGACTTTTATAGTTGAGGTGAAATAGACCCACACTTGCAATACCCACTCAAAAAGAAATAACTCTATAACAACTCTGTGAATGAGGGGAATTGAGTCTGTAATTGAAAACCTTATCACAAAGCAAATGTAAAGCCCAGGCAGATCTACTGCTGACTCCACCAAATAATTTTTTTAAATATCACTTCTGAGCAGATTATTTTAGAAGGTTGAAAGGGAAAAAAATCTATAGGAAGTTTTCAAGTCTAACTCCAAAATAAGATACAGGAGGGTGTAGTGGAATGCACCTTTCTTTAATCCCAGAATTCAGGAGGCAGAGGTAGAAGGAGCTCCGTGAGTTCCAGGCCAGCCTGGTCTATAGAGTGAGCTCCAAGACAGCTAGGGCCACACAGAGAGACTCTGTCTCAATTTTTTAAAAAAGGTTAAAGAGTTAAAGACGTTACAAACAGACAAAAAAAACCAACAGAGCAGTGTTGCACATGAACATGGCTAACATAACAACATCACACCGTGCTCACTGGTAAAAGACGACTGATTCTTCCATAGCTAAGGACTAAGACAATGATATCTTATCACATTTATTCAGCATTGTTGTGGAGGTGCTAGCCAATGCAATACAGCTACCATCCAGATTGATAGAAGGAACATGTAAGTAAAATACTTTTTCACAGATAACAGATTTTATAGAAAATCATGTAATATACCAAAATTAAAAACTACAAGTAGGCTAAATTAAAGTTAATGAGCAAGTTTGGTTGAGTTTCAGGGTTATATAGTATATACATTATATTTCTTTTTTTTCCTTTGGTTTCTCTGTGTAGTTTTGGAGCCTGTCCTGGATCTCACTCTGTAGACCAGGCTGGCCTCAAACTCACAGAGATCCTCCTGGCTCTGCCTCCTGAGTGCTGGGATTAAAGGCGTGCGCCACCACCACCCGGCTACATTATATTTCTATGCAAAGAAAGATTAATTGTATATTAAAAATTAAAGCAGTATCATTTATGACTACTTAAAAATGAAACTTGACCAGAGTATAGGCAAGATGTGAATGCCTACACTGTGAAAACAGTAAACATTGCTGAGAGCAGTTAAAGATGATTTAAAGAAATGGCAGCAAAACTCATGTTCCTACATCAGACGATTCAATATTAAGATATCAGTTCTTCCTTAACTATAACTAAGATTCCTACATATATATATATATATATATATTTTGGTTTTTCGAGACAGGGTTTCTCTGTGTAGCTTTGTGCCTTTCCTGGAACTCACTCTGTAGCCCAGGCTGGCCTCGAACTCACAGAGATCCGCCTGTCTCTGGCTCCTGAGTGCTGGGATTAAAGGCGTGCGCCACCACTGCCCGGACAGATACTTTTTAATATATATTGACAATGTGATTTTAAAATATGGAAAGTCTAAAATAGCCAAGACAATTTCAAAAAAGAATAAGATTAGGAGCCAATGGTACCTGACTTTAAATTTTATTACAGAGCTACAGCAATCAAGACAGTGTGTGTTCAGTGGGAACATGAACAAACAGACCAATGGGACTAACCTGAGAATCCAGAAATAGAGACACACATAGAGTCTCTAACAGAGGCACAACTCCATGGACAAAAGACAGTCTTTAGATGATGCTAGAACAACAGGAAATGCACATTCAAAAACCTGGACTTCCACTCACACCTCAGACTGAGGTGGGAAATACCCTCAAATGGGTCATAAACCTGAAACGAAAGCCTAGAACCCACAGCACAGTCAGTTGGTGATGACATGATTGGCAAAGAAATGTACCTAACACATGATCCAATAAAAGGAAAAATTGATAAACTGCTCTTCTCTTTAAAATACACTATTGCTAGGTGTGGTAGCGCACGCCTTTAATCCCAGCACTCGGGAGGCAGAGGCAAGAGGATCTCTGTGAGTTTGAGGCCAGCCTGGTGTACAGAGAGAGTTCCAGGACAGCCAGAACTGTTACACAGAGAAACCCTGTCTTTAAAACAAACAAACAATAAAATATACTATCAAGAGAACAGTGAAAACAACACAGACTTGGAGAAAACATTTGCCAATTTTATTCCTCGATAGCAGTAACATATCAGTAATGCATTAAGAGCTCTCAAAATTTTAAAATATTAAAAACGAGCAAACTATTTGAAGAGACATTTCCTCAAATGTATGGAAAGCAAGCATGTGAAAAGATAAACATCATCCTTGTGGCATATGAATGAGTCTCAAAACAGCCGTACTGAGGCAAAGTGACAAAAGGCTCACATACTATGTGATGCCGTTTCTATAAAGCTGATTTGTTGCACCACAGAATAGCTGTCACTTGGAAGAGGGGAAGGCTGTCTTGAGTATGCTATGCCAGAAACAGAGACAAACACACCTGTGTCTTTTTACAGCATGAGGATTTATTGAATAAAAATAAATTCACAAGGTTTAGGAGTGTTAATGGCAGCAATTTGCCAGATTAAATCTGCCTACTCTAGAAATCTGGCTGAGGCAAATGCAGGTTCTTATTCTCCAATCTTAACTATAAGTATTAACTCTCATACCACACAGTACACAGTAGATACATCTATATATGGATATGTGTGGGTTACAGAATGAATACAAGTTAGCGAGGGTGCCGAAGGGTTCAAGAGGTTTCTGAGGTGGACTGAGAAAAATTCAAGGGAGGTCTGAATTGAAAAGGAATCCAGAAAAGAAGAAGCTGTTGCCATAGAGACTGAGCTGAGGAAGAGTCAGGTTTGAGAGCAAAAACCTAGTCAACTGTAGAGACGACAGGGCAGAACCAGGTCAGAGCACGTTTAGGTCTGAATGGGCAAGCATGTAGACAATCAGAGACATCTGGGTGCCCAAGCAGAGCAGAAGCCCCAAGGACAGTTGGAGAGTCTCTGCCTGTGAGTCCTTGATTCACACACCCCAGGTATCAGGTGATAAAATGGCTTGGGGCCATACCATCACAGAGGTAGGTGTCCATAGCTTTATGGGGGGCAGGTGAGGGAGTCATGTCCTTTCCCTGTTTTCCCGTCCTGTTTAGTTCTTGGGCCTAGTTTCCCTAATATGATTTTAATACACCTATATATTCCTACAGTTTCCATTCACCTCAGTAACTGTATAGAGTGGCTTCTTTCTCCCAGGAATATTCCATTTATCAGTCTAAGCTGCACGGGTGATGCCAGAGAGATGGTGGTGTTTGTGGGTCCAGCCAGGAGTTCAGTTATTGTGGTGATATTTTATTTGTGCTCTAACAAATAAAGCTTGCTTGGGGACCAAAGGAAAAAGCCAGCTACTAGATTAAATATAGAGGTCAGGCAGTGGTAGCACATGCCTTTAATCCCAGCATTCGGGAGGCAGAAAGTCATCCGGATTTCTGTGAATTCAAGGCCACACTGGGGACAGAGCCGGGCACGGTGGCGCATGACTTTAATCCCCGCACTAGTTAACCATAGAGGTCTGGAGGTCTGTACAGACAGACAGGAAGTGATAGAGCTGGGTGGAAAGAGCAAGTGATGTAGCTGAGCAGAGAGAGGAAGATGGCAGGGCACAGAAAGACATATACAGGAAGTAGCTCTCTCTTGGGCTGAGGATTTCCCAGCGGTAAGAATTTGTGGCTGGCTTGTTCTATCCCTCTGATCTTTCAGTTTTCACCTCAATATCTGGCTCCAGGTTTGTTTTTTTTTTTTATTAATAAGACCATTTAGCAATTCGTGTTACAAATTATCCTCCACCCTCAAAGCTGCTTGTGAAATGGAGTCTCTCAGGGCAAAGGCCCAGCCTGAGAAACCACTGCTTGTGCAATACAGAGTAACTTAGAGCAGGGAACAGCCTGATGTCAACACAGGCCCAAGAAAGCACATGGAGAAACCCAGAGTGTGAAGACCGTGTTCCTTTTCTTGGGTTGGCGATAGTTTAGCATCTATCGCCATGTCAAAATATATCCATTTCACACTTTAGTTTATACTTCAAATGTGTGCTGTCTATGACGCGTCAGCTCTGCCTTGTCAGAGTACTTACCAGTGATTGGTCTCCTGGGGAAGAGTGCCCTGCTTGACCCACCTCAACCATCTCAGTTACAGAACATCAACTCCCCACTGATGAGAAGGCTGGCCCGCCTCAAACTCCGCCTGGCAGAAACATGCCTGGACATGCAGCAGCTGGTCTGCAAGGAGGCCTTGGAGCTGCAGCTTGAGCAGGGTTCCTTCGAGAGGCTGCTTGCAGACTTCCTTCTGAACATCAGCAACTACTCGTCCATCGACTTGGTGACAGCAGGCAGCCTTAGCTCATGTTCTCCCCCGGGGGCCTGCCAATCTGAGGGACCCCGGTCTCTACCCACCCCGCCCCCTGCCATGGCAGCTCTTGACCACCCCCACACCTTGTGTGCAGCGAGGCATTGTCTGATCACCGAGAGGACTTAACTAATAGCGAAGAGCTTATGGGAAGGGGTTTCCTGTGTAGGCTTACAGTTTTCACTCCTGGGTCTGGGGGCTAGCACCCTGCCCCGTTCCTCCCAGCACCGCAAACAGAGCAAACTGAATAAGTGAATACCTATTTGGAAGAAAACCCTTCTTCCACTTCCTTCCTTCCTCCCTCCTTCCCTTTCTTCCCTTCCTTCCTTCCTTCCCTTCCTTCCTTTCTTCCCTTCCTTCCTCCCTTCCTCCCTCCCTCCCTTTCCTTCCTTCCTTCCTTCTTTCCTTCCTTCCTTTCCTTCTTTCCTTCCTTCCTTCCTTCCTTCCTCCCTTTCTTCCTTCTTTCCTTCCTTCCTCCCTTTCTTCCTTCTTTCCTTCCTTCCTTCCTTCTTTCCTTCCTTCCTTCTTTCCTTCCTTCCTTCTTTCCTTCCTTCCTCCCTCCCTCCCTCCCTTTCTTCCTTCTTTCCTTCCTTCCTTCCTTCTTTCCTTCCTTCCTTCTTTCCTTCCTTCCTTCCTTCCTCCCTCCCTCCCTCCCTTCCTTCCTTCTTTCCTTCCTTCCTTCCTTCCTTCCTTCCTCCCTCCCTCCCTTCCTTCCTTCCTTCCTTCCTTCCTTCCTTCCTTCCTCCCTTCCTATTTAGCCAACCCTAGCAGTAGAACCCAGGGCCCTGCACATGCTAGGCAAGCACTCTATCAACTCAGCTGTAGCTCGAGCACTTTCCATTCTCTTAAATGTCATGAAATGAATCAGGTTAATTTAGGGTGAACATAAATGAATCCTATAGTTAACCTCTATCTATAATGAGTTCTGCTTTATATTAATAGTTGTCTTTTATGGTACTTTCAATATCTAAGTCCTAGAGACCCCCTCCCCTGCCCCCATGCTACCACACAGGACTGCACAGAGCAAAGACACCAAGTACCCACATGTTCCCTGCTAGGCAGTCCTAGAAGGCAGCTATCTGAGCTCTCTGGGTGGCTAGGTGGAGGTCACATGACAGCCATTGGTGGTGACAGCATCTTCTTGTCTTCCTGAAGCAATGGTTCATGCTAAAGCGGACCCTGCCTCACACAGTGCTGGCGCAGCTCGAGAGTCTGCAGCCGCTGTCCGTGGGCTGCATGGACATCCGTGCTCAGCTTCTGGTCCTGGCCGGGAAGGCCCTCCACCTGCTGTCTGTGCAGACAGACCCTGTGTACCCTTCCTTCTGCTGGGAGGAAGACCTCTTGGTAGGTGTCCCTTCCTCCCCCTGAAGTCTAGTCCCCGATGGCTCCACATCGACTGTAGAATTGCGGTGGAAGAGGTGTTCCACCAACTCAACTAAGAAGGGTCTGGCCCTGGCATCTCTCTGTCTTAGTGACTTGTGTCTGGTTGTGCACAGGCCCCTAGGAGCTTCAGAAAGCTCATGCACTCCCTGAGGTACACCTATGCCCTGGGTGTTGACCTCCATGCTGAGATGCACCAGGATGGATGGTGTCTGCCTCTATGGCCCTCTATATACCACAGAGCCTGAGAATCTCCGAGAAGGGCCGATGCCACCTGTTCCTCAGCTCCTCCCAGGGCCCACCCTCTTTTAGGGCTAGGTTCTCTGACAGAAGCACCTGCCCAATTCAGAACCCTGGTAACAGCTCTTGCAAGCCTGCCTGTCCCTCGTCCCCTTCCTAAGAGCCTGCACAGAGGCACTTCTACCCCAAGATGGCACCAGCCTCGATGGACAAGACAATGCTTAGTCGACAAGTTCCAGTAGGAGGCCTCACAACCCAGTGCAGCAAGCCGTGCCCCAGGACTCAGCACACAGAGAAGCTCCCGGCCAGCTAGCTCTGAAGCCCTTGGCTTAGTACTCGGGGTTGTTTGTCCTGAGTCTTCACGGTGTAGACAGCAGGAGACCAGTAAGCCCCAGGCTGGGTTAGCCTATGTTTGCAGCTCCTGCCCCGGTCACAAAGTCAGGGGCTTGAGATGCGGAAGCACAAGCCCCACACCTGTCTGTCCTGAGTCAGGGTCTTCGTCTGTAAGACAGTGAGGAACACTGTCTCTAAAGGCGCCATGACCGCTGTGTGGAGTTCAGAAGGCTCCAGGAAACCCAGCTGCTTCCTCCCAGGCCCTGGAGTTCCCGCCACCTCTGTGCGGCGGCGTTGGTTCCTTTTCCTCCTCCGTAGGGATGGCTTGTTGTCGCTGACCAGTTTCCTGACACCAAAGCCCACCTTCCTTCTTCCGGTCTTCCTTCTTGTTTTCCAGGCCGGATCTTTCCTCTAAACGCGTTTCCATGAAGCCTCCTAAATTTGATGTGTAGAACTTTCATTCTCTGAGTTTGTTTCCCAAATGCCACTGTGGTGGTTTCTTCCTTGATCGGCTTGATGGCTCTAAGTAGCTTGTCTCATTTTGAGGCTGCTGTCCTGTCACAGGCGTCTATTCCTGATTGCTAGCCTGATCTCACTGATGATCTCTGTCCTTGGGGACCTGTTAAGGCTGCTGCTGGCCAGGGCCCGGTGGATTTGGGCAGCGTTTTGACACAACTTGGGCAAAGTATGAGAGGTGGCACCCACAGATGCCAGCTGGGCCAGGGCCTGGCTCTTCTTCCACTCTGTGTGTGGGCCATTGAGAGATTACCTCTCCCTTTCCCTCCAAATTGATAACACCTTTGACCCCACAAACGCGTGGCTCCTGATCACTTCCAGGGCCTACTACTGATCCCTATCATCTTCCCCTTCCCTGGCCTCTGTGTTTCCCCTGCCAGCCAAGCAGGCACCCACAGACCCCTCTCACCACACGGTGTGCACTGCAGGTAGGCACTAAGCAGAGCAGCCTGAGATCGCTGGAGCTGGAGACCGATACAGAGGACAAGAGTGTGGAGACCTCTTCCAGGGACTCCACAACCTTGAAGGAAGCCCCCAAGGAACAAAACCGGAAGGGAGAGGGTCTGAAGGTATGCAGCACTCCCTGTCTGTCCCCTGGTGGCCTCTGCCTGAGGAGCCCACCTTGGCTTGAACTTGGCACTGTCTGCAGAAGAGGGCGGTGCTGGCCCAGAGGTTCCTGGCGCAGACATCAGAGGTACTGCTGCAGTGTCTGCAGGCTGCCCTGAGCATCAACCTTCTGGACATCGCAGCCACTGCCAGCTTGGAGATGGTGGAGTGTATTGGCATCCTGGATCCCGCAACCACATGCCAGTTCCTGGCACTGTCGCAGGTATGGACCTCCTCTGCCCATCTCCAAAAGGGCCCTTGTCTGTCACCTTGTCTGTAAGTCCCAGGCAGCCACACTGCTCTCCATTAGACAGGACCAGGGTGGCCCTGTGGCTGAAAGAAGAGACCCTCCCCCACCCCACACACACCCATTCTCTGAGCCTTAGGTCATGCTAGTCCTCAAGTTATGGAAGCCAGCCAAGTACCTGTTCTTGTAGCTCAGTGACCACACGCTGTGCTCACCCCATACCCCAAGCCTCCATGGTGGCATAGTCCACTTACATGGTGGACAGAGGTCCCGCAGAGGGTGGGACAGACTCCCAGATGGCCCACTCAAGGCTCAGTCACCCTCTGCCCTTTCACACAGCACATACCACCCTTCTCTGCTCTGTTTCAGAGCTGTTCAACCTCAGAGATGATGCGGAATGTTTTGCTCACCGCCACGAACAATACCAGCAGCTCACAGCTGGCAGCCCTCCTGCAGCTCCACAAGCGACTGAGGCAGCAGGACATGGCCTCCACCAGCCTGTTTGCCAGTGTAGAGCAGAGGCTGGCCACCACTTCCAGGGTAATGGGCAAAGGAGCCTTCATACCTGTTCCTACGGTCTGTAGGCCTCTATGCCCACTCATTAACCACTAAGAGAACAGCTTCCAAGTGACGCGTGCCTTAACCCTTTTAGCTGTGTGGGTCTGGAGACCACTCAACCTCTCTGAGCCCCATGTGCTGTAGGTAACAAAGACAAGAAAGCTAAGAGAATTGTAGTTCCTTCCCCTCACTTGCCCTGGGGAGCCAAGGTGTAGTCAGACTTTTTCATCATGACCATCAGCTCACAAATAATGACACAGAGACTTATTAGTAATTATGAAAGCTCGGCTGATAGCTTAGGCTTGTTTCTAATTAGCTCTCATAACTTAAATTAACCCATTTCTATTCATCTATGTGTTGCCACGTGACTCATGGCTTATTATCTCATCTCAAGTCATCTCATAGCACCCAAAACTAGTGCTGAGGTGAGGCCAGAACCCTACATCCATCCTGTTTGGCTTGAGTCAAATCATGGTGCTAAAGGAAGTTCAAGGAGCAGGAGGAAGGAGGAAAATTTAAGATTCCAAGGTCCTGTGGTCACCAGAGAAGTGGTGTGATTCACAAGTCTATGGTGACTACCATAGTCCCTAAGCAGAGCCACTAAAGCAATATGTATCAAAATAACAGTAAAGAGCAGAAATCAATTCAAAAGAAAGCAAGTGGACTATAAAAACCGACAGTTCTGTATGTAAAAAGCAGTACAGCAGTAGCTACACATCCAATATATTGGTAATGACAGTAAGTGCATGTTGAATGACACTATGCCAGAGACTAAGAAAGAGACGAGATAAAAAAGGACCACAGACTCCCGATGCAACTACTTAGAGGAAGCACTTTACACATGAGGAGAGAGAGGTTAAAAGTCAAAGGTCAGATGAGCAGACATGGTACACTGTGTTACTAGAGATGGAAGGATACCTCATAATGACACAGGGGACACCTTAGCAAGAAGTCACTTTCTACCCAGTGACACACATACCCTCAACAGATACAAAAGGAGCAGCAAACTATAGTTCTTGAAGGGAATGGTAGGCACTCTCTCTGTCATCCACATAGCAAGTGTGATGCAAGCCAGCTCTACACAAACAACCTGGAGGCCCTGTCCCCGCTGACATCCAGAGGTACCACTCCATGAGTGCCATCCCTCATATTCTGCCCAAGTGTGTCAGTGTAACGAAAACCAACCAGGTCCTGGACACCAGCAGCCTGTCTTAGTTACTTTCCTATTGCCATGACAAGAGCACCATGACCAAAGCAACTCATAAAAGAAAGCATTGCATTTGAGGATCCCGGTTCCAGAGGGTTAGACTCCATGGCCATCACGGCAGGAACATGGTGGCAACCAGACACAACAGAACAGTAGCTGGGAGCTCACTGGGAATGTTGGGTACTTTCCAAACCTCAAAGCCCACACCCAGTGACACGACCTCCTCCAACAAGGCCACATCTCCTAATCCTACCTACTGGGACCAAGCATTCAAATACATAAGCCTGTGGGGGCCGTTCTTACTCAAAGCACTACAAGTGGGTACCCACACAACAGAACGCCCTGCAGCAAGGAGAGCATGAACCTGCACGGCAAGGCTACCCACATTCCTGAGGTGGTCAACAGCCAGGCAGAAAAGCAAACCACTAGCAATAGAAGTCTCTTCACTGTCTCTGTGTGGAGAAGCTAGGGCAAAAACTCTGCCCATCTCTTCACCTGCTGTGTGGGTACAGGCACTGTGAAAAATCCACCAGGTGCTTCATGTAGGGTTTATGCGGCTCCCTGTTGCTTAATCTTTGACAAAAGTTTTCTAAGAAATAATTGTAGTTTTGCAAACCCAAAGCTCTGTCTTGAAGCCATGAGCATTAGCAGCTCACACAGGAGATCCCAGGATACTCCCCAGGGCCCATGCTGGCTGCCTGCCATGGGCAGTGGAGACCCTGAAGTGTGCAATGTCTAGGATTACTCAGATTATCCGTGTACAATACTCACAGGAAGCAGAACTGGGGTTCTGGAGTAGACCGACCCCCACCTAGGTCAGCAGCCTGAAGACTCAGCACTAAGCAGAGGTCCTCATCTAGGCTTCAAGAAGCAGTAAGAACCTTATTTTTGTTCTTATTTTGTTTTGTTTTGTTTGACAGGGCTTCTTGGTGTAGCTCTGGCTGTCCTGAAACTAGCCCTGTAGACCAGGCTGGCCTCGAACTTGCAAAGATTCCCCTGCCTCTGCATCCCTAGTGCTGGGATTAAAGGTGTACCACCCCGCAGTAAAGACCTTATTGAAGAGATGCTGTTTAAGGTCTCTGAAAACTGCCTCAGCAAGTGGGCAGAGTTGGATAGTTTAGAGGAGCCAGTGAATGTCTCATGCCTCTGCTGCCCTCTTGTGGTAGTAATGCATCCCACAGCCCAAACAACCTCAGGGAGAGCAGTGGCCCTGCGTCCTGAGTGATTTCTCCCCCATCACACACAGGCATGGCAGAACCTCTGTGTCACAGAGCAGCATTTCACCTTCCTGAATGAGATTCCACCCATGTTCCGGATCCTCTTTCTGCAGCACTCGAGAGACAGGTGAGGCCTCCCCCCCCATCCTTGTTAATCTCTGTTCTGTTGAGAAGCCCAGCAAGAAGACATGGGCATAGCAAGCTTACCACACCTCAGCTCCTGTCCTGAGGCAGACTGGGCCCATCTAGAAAGCATGCTAGAAAGACTCAGCTAGCCAGTCACTGACAGGCATGGGCACTTGTTCAATCCGGAGACATGGGAAGTCTGGAAAAGGCCAGGATGAATTTCCATGATGATGGGGACTATATAGGGATGGAGGCACTCTGTGATCTGTGCCCACACAGGGTCTTTCTGTTAGGTCTGTGTAGGCCTACACTGCTGGGTCTTTTGTAATTTCAAGTCTTACTTGGGTTATATAGACTGATTCATGGGCCTCTGCCTGGCAAAGTAAACAAGGAAAGGTACCTATTGGGTGCCAGCAGCAGGTAGTCTCGATAGGCTCCTGAGACCCATGTGCCTTGCTGTTTTACCTCCTCTGAGAATGGGCTTGTGACCTTCACTCTACCTGCAGGTCCTATCTGTATGGTGCTGCCTTTGAGAGACCAAAATCCATGCCTGCACCCAAGGGGAAAATGGTCCCAGTGGGCGGTAAGCTTGGGCATACGCAGAGTTCCTCTCATTGACTCTAGATGGGTTGCAGTGGGTGTAAGAAATCCCAACCACACAGCAGGACCTCTCACTTCCAGATGCAGGGGTGAGGGGAGGCTGAGCCCAGGATAGAAGAGAAAATAGAATTATCATCATATTTCTAAGGGATCTAGATGATCCATGCCTCCCAAGAGCTCCCCCGTCAGTCACCACTGTGTTTCACCTCTGCCTGAACTTTCTGGGTATCAGCCCTTGTACTGCCCAGAGAGGAATGGGGAACTCCATGTGAAGACCTTCCCATCACATGCCTCACCTCTGAGACATCAAAGTTGAATATGTCCACATCGCCACCTGGTCACACACTCCTAGTAACTCTGCTCTGAGCCCTGTAAAGGCCATGGGTGTGTCTCTACAGGTCACTGCAAGGTAATGCGGGTGACTATGAGTCCAACTGCCTTCTCAGACCTGTTGACCAGGGTCCATTGGTTCCGGAAGCAGACACAGAGCCAGGTACACAGCTAAGATATGACCCTGAACCCAAGCACTTGGGGCCTAAGGCTCCAAGTCATGTTGCATACTGCAGTCTATCTCAGGGAAAGCCAGGGCTCCAAGATTGGGTTGGGCCAGGTTCTGGGCCCAGATCTCAAGAGGATGAGGTGAAGCCCTGGGAAAGGTGGGGAGCTCTCCTGAGTCCTTGAGTTGAGTCTAGCCCCAGCAAAGGTATCCGGTTACCTCTTCTCTACAGAGCATAGGGTTAGCTGTCCTGGCCTATCCCTACCAGCAAGATACTCCATAGTGTCAGCAGAGGACAGGGACAGGGCTGAGATGTCAGAATGGCCTCCAGAAAACTACTGGGCACATTGTGCTGGGAAGGACTAGAGCATGCCAATGCTCTATGTGGAAGGCTTGGAGCTCAGTTCTTTCCCTAGGTGTCTTCTCAATTAGTGGGAAGTCTTGATTGGGTGGAAGTCATATCTAGACACCCCTGGACAATAGGCTGTGGTTTGGGTTGGGACAGAAATCGGACACCTTGCATGATGAGGAGCGAGACCTGTGCATGCAGAGACTCAACAGCATCCTGGAGCACTTGGAAGAGTATATGAAGCCCATCACTCCCCTGTTCACCTTCCCAGAAGCCAGGTATCAGCAGGTCATTTCCTCTGAAAGTCCCCAGGGGCAGCCAGCTTCGTGGTGCTAGGTAATAGGCAGTTGTCTCTAGCTGAAGCAGAAGGAGCTAGAGATTGTTGTTCATGGGCTACAAGTCCCACAGTAACCAGAATCTTCCAGGAGTCTACAGGAAAGGTCAGCCAGGTGTAGCTGAAGGCCAGCTTCAACCCCAGATCTGGACAGCATAAGTACCTATGTGAGCTGGGTAGCCAGTTGTGATGGGTAGAAAGCCAGAGCTGGTTTCTGTGATCTCCCTCCACGTGGAAATTGGTCTCTGAGTGTCCTGTTCCTACTGAAGACAAACATGAGTGCCTGGCTATTTGGTGTGTTTTGTAGGCAGGAATCCAGCTGCTGCAGCTGCTGCTGCTGTCCCTGCCCCAGTGGCCCCCTGGTCTGAGTGTGGTGTGGGAGAACTAGCAAGTCCCCAGGACCCAGCCTCTGGCATTCATTTTGGAAGAAAAGAAGGGCGGATGGAAGGTGGAGGTGGCATTCTTCTCCAGCAGCATGAGGCCATCCCAAGGGCCCTATCTGTTGACACTCTGCGAAATTCCCCTGGTATAGAGATGGCCCTCAATGATTGCTGGGTGTGGTAGTACGTGTCTTTAACCCCAGCACTCAGGAGGCAGAGGCAGGAGGATCTCTGTGAGTTTGAGGCCAGCCTGATTTACATAGAGAGTTGTGGGCCAGCTGGAGCTATATAGTGAGACTATGTCTTTAAAAACCAAAACAAAGCAGCTATCATTGGCCGAGGGACAGGCTGAGTGGTGCTTCTCATCGTCTTTGAGTATCTTCCTATGCTTCCTAAAGTTTGAACACAGTCACTCTGAATTTCAGAACACAGATGCCAGTGGCTATGGCTGATACAGGGAAACACAAAGGCAAAGAGAAGGAAAGGAAGCCGTCTCTCCCTTTAGGTGAGTGGCAGGAATGGACCCGCAGGGCACTGCTGGTACCTCAGGAGCTTGCGCGAGGACTCACCCTCCCACCAGAAAAAACCTGGGTCAGGACTCGCGGGTTCCATCTCCAAACAAGTCCTACACCTGAGTGCTGCACAGGATCCCTTGAGGTCCCCAGTACACAATCACACCAGGCTAGATGAAAGGCCCTAGATCTCAACCTTCCTAGTGCTGTGACCTCATGTTGTGGTGACCCCCAACCATAAAATTATTTTCATTGCTACTTCATAACTATAATTTTGCTACTGTTACGAATTATAATGTAAATATCTGTGTTTTCCGATGGTCTTAGGCAACCCCGGTGAAAGAATCGTTGGGTGCCCAAAGGGCTTGCGAGTCACAGGTTGAGACCACCTGCCTAGAAGGTTCTGGGCACTGAGACTGACAGCTCACTGAAAGGCGTTATCAAACAGCAGAGCCATCCCACCCTTTCTGGGCAAATTGTCAGTTTTTGACCCACGCAGTGCCCATAAGCAAGAGCAGTGGTGCTGTACCCAGCCCTCCCTACCCTGGCCAGGTGGGAGGAGGAGGCCCTGCTGACAGTCTGCTGATGTTTCTAGGAAAGATGGGCATTGTCGCCCTGCCTTAGGGAGCTCACCAGAGGGAGCCACAGGAAGGGACTCCATTGCATCCACGTGGTGCCCGTGTGTGGTCTCTGCTAGTGGCACTGTCCGTGGGTACTTTTAGCACCAGCCTGCAGCTTTTATTCCCATTGGCATGGATGGGAGCATGCTCTTGATGCATGACTCCTGGCAGGGAGGTCAGGTGGGTGCCCTCTTGGCTACTTTGATTTTGCTAACCTCTCCTTTAAAATGCAAGTTCTTGTCTTAAGTGCTGTCTGCTTTTCCGTCCCCATAAGGAATTATTGACAGATGGCCAAGGGGATGGCTGCTTCCCCTGCGCCCCTCCCTCTGAAACCCCACCAACCTTCTCCCAAGTCAAGCTGGCCATATTGCCATGACCCAGACATAACCAGCACCACAAGACCTGCAAACTGCAGATGGGTCAGGCCTAAGCTGGGGGGAGGGGAGGCCGTTCAGAATTACTGCAGAGTGCCGGGCGGTGGTGGTGCACGCCTTTAATCCCAGCACTCGGGAGGCAGAGGCAGGCGGATCTTTGTGAGTTCGAGGCCAGCCTGGTCTACAGAGCGAGATCCAGGAATGGTGCAAAGCTACACAGAGAAACCCTGTCTCCAAAAACAAAAACAGAATTACTGCAGAGACTAGGGAAGTGAGTGCCGGTCTCACACTCTGTGGGCAGGCTGCTCACCGCCCCCCCCCCCCCCCGAGAGAGACCTCTCTCCTGAGCTGAGTCCCTGCCCTGCGCTAAACTCCCAGGATTAAAAATAGAAAAGAAGAGTCACTGCTGGGTTTCAGGCAAGCCTGTTCCGGTTTTGAAAATTAAGAAAATACAGTCGCAGTGTCTGTGGCCTCATCTCTGGGTACACAGAATGGCAGTACCTCATCAGTCAGTGGCCCACATCTATGGGCAGAGAGAGGCTACCAGTCGGGTCGTGAGAGCGAGCCTTCCTCCCAGGGCTCTCTGAAGGACCCACTGGTTTGGGGAGGGGGAGTTTTCATTTTCATCAGCCTGGATAGTACGCAGCCTGCCTTGGGAGTCAGGTGTCTTGAGATGTAGCATCCTGTAAGGTGTACCAGTAAGTATAGGTCCAGGTCTCTGTCCAGGTCCACGTCATGAGTGTGATCTCACCATCAAAACCAGTGGTTTCCTCGGGGACTCTACCATGTCATCAGTGTAGCTATGTCTCTGCAAGCTGAGCGGGGGCCACACTTTTCCCTCCTATCTCCATGCCAGGGACAGCTGCCCCCAGGCCAGTCACCTAGCCACAGGCTCAGGGCTTGGAGTGATGAAGCCCAAGCTCCAGGGTTTGTCCTGTCCCCAGAGCTGGTCTCTCCTCATGTTTGAGCCCCTGCTATTCCCATTCCACAGTGCAGCCTGATCCTGAGTACATGATCCTGATCGCAGACAGGCTCCTACTGGAGTTGCCCCTGGAGGGGCTCTCCGCATTTGACCAGGTCACCTCCCTGTCAAGAGAGTTTTCCCTCCAGATGCTGTGGAATCGTCTCCATAAGGAGGAGCTAGGTGAGTAGTGCCTTGGCCATAGTAATGCTCAATTTTAAAATAGGAGTTTTTAGGCCGAGCAGCGGTGGCGCACACCTTTAATCCCAGCACTCAGGAGGCAGAGCCAGGAGGATCTCTGTGAGTTCAAGGCCAGCCTGGTCTACAGAGCGAGAACCAGGACAGGCACTAAAATGACACAGAGAAGCCCTGTCTCGAAAAACCAAAATAAATAAATAAATAAATAAATAAATAAACAAAATGGGAAATTTAAAATTACGTTTCAGAGAAACCATTGTTAACTCCTGTCAAAGGGTGAGGAGCAAGGCACTAGGGATGCAGCCCAGTGTGCGATGCTTGGCTAGCATGTACCCTTGTTCCATGGCCCTGAATTCCATAGCCAGCACTGAAAACAACTACCAACTGTTTTAACCTTTTCCTTGGCCCTTATTCATTCAAAACCATTTCCAGAATAGATAGTTGAATCTGTGTTTCATGAGTGTTGACACCACAGCAAAGAAGAACCCTGCTGATTGAAAAACCTGACGGCCAGAATCATTTGGCTAGATGCTGAGGGACAGGGAGGGAAGGCAGACTCTCAGTCAGGCCTGGGCAAGAGAAAACAAGGACTTGGGGACCATCGCCTGTGACATTGCAAGATACTTCAGTCTGTGAAAGTCCTCCAAACCGTTCCTAGGGAACACTGCCACTTTGTAGTACATGTTGACCATAAATATATACCATATGAAGTCGAAAATACAGCTCAGTGACAGAGCGTTCACCCAGCCTGAACAAGGCCCTTGGTTATAAACCCAGGACTGCAAAAAGAGAAAAGCATTCAGTGATCAATAAACACCAAATTAAGTTAAAAATCAATTAGACTTCTGCTGCTACTCCAGATAAAAATAATACGAGCCACATTCTTCCTACCAAGATGACAAGAAACCGGAAAAGAAGAAGCAAGGTATCAATCAACCCAGGACACGCCCCCCCGAAGAGAGGGGAGATACATGGTGTCTTAGTTAAGGTTTCTATTGCTGTGTAGAGACACCATGACCATGGCAACTCTTATAAAGGAAAAAAACATTTAATGGGGGTGACTTACATTTCCAGAGGTCTAATCCATTATCATTATGGTACGAAATGGTAATGTGCAGGCAGACATGGTGCTGGAGAAGAAACTTAGATTCCTACATCTTAACGAGTAGGCAACAGAAAGTGGTCTGAGACATTGGGTGGTATCTTTAGCATATATGAGATCTCAAAGCCCCCCTCCACAGTGACACACTGCCCCAAACAAGACCACACCTACTCCACAAGGCCACAATTCCTAATAGTGCCACCTCCTTTGGGGGCCATTTTCCTTCAAACCACCACACATGACCCAGGTGCTTCTTAGAGTCTTGTGGCTCAAACATGGGCAAGAACAGCCCAGGAGGATCCTGGACTCAAGACATGGAGCTTGGAGCCTGGAGAGAAAGCTGAGAAACTTGGGGACAACATAGCAAGAAGTAACAACTGCTTAAAAAGGCCTACAGAGGACCCCATGGAGGCCAGCAGAAGCGAGGCCAGCAATGGTGAACCCAGAGATCAGGGAAAGAAATAAGCAGCTGTGGAGCAAGGGGGTGATAACTTTTTTTTTAATAAAAAAAAAATCTATTTAAAATATTTTTGAGCAAGCACGTAAGTGAAAGAAAATAATAGCAATACGTGTGGGATTTTATAACATGTATGACAAGACCAGAGCAAGAGCTGGGGGGCGGGGGTGGTGCGGGCTGTGCAAGGGCCCTGCGCCATAGCTGATGCAGGGTAGTGTGACTTAAAGGGAGACTGTGATAAAATGTGAAGTAAGCCCTCAAGCAAGCACTAAGGACAACCCAAGCCCCAGAGTTTAGTCTAGATCGGCGCTGGTGGAGGGTGGGGAGATGAAGCTGACTGTGGGAGGCATACACCGAATCTCCACACGCGTCTGCAGCTAGGAGGATGGCTGCCGTTGAACAGGTTGGTGTGGATGGGTGAGGACTAGCGGCCTCCACAGGTCAACGGATGAGCAATTTTGGGCTGATGGCTACATGCAGTGGGTGTCCATCAGAGGAAATGGAATCAGCCCGGTGAAGGAACACCTGTTCTCCCATGTTTGTGGCATCCCCATTCACAGCAGCCTAAGTGCCCATCACTGGGTGGATGGTTACAGAGGATGGACCACATCTACACAAGAGAGCACTATTCAGCCACGGAAAAGAAGGAGGTCTTGCTTTAAGCCAACATGAAGGAGTCTGGAGGACACTGTGCCAGGCACAGGCAACAAGCTTACACTATGTCATTCACACCGGGGAGCCTATAAGGTTCAACTCCAAAGCAGAGAGAAAAGCGTAGGCAGGGGCTGGCAGCAGGGAGCTGCTGGCCAAGGGCACAAAACCCCAGTTGGAGGAAAAAGACCGAGAGCTCGGTTGAGTGACATGGTGATGGTGGCCAGTGCAATGCCTTGTTTTTCTCTCTCTCTTTTTTTTTTTTTTTGAAAGTGGCGAAGAGTAGAGTTTAGGTGATTTTGCCAAGCAGCAGCAATGGGAGCGTGTGGTGACTGTTTGGCAGGCTCGGCTCCACTAGTCCACAGTGCATGCACACTTCAGAGTCGCCTACCACGTGCCAAGTGTGTTTGCTAATTCAAGTAAAAGACGAACGATTCAATTAAATGTTTTAAATAAGTAATTCAATTAAAAGGTCCACCATTCCAAATAGTAGGGAAGATGTAGAGAAGCATGCTTGCCCACCATTGATGGGAGTGCTGCTGTTGGTGGGGATGGCACACAGGAGAACCACCCCTGGGAAAGGGTTGGGGGGGTCATAAAAAGTTACACACTGCCCCACAGGTGACCCATGCACCCTCTCCTAGGTCTTTATACAAGAGATGAGAAGGCATGCTTAGACATAAAAACATTTAGATTGTACAACTCCCTGTGACAGCCCAAACCTGAAAGCCCCTGAACTAAAACACTCAGGGTCATGTCCTTGCAGTTTTAAGGATTTCATTTGGCTGGGACCGGTGAGGGAATGATGATATGACCACACACACACACACACACACACACACACACACACAGAGAGAGAGAGAGAGAGAGAGAGAGAGAGAGAGAGAGAGAGAGAGAGAGAGAGAGAGAGAAGCTGAGATTGGGTGGGCTGGGCTCCCTGATGGAGAAGCCACAGGAGCATACTGGAAGCTCAGCAGGGTTATTGCATACAGCTGGACAAGGAGGTATGGTTATTACAGATAGATAAACAAGGAGGCAAAATTATTATATAGAGCTAAACAAATTAGCTAATCTTGGTAGGAGTAGTAGTAGGGGAGCAGTCCTCAGACTGTGAATTCCTGGAGGGGAGAAAGCCATGGTGGACATTTTCTTAACACACTACCGACATCTACAATGGACCAGGGGAAGGATTAGTCATTTCCTTCTGAGCCTTACCTTGGGTTATGGGGCATTTGTCATTTTCCCATGGCCATGCCCATGTCAACAGCACACATTCGTTAAGGTCTTCCTCTGCCCCCCACAACTGAGCAGCCAATTGACGGTCATTTGAACACCCTCTTGAATGGATAGCACATGGGAACATATCATCAGTGAGGAGACTGTGCCCAGGGAAAGACTCAAAAGAGGGCACACAGCAGACGCCTTCATTTCTGGAAAATTCTGCAAAGTGCAGATTGGTTTCCACTCAGAAAGCCAATAAGTAGCTACTTGGTAAGAATGAAGGCCTCAGGAAATGCAAGACTGAGATGTATCTGAGGGCCTGTGCGAAGGCCAGGTCTGACTCTGGTAGAAGATCCATCAGCTCCAAGCACCCTCTTAGTGTGTCCCTGAGAAGCATCCTTGGCAAAACGAGGGTGGCAGAGAGCCATGTCTGTGCCTCAACCCCACTCCCTATGGAAGTCCCACCCTGGAAGGCAGAGAAAAGAGTGGAAGGCACAAGGTGGAAAAGGGAGAAGATGGTCACAGTGGGGTACGGAGCCAGCCACATGAAGCCTCCAGAAAAGACCTGCTCACTGGGGAGAGCTAACACAGAAAAGACTCAGGCTATAAGTCTGTATGCAGAGACCCTGGGACCATCAGGGGCCCAGACACTACAGGCATTCTGCTGGTGCCTCGAAGCCTGGGGGACTGGTCATTCCTGGAGCTTTTCTTGGGCCTATGAAGCTTTGTCTTTCGACATGGCAAAAATTAAAATCCCATTGTTCTCACCACTAGCAGATTCACAAAACTCAAAATTGACCCGAGTAGCACCCAGCACCTTCACGGTGCTGTGTGCCCGCCGACGCGTCACACCTGTCACACTTGTCACACCTGTCATTGTCCCCCACAGAAGGCAGTGTGAAGAAAGAGGTCAAAAGCAAGGATATCAAGAAGAAAGGTCCGGGAAAGAAAGGCCCGAAGGTAGGTGGGTGGAGCCCAGGGGCCCCTTGCTCCTCTTGCTTGAGCTCGGTAAGGCTCAGCAGGCCTGCCGAGGCCCAGCTGCTGGCCCCAGGTGTTGACACCTCTGGCTGTGTTGCAGAGCACCGTGATCAGGGTCGTCCCACCCGAATGCATCCTCATCGACTCGGACACTTTCAAGTGTATCCTTTGAGGGGTGGGTGCTCACGGCCCCCAGGACTCTGCTTTGGTTCTTGTTTGCCCTTGACTCAGACCCAGTTGTTGTGGACCCTTATGAGGAGGCGGAGAACAAAGGTGAGACCATCACGTGGGCTCTTGGCACATAGGCCAAGGCCACCCAGGCCTTGCGCCAGCTGCTCTCATGGATGTGTGGAAATTGACTCAAGTAGCCTTGGAGTCTTGGGTCTGAACACAAGCTGACCACCTTGCCATTCTCAATACTTTGGGGCCGCCTCCCTCCTCCTCCTCCTCCTCTTCCTTCCCCCTGCCTTCTCTTCCTAATGCTTATCCTCCTCGGCCAATTCCTCCACCTAAAGAGGAAAGGAAAGGCACTAGCATTCCCACCTGTGCTCAAACCTCACTCCTCCCCAGCCTCTGTCCCATCCCAGTGTCACAGGGCCCCAACCCTCATGCTCCCATGAGGAAGCAGCAGCCTGTCTCTTCTCAATTCTTCCTGCAGAGGTGTTGAATCCTGTCTCCATAACCCAGGAGATCTTGGATAAGTTCCGAGACTCATACACTGCACGTTGGATGGGGCATCTGGGAAGCTACCACTTTCCAAGGTTGGGACATGGATCTCCAAAAGCTGGCTAGAGAGGCTGGTACCCTTATGTGGCACCTTCCCTGCTGGATGGATCTGTATGTCCTGTAGAGCCCCCAGGCACAGCACTAGGCAAGGGAAGCTGTTATAATCCCAGGGTCACTCACCCACACATGATCTACCCCAGGTGACCTCAGGTACCCTTCAGGCCAGACCACCCAAAGAAGGTATACTACTAGCATAGAGTCAGGTAGTTCCATGTCACTAGCCCCCGAGAGCAGGCATTCTGTCGTGCTGGTCCCTTAATGTGTATGCTACTAGGGCAGGGGGAGCCAAGCTAGTTGGTATAGGGGTACAGGAGCAAGCCTGTGCAGGGCTGGGGTGGATCACAGAGAGCAGAGCTGGTGGAGGTAGGACATGGAGGGTGACGAACGCTCTACCTAGTTCCGTTCTCCCATATTAGAGGTACTATAGTACTTTCCAGGGCCAGCTCTACTGGCTTGAGATGTGTGATTGTCCCTAGAGTACCACTCTTTGTGGAGAAGTCCATCTGAGGCCAGCTATACACTAGAAAAACAAAAATAATGTGGGCCCCACAGCCGTATAAAGGGTCTTGTGTGGGTGGCAGAGGGCATTCCCTGCTGGACAAACAGATCTGGAGGAGGGGGTTGCAGATGCACGTGCCTAGCCCAGATGTGTGATCCCACCCACCGACGTTTTCACCCTGTGCAGCCAGACTGACTGGGAGCAGATACTGGACAGCTGCAGAGGCTTTTTCTTCTACGGGATGGAGGGCTTCCTGTCCCACCTGGTAGTGGAAAGACTGGTAGCCATGGATCTACAAGGTAAGGCCCCTCTCTCGTCAGCAGCCTCAGCCAGGGCCTGCAGACACACGTGAAGCCTCAAGGGCTTGGCTGCTGCTGCTTGATCCAGAGTCCAAGGCTGTGATGCTTCAGGAAGGCATAGAACCCCACCCTAGTCTGTCCTCCACCTACCTGAAAACTGTCCCTGCACTCTTTCCAACAATGGCCGGGCAGCCACAGGGCCACTAGCCCTCCTGGTTGCCCTCAGCACCTCCTTACATGCAGAGGACCCCTGTCCAGATCTCCAGACCCCCACAAACGAGATCCAGTTGCCGAGTGTCACCGCCGAAGGCTGGGCTGAGAGGTCCCAGAACCCTTCCAGTCTGAACATGTGTGTTTGGGTAGCCTTGTTCTCTCTGTGCATCTGTTAACAACAGGCCCAGGAGGCCAGTGAGCCTGGGAAGTGCTGTACTGAGACATCCAGGGACTGAAGGGGTCCAGAGGCCAGGTAGAGGACACAGTACCAGGACTGTGCCGAGTACAGTGTGCTTACAGGCTCCTTGCTGGGAGGTCCGTGCTAACACGGCCCTGACAACACACAGCACTGCAGGACTGCAGGCTCGATGCTCAGACATACGGAGAATGTGTGGCAATGAGCTGGTCTTTGTGGTCCACGGCTGTCTCAGCAACATGTCCATAGACCCCTCCGGTGTGTCCACATTCCTTCCAGATGCCCCAGGGTCTTTTTCCCACTCATAAGAGGCCACTTTTGTTGGGCTGCTCAGGGCCAGCCATCATGAACAGCCAATGGGTAAGCCTTTTCAGGACCTCAGAGATGGCCCTTCCTCCCTCATGAGGCATATGGCCCCTTTCAGGGTTTTATAGCAACTGCCTGGATGCTCCTTCCACACCAGGGCACCCGTGTCCACCATGGCCACATGCTGACCAGGTCTACTTCCAACTCTTGGTAGCCTTGGGCATGTACCAGTCTTACATGAGTAGAGTGAGCAGAACTTCCATCATCAGACACGCCCAGAGAACATTCCTTGTCCCAGTGATGGAAAAAGCCCTCTTAGAAGAACTAATTCTCAGTGACATGTCACTTAAAGTAGGAGACACATGAGTCAAGTGCAAAAGTGGCCATCCTTCCTGGTGTCCACTGTCCCCAGGAGGCCATGTCCCCTCACAGATGGACATTTTTCCTGTGGGAACAGTTGCCAAAGCCCATCTCAGGGCTCAGGGACAAGAACAACCTTCACCTCTGTGTCCATGTCAGTCCTGTAGATAGTCACACCAAGGCCACACTCTGCCCCCTGTTGCAATGAGCATGCCTGTCTAGGGTGGCCCACTCACACCCAAGTACTCATGACCATCTCACGTCCCAGAAATCCTCACAAACTGAGGGTTAGTAAGCTTGGTCAGCACCCAAAGCCCTCTAATAGTGCACATGGCACCTTTGCCAGCCCCTCTTTGGGGCCAGCTTCTCATACCACACCACACCCCAGGTTAGCACTGAAGTTCTTTCTGTGTCTCTGTGTCTCTGTCTCTGTCTGTCTGTCTGTCTCTCTCTCTCTCTCTCTCTCTCTCTCTCCCCCAGCACCAGTATGGAACGTCAGAAGCTTCCATAAGTGATGAGGGAGCAGAGCCACCCATGCTAGGAAGAGTTAGAGGTGGCCCTGAGCAGGCTTGTTCCCCATTTCCAGTGTATACACTGGGTAGCTGAAAAGAACCTGTTGAGAGTCCAAGCCTCAGGCTGATTAGTCAGAGTGCAGCTCCCATGGGGATCTGGTAATGGTGTGGATGACCACTGAGGAGCCTCACTGTGTCCTGCAGAATGCCAGATGATGGTCCTGCTGGACTTGACAAGATCCCCTGAGAGCAGGAAGCGGAAGGTAGAGTCCACAGAGAACAAGAGGTACCTAGTGTCCTTGTGTTATCAATGGGGGATGGGGAAGGGGGTATAATGAGGAAGTGCTGGTACGGCTCACCCCAGATGGGCTACCAGAGCTGGCTGGCCAGCACCTTCCACCTCGTGGTACCAGCTCCCACTGCTGGCAGGCTCCAAGCTAGGGCTGGGAGCTGCCACCAGATGGATTTGACAATACTCAAAAATGCTATTTTCTGTTAAATGACATGTAACTCTTGTGGGTGAGATTCAGAACTATAAAAGCCCTGGTCCACACATGCGTTCTGACAGCTGGTGTAGGGAAGGACAGAGGGAGGGCCACCAGTCCCTTGGTGCCAGTCCATGTGTCTCCACAGTGCATCACAGCGGTCCTTGGAGAAGCCCATCAAGACTGCCATCCTTCTGAGCCTGGTGGGGGTTGAAAGCATCGTGGCTAACCAGTGGCCCACACTGCTGCAGGACAACGCGCTGAGGGCCACCATCCTGTGGGAGAGTGAGTGGGCATGCTGGCTATCCCAGTCTCCTTGGGCTTTTGCAAGAAGCCTGCCAAGGATGTCCACAGCCCACCTGAAGGGACTTTTCCCCCCCCCCTTAGACATGTTAGCATTTGGCAAGCCACTTGGGAAAACTGTTCGTCTCATTCAGAGGATAGGCAACGAAACAGGTAACCCAGGTAAGGTAGAGACTGCCCAACCATTTGCTTGTCTGTGTAAGTCACCCTAGGTTACATTGCACCCCATTGCCCTCAGGGACAAGATGTTCCCCACTTCAAGAAAGAAAAGAAGAGGGAGGGGGGAGGAAAGGATGGGAAGAGCCTGAGTCAATATGCATTGCCCTTGTGGAGAAGTCAACCTAGTCTGCTCAGCCTCTGGGTGAGCTAGAGCTGAACAGGAGCATGGAGGAGCCCAGTCTCTAGCCCACCATATAGAGAAAGAGAGACGGAGGAAGGGTGGGGGGGCGGTCAGGAGAGTAAGCAAAAGAGCTCAGCTGTACTCTCTATGAAATGATGGGGAGATCTGGGTGGTCCCTGCACTTTCCCTCTGCCCAGAGAGAGGACTTTGGGGAGTCGACCACCTAGACTACCCAGTCCATGGGCCCCATGCAGCCACCTGGTCCAAGAAAACATCCAGGAAGAGGAACTCCTGGACTGGGGGTGTGGCTTGCTAGAGCCAGGAGGATCACCCTACTTGCATCTCCTGATCCGGGAAAATTTCCGACAGCCTCTAACCTAGGGAGTAAAGCTTCAGGGAGGGCTGCAGGATGTTGCTGTTCTAGATGAGACAAACTCCACCCACCCATCCTTCAAACAAACCTCGTGCCAAGATGTGCCAGCTGCAGTGAAAGAATCTGCAGATAAATTTCACATGTAGATACTAGAGTAAAAAAAAGAACAGATAAAACTCTAGCTAATTGCATTTAGCAATACACTAAAGTGAAAATGTACCATAATTCATGAAGATTTATCCCGGGAGAGTTTAAAATTGAGAAATCTGAAATACATTCAATACAACTCAGCAGGAGATTAACTTTTGAAAAATCTTACACTCCCCAGTGCCTGGGATGTAGTTGCCAGGGAAAAGAGGGGAGTTGGATGTGTAAATGTATTTGAGAGGGTGAATGAATGAGGAGTGAATAAGCGGGCGAGCAAATGAACAAATGAATGAGGAGTGAATGTGTGAACTTGTGCGTGTATTAGTGAGTACATTAGTAAGTTGAGGGGTGAATTAAGTGGGTGAATAAGTGAGTGAGTAAATGAGTGAGTGAGTGAGTCAGGAATAAATGAATGAAGTTGTCTGTTAGTAATTGAAAGAATGAATTTGTGAGAATAAGTGAGAACAGTGACTGAGCAGTCAAGTAAAGGAAGAGAGCAGAGAGGTGGACAAGGGTGGTAAAACCTGCCACTTCTTCCTAACAAACCAGAAACAGGACTGGACATGACTCTGCCCACTCGGTCTGCGCTACAGAGTGGCCAGCATGTCGCTTTGCCGTAAATGGGGAAAGAGCAAACTGTGCAGGTCTCATGACCGCCACTGTCAGCGTTGGTCCCCTCGTTCCTGTCATCACAGAGGGCCCAACTTGAAGCAGGTAGCATGTGTTTGGAAGGAAGGGACCAACTGATGCTTATACCTGTGAGTCATCCTGTCTAGGGTAGGGGTGCCTCGAGGCATCACAGAGGAAGCTATGAGGCCAGTCTCCAGGTTTAAGGTGTTCCAGGGTTCCAGGGGAGATGGGCAGGGGGCTTGGGGTCAGGCCCGATCACATTCTGGTGCTGTCGTTAACAACCACATAGCCAGACCTCCATAGCTTAAAAACTCGGCAGCACTGAGGAGCAGGAGGTGGCCGGGCTTCTGTGGTCAGGCTGCAGGGAGAACTCAGGGCCCCCTGCAGCCAGAAGCACCAACCTGCTCCCTGATGCTCCCCTCTTCATGGTATCATGCCCTTGGTGAGAGGCTGGGTATCCAGGCAGGACTCAGGCCGCTGCCCGAGAGCTCTGGGGCAGCTTATGTCTTATGCTCCACAGACGAGGCTCCCCACACCTCCAAGGAAAAAATGTTCTCGGAGCAGCAGCCTCAGCACCTGGAGTTGCACCCCACTGCTCTGGGCTTGGTTCTGTACGGACTGCCTCACCAAGCCATCGTGTGAGCTAAACCCTGGAGTCTGGAGCCACTACCCCGAGCTCTACCCCTCTGAGGCTCCTCTCCACTCAGGGCTCTTTCCCCACTTTCTGGAGCTCACCCCAGCCTTGACACAGCCTGGTGTCTGTCCTTCTGTCCACCATACATAGTCCTGAGAAGACGGCTGTTGCCGGGTATACCACCTAAGCTCCTGCTTGTTAGCCCCCCAGGTTTGTTCTCAGTTTCAGTGCTTTAGGAAACAACTAAAGTTTACAAACAGCTAAGTGTGTGGTGTGTTTCTGGAAGTCCAGGACAGGAGCTGGGGCATCTGGTTATGATCATCAGCACATTCCGGCACCATCAAGGCTTACAGGAGACGGTATCCTTGTGTGAACTGAGACCCACCATACCCACCCCACAGCTCTGGAGATATGTGTGGTCCTCTGCCCCCTACTCTCCTGGCTGCTGTGGCAGGGCTTTTGGGAAAATACCCATCTTATATATGATCCTTCTGCAGTTCCAAACAGGCTTTTCCTGACATGGTACTCAAGGGTGGTGCACGAGATCCTGGAGGGCCCTTTTAGCCATGGACTGCAAAGCCCAGCTGTGGATCTTCTTTGCCCATTCTGGCTCTCTGGCTAGGAAAGGGGGGAAGAAAAGAGCAGTCCACAGGGCAGGAGCTTGAAGCTCCAGTGTGGTCCATTCGCTTCCCTGACTGCTACCTCTGCTAAGGGGTCAGGATGGGGCTGTTTCCCATTTTCTCTGCTAATGATGCAATGCTACAGAAAGAGGAGAGGGTCATTTCGCCTCCTAGTTCTGGTAGCCCAGGGGACTGTATCCAGCAATGGCCTTCTTGCTGATAAGAGTTCTGTGTCCCAAAGGTGCTGCACACCTCTGACAGTGAAAAGCAGGGAGTATACCTTCCCTGGTTTCTGTCCTTCCTCTTCCAAAGCCACTAGGAGTCAGTCATAGGGTCTACACCACGACCTTGTCTCAGTCACTTCCCAAGCTGGGCCCCAAACACCCACTTTTTCACACCTCACAACAGGCAGTGACTTCTGGATACCAACTCTTTGTGGGGGGGCACACACAAACCATCTCAGAAGTGGGACTTGTTCTTTGTTCTGAACTAGAATTGTGAAAGCAAGGGATCCAGAGCCACTGACAGGTGTTCTTTGTCCTAAGCCTTGTGGGGCCCAGAGCTGTCTCCCCAGAACTGGTGTCAGATGGGTATCCCTGGGGGAAACGTCACCCAAGGAAAGGGCGGTCTGAAGGAGGCATTCTTGACATCTGAGTGCGTCTCCAGAGTGCCAAGCCTGCTCAGTGGCCCCTGTACCTTGATACTCTGTACTCATCTTTCCCTGCCTCTGGCTGTGGACAGAGGGACTGCTGCCAGGGCTTCCTGGATCAGGACACACGTGGTCAAAAATTGTTTTTTTTTTTTATAATAAGCACAAATGAATACCTACTAAAACAGCTGCAGAATGGCGATGCAGTCACTGTCACACAGCACTGCGCATGCCAGAAGAGATTCATACAAAACAAACCCTGCAAATCCCTCCTCCACCCCGAGTGTAGCCTTGGATAACTCTGTATCTCAGAGAAGTGGTGTTTCAGCCCCCACCCCACCCCCATACATATACCTGAGTGTAGCATGAATCTTAAAAGTTCTTATTAATAAAAACAAACCTGGAGTCAGGTATTGGGGTGAATGCTGGGAGATCAGAGAAGCAGAATAAGCCACAGCCACCTCAACTTGCCAATTCCTCAGCTGGTCCTGTTTCCTCAGACTGGAAGCTTCTGAGTCCTCATCCAAATGGATCTCAGATGAACTGTGCTGCTCAAAGCCTAAAAGCTTAACCAGCCTAGTTCCTGGTTTTCATGCCTTTTTATACCTTTCTGCTTTCTGCCCTCACTTCCTGGGATTAAAGGCTCACTTCTTGGGATTAAAGGCGTGAGTCACCATGCCTGGCTGTTTCCAGTGTGGCTTTAAACTCACAGAGATCCGGATGGATCTCTGCCTCCCAAGTGATAGGATTAAAGGCGTGTGCGCCACCATTTTCTGGCCTCTATATCTAGTGGCTGTTCTGTTCTCTGACCCCAGATAAGTTTATTAGGGTACACAATATTTTGGGGAACACAATACCACCACATCTGAGTGTTTAGAACAGCCTTGCTCATGATGACCAAACACCAGAAATTGCACAAATGTCCTTCAGTGAGCAGAAGACAACACCCATGTCACATCACAGTGTGGACCAGTGTCCCTTCACCATGATAAAGAATATAGGCGGATTCTGGCTCACAGTCTTGCACTGAGCCTGTGAAGAGGCAGCACAACACGGTGGCGACTGTGGTAAGCAGAGCTGCCTACTTTATAGCCGGGAGGCAAAAGGGAATGAGGCTGGAGGCCCACAAACCTTTTCAAGGTCCTACACCCAAAGTCCTAAAGAATCCCTCCCTAACTGGGCCCTGTCTCCCATAGCACCACCCTGGGAACTGTAGATGTAACTAACCGTCTTATTAAATAAGAAACACAGAGCTGATTCAGAGAAGAAAGCCAAGAGGTCAGAGCTAAGAGCCTTACCCTTCCTGCTTCAGCCAAGAGAGCTCTCCGAAGAGGGGCCTACTTCCTGTCTGTTCGTCTTTATATAGACTGTCTGTTCTGCCTTCTTATTGGTTGTAAACCCAAACACATGACTGCTTCGTCACTGCCTGTATGTACAGCCCTCCAGGTCCTCTATGGTATTGAGATTAAAGGCGTGTGTTTCTAATGTTGGCTGTATCCTTGAACACACAGAGATCTACCTAGCTCTGTCTACCAAGTGCTGGGATTAAAGGCATGCGCCACCACCGCCATGCTCTTGCTATGGCTCTAATAGCTCTGACCCCCAGGCAACTTTATTTATTAACATACAATTAAAATCACATTTCAGTACAAGTAAAATACCACCACAGGGAACCAAGGTTTTGACATATGGGTCTTGGGGAATACTCCAGAGTTGAACCATAGCACTCGGTCTTATATTAAAAACAAAAACAAAAATCAAGTCATCAATAGAGTCACCTAGATGGACCTGGAGGGTCCTTGCTGAGAAATGAAAGCCCCTGTAAAAGTTACAAGATTTCATTATATAACATCAAATAGCAAAGTATAGAGACAAGCAAATCAGTATTGCCAGAGCATAGGGACAAAGCTGGAAACAGCGGTAGGGGGCCTGGTGACAGCCCCATTTGGGTCTCTACTGTGGCAGTGATACCCGCCTGCACAGGAGACAGTGTTGCAGAGCTACTACACATAGGCAGAAGCACGTTGACCTCACTAACACCTGGGACCCACATCACCATCTCTGTTTGGCTGTCCCTGACAGTGATGAAAAATGTCACCACTGGGGAAGGAGGGGGAGGGACTGAAGGCCCTTTATCCTGAAGGTTGGGATTCAAAGAAAACCAGAGACAGCACCAAACCCCGGAGGGGAATTCGCGAGGACACAAGAAGTGCTGCCAGAGAATACCAAAGTCAGTGTTGGCTGGAGATGGGTTCTCTTTTCCGTCCCACCCCCTCTTCTGTGCCACAGTCCTGTGCTTTGTTCCATGAGCTGGTAGAACAAGGGTCATGCGAACACTGAGATTCCAGGACAGTGAATAGGACACCTGAGATGGTGGCCCAAGCCTCGCAGGCAGGGAGCACGTGGCATGATCCACCTTCATTGGATGATGTGACACCACACATCAGACAGCTGCCACATTCACAAGCAACACAGAACGGCGTGCAGCTTGTTAAAAGTTGTTGGATTGTGGAATTTTTCTCCTTTTTCTAAGCTCACTTGAAGTCGGGTGCCTGAAACCACAAACAGTGCGGGCATGGGTAGGGGAGACGCACACTGTTTTTCTGACTAAAGAGAATCTAAACCCACCTGACATACAAATATGTCAAACAAACGTCTTAGACGGTGTTGGAAGAGTTATGTGTGATTCTCTTCTATTTTGTTTCATGTTTTTCCTTTTTAAAATATGTATCATACTTGTTCCAGAATTTAAAACACACACACACACACACACACACACACACACACACACACACAAAGCTAACTAATGACCAGGGGATAAATTCAAATCTGAGCAGTACTGGAAATATGAGCTTTCTTCTACAAAGACGTTGGCACGCACCCAAACAACAAGAATAAAAGCTTCTAGAAATATTTCATCTGCCATATCACATTCTTCACCTCACACCGTGTCTGCTCATGTGAGAAATATTAAACAGTGAGTGCTATTCCATGTATCAAAGGCGTTAAAATAACTTTCTGAATTATGTCCCGGCAACATAACAAATCACATTATCAATTAGCTCCTGCGGCAGAAGTGGCATTCTGTAATATATTCAAGCATGAAAAAAAATTGCATAGGTGAAATTTATGTAACCCTAAAAACTATGAGGAGGAAAAAGATTGCTTGGGATTTATTGGTCATAATGGGAGACAGGATGTAATTCCAGCGGTGGATGGCCTCCGAGTAAGGCACCCGGCCCTGCCTCTGAAGATGCCTCTCCTGGAGGCAGTAGACGGGAGGGTAGGCAGGGGCATCAGACACAAGGGTGATGGCTACTGTCCACATCTAGCCTGGACTTCCCTGATGTCAGACGACCCTGCACAGGTGGGTAAGGTGGGGATAGGGCCCTCTGCAGGTTGCTGTCACTTCTGAGCCAGCACAGTGAGAAGGGGCCGTGCTGGATGATCTTCACATCAACCTTAAGCACTCAATAGCCCCGCCTTCTCCTCTGGGACATTCCCAGGGGAAGCAGGGGCCAGGAGTTAGTGTAGGGCTAGGAGGAGTGGGAGGCCAAAGGTCTGACCCTATCCAGCCCCCTGACAGTAGTAAAGGAAGCTGTTT